ATGTAGAAACAACAATCGTCAGTTTTAAATATTGCTTTCGTATCTAAAACGTTGAAACTGGAATGTAGAAACACAAATCATGAATGGTTCGTCTTCCATAGTATAAAGTGATCTAGAAAGTAAAAGTTTGCCCAGTCTCATGCATGATATACGTATATGTAAACAGGTAATATCTTGGATTTAAGTCTGAAAGCCCACCGAGTCGTTTAAATAGACAAATGCAACAAAATCTTCAAAAAGAAATAAATGAGAAATACTTTTAAAATTGTCAGTTTCAACATATTATATTTTATCCGGGTAAAAAGGAGTCTGTGTAACAAGAATGTAAATACCATTATGAATTAAGTTTTCTGAATGCAGTTTAGTTTTTTGTTCATTTTTGTACTTTTCACGTGTACAGTGTGTCAACTTGCTGTATAATAAGGATATACATTATGTTAAACTATGAAAAGATGATATACCTACTCAACTGCTACACCTATACGCGATAAAGAAAGGTCTTATCATAGTTTTTTGTGTGCTTGTAAGTAAAATAGAACCGCCTCATAATAAAGCTATGCCTAAATAAACGTGTATCATTTCATTAAACTTCAACTACATGTTATATTTATTGTATGTCATATTTCTTTCAAATGAAATGAAATGAAATCGTGTTAAACGTCCTGCTGTTCTGCTCCGACTGGGCTAATGAAGACGGGCATACACCATGCAGTGTGCTAGGAGGGAAATTGTGCCCGGACAACGGTGCTACGGCCAACTCTTATATCGAATTCCAACAGCCAAGGGGTCTTTTATGTGCACGCCAATGTGTACAAGGACCTCGGTTTTTCGTACCACCCGAACACAAGACAGCTGTTCTTGTCAGGCCCTCCGCCCTGCACCACTGACAATGGGAAACCATGGCGGGGAATTTCGATGAACTTTCTCGGCCAACACCGGGAGCGAACCTGCAACCACCATATTTCTTGGGTGACTCGAACAGATTCTAACTCGGCAAAAGTAACAGCAAGTCGCGATAGTTGTATATTGCACGTGGCTCAGTGAGTGAGGCACCAACTCATAAACCAGCTGGTTTCTGATTCGACCTCGTTGTTTTCCAGTCTGGTTTCAATACTTTCTTCATTGTCAGTGGTGTAGACTTGCAAAAATTGCAAGTAGTGTGCACTTGAAAGAACCCTAGTAACCATTAAAGAGTAAGCGGAAACGCCGCTGTCCGGGCAAAAAAAGTAGGACGTTAAACCCCATTTCATTTCATTTGTATATTACACAATAATTTAGATAATTATTTGCGAGCTTTGCAACAAAACGTTTTGACAGTCCGTGCGTCCTTTTAAAAGACATGGCGATGGTCATTTTTGAAAGGTTGTCGCTCTTGCATTATTTGTCTTTTTATTGCGCACAAAACGTTTTTTTTTTTTATAATCGATATTGTTACGGAAAGATATTAGACCCAGTGAACTCTCTTTTTTATGAATCTGAGAAAAGGGTGACGATTCACTTTAAATGGCTACCATCTGAAGATGTGTGTTTTTAAAGTATAGACTATATATTATGAATGAATAGCGCAGGATGTACTATAATGAATGACATTCTTAAGTTTGTCAAGTTAAACTGCGTTGTAGATTATATTATATACAAGCCTGGTGTGTTTAAAAAAAAATAAACGTAGTCTTATTTTACACCAGAACCCATTTCAAATGAAAAGGTGATCTTGTATAACAGGTGAATGTACGTTTAACATTTGGGAAGTTGTCAAATAAATAACTATGATATATATGTTTGGCTCCAGTCAGATTTTAATAATGACTAGACTCGTGCGCGCTGAATTTCTAGAACACCTGATACCAATGAATTAGCTACAGAAGACCCAGAATAAGACAGCCCGTATTGTCACTACAACTAAACAACGTGAACATAATTACTTCTGTATTAAATAATCTATATTGGTTGTCTGTCGAATCGCGTATCAACTCTAAAATCCTCTCCTTAACATACCTGGGCCCTTATTCACGAAAACTTAAACTAAGATACAATCGAAATTTTAAGAAATACTGCAATTCGATTGGCTGACCAGTAAAATCAATTTGCATATATCCAATGAAGTTGCAGTATTTCTTAAAATTTCGGTTGTGACTTAGTTTAAGTTTTCGTGAATAAGGGCCCAGGCTCTCTATCCTGAAGACTCGCCACACTACCTCCAAGCTCTACTCCAGCGATACACCCCAACTAGAACTCTAAGATCCCATAATAACAATTCACAAGTACAACCAAAACCAAATCGTCCTATGGTCTATCCACACCATCCCTTCGTTAAGCTATGAGTAGTCACTTGCGTCGTACACGAGGCGGAGTAGGGTTGTTGTTACTCCATTTCCTTGTACCACTCTGAATATACCACATGTTACATTCTTGATCTGTAGGGCATAGTTTTATTTTTTTATGAAAAAGCAATGATCTCTTCTTTCAGAATGTCAAACTCGTTGCCTTTCTCCGAGTCTCCAAATCTCCATATGCAAATTACTGATATACAATTGAACGATATATTAGTCTCGAAATAGCCTAGTTTGTGTCCCGTAGACGGTAACCCCCCACACCCACCCACCCCTACCTTGCTTTCTATCTATCTCTTTCTCTGTCTCTCTTTAAAAAAATGGTAGACGAATATCTGAATTTTAAGTAGTGGTTCACGAACGATGATGTCATGTTTGTAGGTATACATAGATGTAACGCTATTAACCCCTTTCTTTGATGTTTATCCCTCTATTTAAAAAGGCTAATTCAAAGTTTACATCTCGTAGCTATAGGACCTAACACACTCGGATGTAGATAATCATATAGACAAGTCATTTTATATTCTGAAATTGTTCGACTCCATTTGTTCGAATCAGTCATTTAGATGTTTGCATTGCAGTTCCTCTTACTGAATTGGATTTTGAAATCATTCTTTGTTTGTTCCTCGGGATTTTCCGGCGCTGATTCCACTTGTCAGTGTTGCAGGTTGGAGGGTGTGACAATGAGAGTGTCTAATCGTTTAGATTGAACGAAAAACCTTAGTCCCGTGTTTACATAGACGTGTACGTAAAAGATCCTTTGACAGTTGGAATTCGAAATAAGAGTAGGTCGTATAGTGCGCTATCAAGACAAAATTTCTTTCATTTCTCACTCTATGGAGTATGCCCGTCTTCATTAACCCAGTCGGTGCAGAACAGTATGGCGTTAAACCCCATTTCATTTCATTTTATTTTGGGGCTCACGGTGGCTGAGTGGGTAAGGCGCTGGCTCGCTAGCCTGGAGATCGGGTGTTCGATCCCTGCATCGGCCGAGAAAGTTCATCCAGATTTTCCGACTTGGTTCCCCCTTGTCAGTGATGCAGGACGGAGGGCCTAGCAAGGACAGCTGTCAAGTCGTTCGGATGGGACGAAAACCCGATATCCCGTGTACACATTGGCGTGCACGTAATAGTTGGAATTCGATTTAAGAGTAGGCCGTAGTGCCGCTGTCCGGGCAAAATTTCCTTTATAGCACACTGTATAGCGTATGCCCGTCTTCATTAGCCCAGTTCGGAGTAGAACAGTAGGACCTTAAACCCCATTTCATTTCATTGCATTATATTTTGTTTTGCACCCGATGGTTAATACAAGCGCTACCTGTGGGATTGTTACTACAACCACAAACTGTAATCTTATATTGATCGTCTTTATATTTAAGTATCACAAACATTAACACTCAAATATATTATTCAACCTTGACAAGTCTGTGTTAAGGTCAAATATGTGTAAAATGTAGAAATCGTGTCGGAGAGAAAGTCCTTGTGTTTGGTTAAACGTCAAGATGAAGTCCCACCTCTTTCATACCTTTCCGTCTTCCACGGTCTTAAAAACTACCCTAATCCCTTAATCTCCATTTAAATATTTAAACCAACAAAATCCCAGAATTTAAAAACAACCTGTTGATTCTCCTAGTGTCTAACTTAGTCATTTAAAAGAAAGTATTTTTAATTATGACAAGAATGTCAGGATAATAATTCACAGCCACTGTACCGTATCTAAAAATCTAGTTAATATATCGTAGAAGGGAACAACAACCTTGATCGATCACATCATCTCAAAAGTAGAATAATAAATTATATTGTATGTTAAATTTGGAACAGCGTCTATATTGACTGTTCTAAACATGGGTATTATTTTCGATTCAATATTGGGCTGATTATAATTACAATCTGATTAAAACACAGATCATGTTTCGTTTCGTTTTTTATAGTTCAAAATTTTGTTTAACTTGTCTTCGCTACATCAGGATCTGAAAGAGTTGTTATATTATAAGCCGCGTTCTGGTTAATGTGAGGGATTAGTTAATGAAGTGGTCTGTTGCGAAGAGTTCTTGACGCACTGTGCACGGAACTGTGGGTAAACCATTAGAAACGTCAATGCTGGTTGATTAATCAATAGCCCATAGATGTCTTTATAGGATATCTATGCAAAAGCCGCTCGTATGACCTCTGACGCGAACTTGCACTACAACCGGTCAGATCTTCATGTAGTGAAGGCCATCGAAAGTATAAACAAAACGAAACTAAATATAGATCTGGATTTTAATCAGATTATTATAATTGTCACCGATATGGCCATTTCCATAATATTTCGATGTGACATATTCATTGTTTTCGTTATTTTGGTCATTGCTCTAAAATACCTTGTACGTTTCATTGGGTGCCTTATTGCCTCATAAACTTTTGCAATTTTTGATGGGTGTTGTACACCTGATGCCAATCGCTTCAAGCTTCAACCGATGGAGTTCTATTTTTTGCTAACCGTTTTTCTACCTACCTTGTCATTTAGCTTGATCCTGCTCTATTATGTATTTTTTTTTCTGATTCGTTTATTGTAACATATAATAGTAAGTTTCGTATTCTTGTTCTATTCCTTCTATAGTTTTTGTCATGTTTGACAATTTGACTGCTTTGTGTATTATTATTATATTATTTGTTTTATACATTTCAGATTGTAAGGACAAAGTTATTAAATCAGAAAAAGAGCAACATAAGATAAGACATTCTCAACGAAAGCAAACGAAACATGCTCGAAATTTTAATAAAGACGTCCTCCAAACGGCGGCCCCCAGTTTAAGTGACGCGTCTAATTCTGACCCTGCTGAAACGCCCTTAAAAATCCTTCTTAGAATGTTGGTGAATGGAACCCAGGTAGGACAGTGGTTAACTGGATCAGGAGATTTCACAAAACATTCAGACAATGTAAAGTCATCAAATCCAAGTGATAAAAATTATGAAATACGCATTAATAACAAAAATAAAGCAGAACTGGCAGAATCTGACTCCAGTTCGGTTAAAAAACTAGTTTTAAATGATAATACTGATAAGCGAAATCCCGAAACGCGATTATCAGCTGAAATTTTCATTGACGATGATCCAAATACATTAGCTGCCCTTGAATCAACGAAACAACATCATCATCGTAAAACAGATAAAACAGACCATCGACAAAATAACCAGAAAATAAAATCCCAAAAGCATAAGAAAAAACCGAAACATCATGAACATTCTAATAAAAATCAACAGCACCAAAACCGTAAACTAAAAGGCAAGAAAACTTCTCTAAAACATATTCTAAAGGAGACGCAAAATCAGGATCCCTATAGGAGAAGAGGATATGAGGTAGGTAGGGTTAAGTTTGTTGGCGCATTAATGACTTTGAAGATAACATCTAATGAGCACATAAATACTTTCTAAAAGAAATTAAAATGTGCAGTACGCACGTAGACGTTTCATTTTAATGACTTCTATTTATTCACGGTCATTTCTCAGTCAAATTATAAGCGATAATATGCGTTAATAATGGCTTTTAAAACACCATCAAATACACCTCAGTCACCAGGCGTTACACTTTGTGTCCTATCATCTATCAGCATAGCACGATGCTAAAATATTTTTTTTTTAAAAATAAACGTAAAAATATTTTCGTTCTGCTCTTAACTTAAAATAAAGTAGCCCAATACCTAAAATTATAATACTCCAATATAGGAAATATAAGCATGTTCTACATAATGTAAAACATCTTGATTAGAATTTCAGACCGGAAACCAATGTCTTGAATTCTGTGCCAAGTGAAATTACTACCCATCTCACCCATTACCTTTTATAGTATAATTATAGTATGTTATAATATTTTATATACTGTATATATAGGACCAGAAACTGTACAATAGACTTGAAGTACCAGTGAAATCTTTATTAAATTCAATGGACCTAGTACTTGATGCTACAGTGACAAGATCAAAAGAGGTAAGGCAATACGTTAAGTGGAGTCGTTATTATTTAATCAAATTTAGTATCCAGGGATTCTTTTCATTTGTATTATTAAAATAATTTAGATACCACTCACTCGTGTTACTTAAACAAGTATTTGTATTACTTGTTGAATTTAATTTGCAACTGACCATTTGATTACAGGTAAAATCTTCAAATGACTTCATCTACAACAGTACACGCTATACATTGATGATGGGTGTACGGGACTTGCTACAGAATATCATTAAGTATAACGATGAGGTCTACGGTAAGAATACTTTATCTTGCATCATACCATATTAAAAAGTGATTTGAATATACATGTAGTTAAATAGTACAATATACTTGGTGGTTTCTATTGGGCGGGTCATGTCTTAAAAAAAGTATCACCTGACCCCCCCCCCCACCCCCGAACCAGAAGAAAGGACAAAGAAGTCAATTTAAGCAAATTGTACTGAATGGATTTCGGGGTGAATTCTATTTTATATGGTTTAACATTTGGAGAACGGCAAACGTTTCATACAAAATGATTTTAAGTTTGATAGGTTAAGGGAGACTACTCACGCAATTTTATTAACCCCTCAATCTGCTATTCCGTGAAATTTGGTATTTCACCACAAACTACCCAGAAAATATTGTCGTTCTATCTCTTACGTATAATATATATTACTTTGTATTTTTAGGGGCGGTGGTAGGTCTAAGTGAACTAACACGTGACGTGTACAGACGATCTCACAAGAGACAAAGAAATGTTACTCCTTTTGAACCTCTTATACAAGACTACAAATCCACGAATAATGTTGGGGTAAAATATCGAGAGCTGGCTCAAGATTACAGAAAATATCAACAACAGTATAACACTGTAAAAATGATGAAAATGTAACTCAACAATTACATAATATTCTTCTTTGATTGGCATTTAGAAATAGAACATATTAACAAAACTGTACTTTGAGTTACATAATATTCAATTACGCCCCTAGTAGAATATGATTTCGATTTTCAAATGACAGATATGATTATGTTCTAAATAGTTAAATAGTAAAAGACCACACCTAAACTATTATACATTTTAATATCTAGATTTTAAAGATCTATGATACATTTTAATATCTAGATTTTAAAAAACAAACACGGGTGTAACATCTTTTAAAATAATACATTTATAGGAAGAGTGACCAGGTTGCCGAGCGTTTAAAACAGATTAAAGAAAGATTAGATACAAATCTTGGTGGTGTTGAGTTGATGGATTTGATTTATCATGCAAACCAAACTACCATGAAATTAGATGCTGAGTTTAAACAGTCAATGGCAGTTAGAAAGTTCGACAGATATTTGGTAAATTAAAAGTTTCTTTTGTTATGCTAGGTTCCCACTGTCGTGCGATGCGTTACGACAGGATTGCCCCTATTGAGATCACAAACTGCTGCGTGCAGATACGTTCGGATACGTTTCGATATGGTCAACACGATTGTTACGACTGACCTCAATATATGATAAGACCTGATAGGATCATCGTGATTACTCCAGGATTAAAATCACTATTCAATCGTAGCACGAATCGTAATAGTGGGACCTAGCATATCATAAACATGTCTTGTCACGGAGGTTGTCAGGACTCTTAATAATATAAAATGTAACTTACTGAATCTTAAATACCTCCAATTTCTAAATTAATATACATATTCAACATTTAGTATAATTTCTAAATAAATATACACATTCAACATTTAGTATAATTTCTAGATTAAGATCAACATTAAGATCAAATTATATTCAACATTTAGTATAATTTCTAAATGAATTTGCATATTCAACATTTAGTATAAATTCTAAAGTAATATACATATTGAACACTTAGTAATTGATATACATATTAAAGTAATATACATATTGAACATTTAGTAATTGATATAAATATTCAACATTTAGTATGATTAAGGCCTGATTGATGACAGCAATTAATGATTTAGATTCACAGAGACCCATCGCCACTATATAGAGCAGGAGCCCAGGGGGTTAACCTAGCTGAAAAGTGAACCAATTTTCTCCTATATGGTATCAATGTTTGTATATCTGGTATCATCAGAATGTAAGTCTGCCGGGTTTCTGGTGGTGGGTGTGGTATTCCACGCCCTAAATGTCATGATCCCCAACTAGGCTAGATTAGCTCAAAAGTGTACCACACGAAAATCTTACTGCAGTGTACCGTACATCTTCAGGTATTACAAAAACATTCTGACAGACATTTCTAGTGGTGGGGTACCCCTGACAGAGCTATGTAAGTGCCAGACATTTGGGGGCGTGGCATTTTGGGGCGTGTCTGTTAGGAGTAACCCACCGCACAAACTGTCTGGCAGTGGTCATTCATGACCCCTGTTGTGGTACTGAACAACTCCAAAGCTGTTTTAGGTGGTACAGATTTGAGCTAATCTAGCCTAGCTTTGGTCTAAATATTAGATAACTCTTGTCAGGGATACTCCACCACTACAAATGTCTGGCACTTACATAGCTCTGTCAGGGGTACCCCACCACTAGAAATGTCTGTCAGAATGTTTTTGTAATACCTGAAGATGTACGGTACACTGCAGTAAGATTTTCGTGTGGTACACTTTTGAGCTAATCTAGCCTAGTTGGGGATCATGGCATTTAGGGCGTGGAATACCACATCCACCACCAGAAACCCGGCAGACTTACATTCTGATGATACCAGATATACATAAATTGATACCATATAGGAGAAAATTGGTACACTTTTCAGCTAGGTTGACCCCTTGGGCTCCCGGTCTATATATGGCATCGAATGTTTTGTTTAATCGTCTTAAATTCTTTTATAGAATGCCATCACTGATGTCCGGTTAATAACAGAAGACAGTAGAGTTTTATTACGTAAAGCACGGGATGAAATTAGAACGGCTACAACTCATACACGAGTAATAACTTTGCACATTTATATTTTTGTAAAATACTAAGAAGAAAGTTCCGAAAATTTGTAATTTTTAACGGTTAATGATTTGTGAAATTACATAATTACTTAAGATTTGGAACACCTTATGCTTATTTTTTAAATATTATTTCAATATATCTCATACACGCTATATGTTTTAAAATTTTTAATCGTTCATCATCGTCAAAATCAAATATTCTTTACCCCAAAGGGAAATATGATAGCAAGTCAAGACAGACGAAGACCAAAAAGACAACCAGTGAATGGAGTAGACGGTGGGGATTTACCGCCTATCTCATATAGAACCTCAAGATCCGTATCGTCATCTTCATCATCATTATACACACCAGAAGAAAAGGCTAGATTGCAGACCTTGATACGAAAAGCTTCCGCACATGCTGAATTATTAAGAAAAACTGCACAAGATTCTAAAAGGTATTTTACCAAACAATAATGAATGTTCATAATTTTAATATAATGTATATTTTGTCGTATTTATAAAGGTATTTCCTTCAATGTGCCAACATTTATATATCATGTAACACATAGCCGATCATGACTCGCACTAGTATTATACAACGTCTGGGTAATATTCTCTTACGGTTAGTTCGTTTTTCATTTTGATTTTTGATTGAAGGCATGTATCACTACAGACCCGGGACTGTACAGCGCAATAAACCCTTACGGCTAGTTCCAGAACCCATCCCCTTGATCTGGCATGTGCGTTTGTCCCCATGCACGTACTATTAAACTACTGGGTTCATGAAATCCACTGGGCTGGAGACAGCGCCACAGACCTGATGAAAACCCCTGGACTCCTGAAAGCAACTGTGTCGATGACCCTGCTAGTTTCCCATAGCCCCGAGGTTATTTTATACTCCTTATACTCAGGAGACTTCTAAATTCAATGTCCATTTCTTCCCCCACGATCTTTCATATTTGGTTGTACTAAAAATTGGATCTGTTGTATTCCACTTGATACCACTTCTCTTATGAATTATATATGTACATCGTTTTCCTTTCTCACGAACCTTTCACCTTGGGGAGCCTGGTGGCTCAGTGAGTAAGACGATGAATCGCTAACGTGGATGTCCCTTGTTGGCCCATAAAGTTCTTCGGGAATATTCGGCGTTGTCCCCCTTGTCAGTGGTACAGAAAGGAATCACTGAAGATGGAAAAATAGGACGAAAAAACGAGGTCCTGTGTGAACACATTGCCGTGCACGTAAAGGAACCCTCGAGTCATACACTGGATGATGGCTCATGTCCGTCTTCATTAGCACAGCCGGTGGATAACCCCATTTGATTTCATTTGTTGGAATTAAAAATTAGATCTGTAGTATCTCATGAAATTAAATGGTTTATAATTGTGTATTGTTCCAGATTACTTGATCCGTTGATTGAAATGTCACGAAATCGTGAGAATCTTTCATCTGGTAGTAGAAGTAATACGGAATCGATAACTAGAAAAATCATATATACAGTAAAGGTAATTATTGGTTACTCTTTAATACATATGCCAAACATACTTCTTTAATATTGTTTAGTAAATTCTATTACTTATTAAATATGATTTCCTGATGCTTTACCAAAAGGTGGTAGTCCAATCTGTTAACTTGCATAAAGTAAGGTTATTTCGGTCCTGTTCCGGTAATAATTCACTATACGCACATTGAAGCACGTCGTTAATAAACAAATATAGCGCTTTACTGTGTTAATTATGTCTAAACATGAAACAAAAGGTCATAAGCACGTATTTGGGCTGTATAGAAATAAAACAAACGGCGGATCCAGGAATTTTTGCAGGAGGGGGTTTGCCAGGTGGCTGCGACAATGTCGCTTCCCCCCCCCCCTCCCACATGGTCTCTATCGTCATTTTGGCCTATATACACACACATTGAGCTTTTTAAACAGAGAAATTCAACACTTCGTTTGACGTCAATTTTTATTATGAATTAATACAAAGACATTGTGATTCAATTTCATGGATGCAAAGCATTAATTGTGATATCACATAATGTCTATATCATTATTTCGTGCTTTGAGTGCCCATCCTGTCCCACATCTGACGATAAAGGATAAAGCACACGGTCGAGAAACTTTTCTCATAAAAAGTGTTGATTTACAAAATATTTTATGTAGCTAAGCCGGGGGGGTGGGTCGACATCCCCCTCCCTCTGGATCCACCCCTGTTAAATTTGATTGAAATTTTAAAATATTCCCTTTTCATTATCTATTTTTTTAACTATTACAGCATGTATAAATAATATTAATGACAACAGATAGTACGTCAAAGACAATCGAAACAAATTGTAAATTGATTAAAAGTATAAAATACATATTTTAATGGTGTACATTCACAAAGCTAAAGATAATATATCCCATATGAACAGTAAATTATTATTATTATTATTACAGCATATTTATAGTGCACCCTTTCATATAACATGTTCAGGGGCACTTTACAAAGTGACAATGTAAATCACACATAAACAACAAGATTATGGGCATGTTAACGATTGTATACAGAGTCAGTTAAAAGCCTGATTAAATAAATGAATTATTTGTTCTTTTATTATTACAGGAAATGTACCCAAAACTCAAAAATTTAGGAAGTCTCATAAATTTTGACGAGAAATTACCCGTATATTGTGTATTTAGTCAAGCAGCAGATCAGGAATGTATAGGTAATCTTTGTTAATCATTTCTTCGCGCACTTCATTCTCTGTTTTATACCTTGTAGTCACTGTTTTAAAATACCCCGGTAAATAACGGTGGCAACATGTATATCCTGCTCTTTATATATATATAGAGAGAGAAATGGAGTTTAATGCCTACTCGACACAAACTAGGTCATTTCGGGACTAACATATGGTTTTAATTTTTATTTCAATAATTCGCTTGCGCATAGGGGTCTTTAGCAGTGGGAGAAAACCCACGAGGTTGGACAGGCGACCCTACTCCTTGTCACGTACAACCGGGGATTCGAAACCACGCCAGTTGACTCAATTATGACAGAGTTTATGATACAGCGTGCACACGCTAACCATTCAGTCATCCACCCCCCCCCCCATCTCTTCATATAATTTCACTATTCATAATAAACCAACTAAGAACACTCTTGTTTTTTATAGAGAAAATCCAAATTATTTGACACCGAAAGGTTGATTTTACCTTTTTTAACCTCCCTTCCTTCCTTTCATATTAGGTAACCAGGAAGAAAGTGTCGATGTTGGTGATAAACTGGGGACGTGTATCGAGGGTTCTGCTTGTGATGATACAGAAAGTTCTGGTGCAGATGAAGATGGGTCTCTACCAACAACAGATATGGATTTTGAGTTTGAGGAGGAAACTAGACCAAGTAAAGATAAACAAATAGAAATGGCTAGTGTGTTTGAGAAATTTGGTAAGCGATGTCTCAAATTTACCTATAATCTTTCTGTATATTGGCAATACGATTTATTCAAAATATTTTAAAAATGTCGCAGTTGTTTTAATGGATCTTCGTTAGACTCCATACTTCGCATCCGTGATATTTTTTATGCTGCTCAAATGAATTTGTGTTCAAATTTCAGTCGCTCATCGGGTGTGTTAACATTACATTAATCATATTTCACCATATTATTTCTTTTAATAATTTAGGATCACAGTTATCTCAAGACTTAAAAAAAGAGATCCAATTATCACAGACAGCTCTCAACAACGCTAGAAATGTTCAACTTAAAGTTGACGGTTAGTAAATTTTACATACTCTCGTTACTTACAGTGAGCAAGGGCTGGATCTCGGTGTCCGGGTGATGTCAATCTTGTTTTGCTTTTTTCCTTGGCCATCAGCTTTACTGATCAAGAAAACTGCATTCAGATAAATTATGCTTACCATTATAGCGTGGATGGTCTGCGACCTAACTCTAGCGAAACATAGGTCCACAACCCACACGGAAGCTTTAAATCCAGGGACAGGCGAGGTAACTCCACATTAAGAAAAATATTTCAAGATATTATGGATACCGAGCCCAAAATATACGCATCATATCATAAGAATATGGACCTTTATGGTGGGGGGGGGGTCATAAATTTACCGAATTGTAAAAACGGCTTGCCGTTTACCTCTTTATAAGTCGAATTATAGTTATTATTATTATCCCCTTCTAGATGATGCTGGTTAATGAAAATCTTGAAAGCATTTCACGGAATTTTCTTTAGCAAGCCCTGTGATCGGTTGATCATGGTAACGTGAAATAATATTTAATATAGGGTTTTTTTCTCTTTTTTTGTCCACATTCAGCCCAGTCTTTGAAATGGAATAATACAAAAGATAGAATAGAACAATCAACAAGTTCCATGAAAGCTTTTACAGACTTTAAATCTCGGTGGCTTCCTGAAAAAGCCAGATTAAAAGAGATTAGTGTAAAAGTTCAAAAAGCTGCCTCCATGGTTGAAATAACGTTTAATAAAACACAAAATAGATGTCTTCAAGCTACAAAAAAGGTAATATTAGAGAAACGCGTAACTACTTAATTTTTCAAACTAATTGTCAGTTATTGTATCTAGTTTCTCGTTCTTTTGCTTTGCTTTAAGATTAATGTTGTTTACAAATGTATTTATCTTTGTTCACCTAATCCATAATTTAATGTATGCCGCATTTACTAATGATAAACATGTTGACAGGCTGTTCTAAAGATAATCTGACGATTTAGTGTATATTGTATGTGTGGGCGCGGGGAATCAATAAAAGACAGTGTAAATTAAATTAATTACTTTTTGAGATATTTTGAAATGGTGAAAAAACAAAATATCTAAATGTAGTCATAATAAGATCTACTTCCGCTTTCGTTTAGTGTTTGATTTGCTTAAACATACATTATGCAAGAGTTAAATCTGCCTAAGGCAGGGCTTTCTTTAAGCCTGAAATGGTATCTAAATTATTAATGAGACATTAATTAACTTATCCAGACCATGATCAACTCTCGATGTCATCGCTAGCCTGCGATATTTACTGGAATCCAATCTGCTGCTCAACGCTCATTGATGATTAAATCAAAAAATGGATAATCGAGTCTATGTTTTTATCGTACCAACTTAAGTAATGATGATCGGGGCTAGGCCTAAAATTCAATCGCTAAATCCTCGGTTCAGAGTGGATCAATTTGACTGAAATTTTAAGCAAATTCCCTTTACATTATCTAGTGTTTAAGTGAGAACTGCCAGTTCTTTATCTAATCTCCCATAATGCATCTTTAATTAATAAGAATGGGTCAAATACAATCACATCATCATTCATTGTTTTTATAAATTAACAAAATGAAAAAGGTGGAGGTAAGATTGAATAATGTCCATTTAAAATGGCATTAGCACTTTGGAGGTTATGGCCGATTGTTAAAAGAATACTTTTCTATTTGATGCGATTTGACTATACACTTACATCAGATATATTGAAATCTTCCAACTCATCTTCCCATGCAAACTTACAGGGTTTTTTAGAAGTTTTCACGGTGTTTAACGAAAGTTTGTGAAATATATCTTATTCTATTCTAAATAGACAATTGCCTGGATTAAGATGTAAAAGATGATTGTTAGATGCATCTAAGGTTAATTTAAATAATTTAAATATAGATATTACGGTACTATTATACATGCATTATGCAAGACCTAAAACTGCCTATTGCAGGTCTTCCTTTGGGTCTGAAATGTTATCTAAATTATTTATTAGACATTAATTAACTTATCCAGACCATAATCAACACTCGATGCAATCGTTAGCCTGCGATATTTACTGGATTGGAACACATTTTGTGATGGATAATTTAACGCAAACATGGATAATCGAGACTTTGTTTATTATTATACCAACGTTAGTAATGACGACCGAGACTAGCCGAAAATTGAATCGCTAATATTTCGGTTCAGAGTTAAACAGTTTGACTGAAACTTTCAGCATATTTTGTTTTCATTATCTATTTTTTAAACTATTATAGCGAGACCTGTCAGCGCTTTCTAATGCCCCTTTAATTAGAATTATAACGCATCTTTATTTGAGAATTAACTAAATAATGAAGACGATATTTATTTACAGGCTGAAGAAATTGTAAGTTTAGTTCAAGGATTACAGAATAAAACATCTGGAGCTATAGAAGGTTCAGCAGATGATGACGATGGGGGTGACGACGATGGTGATGGCAGTGTTAATGAAGATATAGATATGGCTGCTACTAACAGTAAAGGTATTTAGTTAATAACCTTGCAGGTTGGTAAGGAATGTGTTATTATTAAATTAACTTCTTCATCGCCAATTATTTGTTCTCTTTCAAGTGCATTGGCTAGATCAGTGATGAGCAACCGTCTACATTCCATATACAAAATATTATCCGCAAAAGCAAGAATGTTATGGAAATAGAAACACTATTTACCTTACTGAGACTTGATTCTGTTTTGATTTCATCAAACTGTTGACATTTGAAGTTAAACCATATTATGCAGTTTAAACGTAAACAATATTATATATAAAGATGTTGCTAGGCCTTACTGTCGTTTAAACGTAAAGAATATTATAAAGCTGTTGCTAGACCTTACTGTAGTTTAAACGTAAACAATATTATAAAGATGTTGCTAGACCTTACTGCCGTTTAAGCGTAAAGAACATTATAAAGATGAGAAGGAGGATGTGTAAGATTTTAATAGACTGGTTCGTCTTATAAGAATAAATAACATATCATTCATAGATTAATTAATAAAATGAATTATTTTTATTTCACACTTTAGTCAATTCCGTCAAAACTGAATTAAACACATTAAAAAAACTAAGAGTAGATACACCAGTGCTATGTGAAAATGTTCAGGATAGAATTAGAAAAATGAGATCAGATATATCGGCATTAAAAGAAAAAGTTGATCAAGCCAGATTAGTTCTAGCATCACTGAAAGTAAGTTTAAATATTTTGCTAAATCCAAAAAATTCGAAATACGCATGAATCACCTAGGTTGGGGGGACAGTTTAGTTGGGCATGCCTCGGATTTCACGGTATACCTCTGTCTATAGTATCGACCAGATGTCAGAAACGATGCAATTACATGCAGCATTTTCATTGGTGTACCCGATACTTTTGCAATGTAACTTTATCATGTTTATCTATCTTCGACGACAATCACGTGTTGAATACCTGTTTAAAATCTCTTATAGCAAAACCGCAATTTGGAATAAACGTTACATTTTGAAAATTATCTATTTTCAAATCTGTTAATCCGACAAGTCTGGCTATAGAGAACCTTTTTATTCTTTTGCATTGTGAGATTATTTGCAAAAATGTTTTCTCGCTTACTGTTCAAGCAATAAATTTCGTGATCAGAAAACAGCTTTGTTTGATAATAATATTTGTTGATTGAGAATTAATTATTAACAACATATCATATTACAGTTATCAGTGAGTGTTGATGATACAAGTTATATAAAAAGTAAAGTAGAAGGAAGATCTCATTATGCATCTATAGTAACAGATATACAAGTTTGTATAAAACCCACATCAACTGATGGTATTATACTAGTAGTGGATGGTAATAATTCGGTAAGTACACTAAATGGAAGAGCTAATTTAAAGTGACATAGCTAACTTTAGTATAAAGATTTCAATTCGATCAAATTAAACCAGTGGTCCCGACTTGACGCTTGTATGCGAGAAGTAGCAGGTTGATCTGATTCAATCATGTTATTATAGGGTTTTTATTTACGATCGGGGCAGAGTGGTATTGGATGATTACATCATTTTATAGGCTCCAAATAATCTAATTTTGAGTTGAATGGATCAACCGCCATTTCTTGGCTTCATTGTTAATAAATATGTCCAATGGCTCACTTGGCTGTCGGGGAACAGTTCGGTTAGCAATGTCTTGAATTTTACGATACACGACATTCTGTAGTGCCGCTGAGACGCCATTGACCTTAAACTCATTTAAGTGTAAACTTTAATTTTTTGAAGGCAGTGGGTTCTATACCAGTACCATCTTCCATAGACAAAGTGGGCACAATAACCCTTGATATTACTTCGTATCGAGGTTCCCCGGTTATACGTGGCAAGGGGTTGGACGCCTGTCAAACCTCGTGGGTTGTTCCGGGTCCTCCGGTTTTCTCTTACTACTAAAGACCTACGCAAGTGAATTATTGAAATAAAATTGAACCATATGTTAGTCCCGAAATGACCTAGTATGTGTCGAGTAGACGGTAAACTCTCTCTCTCTCTCCCTCTCTCTCTCTCTCCCAATCTCTCTCACTCACTCTCTGTGATATGTTCCTGGGGTGTTGGTGGACCTTCGTCACTATGGTTGCCGAGTTCAGATTACATAATATGTATGCTTCTTGATATAATATATATTCTGTTGACTTGAGTTTTTATATGTATATTGTAGGCATCTTATACTCTTGAGATGGATAATGGTATGTTACGAGGTGTACTAAAGGGGTTGACGAGGAATGAGATAGCTGAATTGACAATTAGTGAACCGTTAGAACTAGATACATGGTATACAATTAGATTAAAGAGGTATGATCTCTTTCAACTACCAGGTTAGCGAGCTAACGTCTTACTCACTGTACCACCGCAGCTCCTGGTTATAAAAAAAGGATTAGTCTATAGCTAAAGATGTGACCAAACAAATAAATGCAGCTTTCTTTGTATTTCAAAAGATGATATAACATAATTTCAAAAAAGAAAAAATAAACGATTAGTAATTTTCCCAACGGGCCTCGTCACTCGACGATTATCCAGTCCCAAATCTTAAATGGAAAAAAAACATCTTCTAATTTCTAGGTTATATAACAATTAACAGAATTTATCGACATACGTAGATTCAGAATTGCTGCGGTTTGGGTGACGTGAGTCGGTTGAGTTATACCGGAGACTTCATGCCGTTTATTAAGATCAGGCGTGATGTTTTGGCGTGTTTGAAAAAGCTGTGATTGCATTGTCTTTGTTCAGTACACAGGTAGAACAGAACAGAATGATAAAACATACGCCACTGATTCTGGTCAAATATAAAATACGCAATATAAAATGATAGAATAAAAAACACGAATTGAAAAACGTGTGATTTTAATTAGATTAAAGACACAGAAAGTCAGAATGTTAATTACGCGAATTATTCTTTTTGAATTATCTTTAAAACACTTTTAAGAAGAAAAAAAGTAATTTATCATTAATTACAATCTTAATGCAACAGTGAAACATATTGTTATGCTGTTTTCGGATTCTTTTATTCGATATTCAGATTAAGGGACTCCAGTACAAAGTTTGTCTTCTCCATTGTTTTATTCTTCTATGGAATTTTGCCATTTCTAAAGAAAACTTTTCCATTTTGGTACTTCCAATTTGTCCAGACGCGTTAGTTTTACAATGTGTTGGTTTTTCCCTATATATCAAAGCACGTTTCGTAGGATTGTCGTCTTCGTTATAAGCCTGGGGCCTGTTTCACGAAATTTCAACTGAGATAAAATCCAAATTTTAGTAATTTGATTGGATAATATTAGATTGATTTTAGTGCTTAGCCAATCAAAATTGAAGTATCTACTAAAATTTGGATTTTGTCTTTAGTTAAAATTTCGTGAAACAGGGCCCTGGTTGATGCAGAAAAATGGGACGTTAAACACCATTTCATTTTTGTAGGATTGACTGTTTTCCTATAATTAAAAAGCTCCTATTTATTATTAATATGGTTTCAGAGTTGGACCCAAGCTTACAATGTGGTTAAATACAACTGATGGAGAAAATAAAAATACGCTAAGTTTTACAGCTGCTACAGATCATCACCAACCTGACCCAGGCACGGTATATATTGGTGGCGCTCCTGCAAACGTCATATCCGATTCTTATGTGAGTAAAGATATGGCGATTGTCTTGCGTTTCCTATCATTTATACCTCTAAAGATGCACCGTTTGGACTTGCCCATCAGATACACGATTATCAGGAATCTTTAGACACACCCTTTGGACACCTTCGGCGGAAATGTCTAGATGCTCCGGACGGACATCTCCTTATCAGGTCTAGAAGATCAGTCATTTGAAAATATCTAAATAATTTAGCAGTTTGCTAGGACGAGAAATATTTCAAAATATCGTCTTCCGATGGGTATGGCAGGGCCGTATTTATATAGCTCAGAGCAACCAGGTGAGAATTAGTGTTTTCGGGGGTGCTGTAAAATTGACGGACAATGTATATCAATTTTTTTATAGTCGAAAATTTTTCACGGGGGGGGGGGGCGAAATTTTTTGCGAAGCCCCCTCCCCCCTTAGTTACGGGCCTGGGGTATGGTAGTTACAAAATATAAGACGCATAGATATCTAGGAAGGAACAATATGACTTCCATATTTGATGATAATTTATGTATTATTTATTTTTAGTTTGAAACAGATGACTTCTCGTGGAAGGGGTGTATATCAGGACTGATTGTAAATGGTAAAACCGTGCCTTTATTTGCAAAGTCACACCTGGGAATCAATCCAAAACCATGTGATTCTAACTGGTAGATAGTTTTTTTTTTCTCATTATATACAATAATCCCATGCTTTTGACTTGAATGCAAAGATTCCTGGCGCATTTGTTAATTACGGTAGGCATCATATTCATAATATGGTACAATTACCAGAGTTGTGTGTAACTGTTTTATCTAGTTTACTTGGGCAATGTATATATTCTCGTTGTATTCATATATAATAGGATTCCTTCTGTGTTGCCAATTTACGTGTACATTTACACTCTTTCAAAGACAAGTTAGACGAAAGTACGACTACAATGTTTATATACATGCGAACTTTCTAGATAAAAAAAAACATCGCATAAGGTTTTCTGAACATAGTAACGATCCTCTATCAAATGTCTTTCCAAATCTGTGTGAAAACTTCATAAGTTAAGATAATCCCTTTCCACTGATAATGAAGCATCCAATTAAACATTTTTACTCTTTTTAATAATTATGTTTATTATCACATTAGTGATAACGTCTTTGGTGTGTTAAACTTTATGTTTCAGCCATCCTAGTCCAAAGGAACAGACGTCTTTAAGATTTGCTGGTGATGGATATGCTGAAATTCCCGCCTCGTTATTCTATCGGAATCCTACAGTGACAAGTGTATCAATAGAATTCCGTACCAGACAAACTAATACATTTATAATGTCTATATACCATAGACGTGAAGTAAGATTACATAATTTAGCTATGTTATTATTATGTTATATATAGAAAGGAGTTTATCCGATGGGCCTTCCAGCCAAATGGACCGTTGGGGGAGGGGAGTGGCAGGGAGGCGGAGTTCTTTAATTGGGTCTGCTCACCCTTCACCTTTCACCCCATCCTTTGAAACCCAATAACTTTGCTTCTAGGGAATGTTTATTTATAAAAGTTTGATTATGTGTTCTTTATCACGGTTAGCCACCAATCTTTGAGTGCCACCCACTATAGGGTCTCATTTGTGGTCGATTCCTTTAAATTTAATAAATTTGTTACACTCACGGTAATTTCTCTTTCACATGTGAAAGCCCAGTTTACCAATACTGCTGGGGGGACAATGATCTTCTTTTGAGTTAATTTTTAAAGCACCAATAAGTTTTTAAAAGGAAAGAAAGCATGTTAAATATCTCAGGAATATTGAAATAATACTTGTGATATATTTGTTGAAATATACATTCATCTATTTACAGCGGTTTCATCTAGAAGTGGAAATAGCGAATGGGAAGGTAGTGATTAAAACTACGACGCCCACAGAATCTACATTACTGAGAAGCGAGAAAAAATTTAATGATAATAAATTCCATGATCTTAAGGTATTTATGTATAATATTAACCGTTAAATGGCGTCGTTGATTCGTGTAAATCACAAAAGAATTTATTTATATATATAAAAAGCTGAAATTTGTCATGTTACTGAGTATAATAGTAAGTGCAGATTAGTAGCACATATCAGTGAAATAGGGGGTACATTACAGTAATAAATCCGATGTGATCTTTTAACAAGGGCACCAGTTTAGGGCCTCGCCAAGTCTAAATCCGGCTTCGCTTGTAAGAGCAACTCTCCTGAAATCGTTCAAAAGATTTTTATTTCTTGAGACAAAGTAAAAAAAAATCTTTTTTAGATGTGCATGAAAGGAGGATAAATAAGGTCCGTGTGGGCGTCACTCCAGAACCCATTTAAGGATGTGTGGGGTATTTGTCCTGTTATGACTGCTTAGGTTTGAGGGGGGGGGGGGGGCATTATTCAATAATTAAGAAGAAAACCTGCATGTGATATTGTTTCTCTGTTTAGATATCATACAGAGATAGTACGACTTATCCTGAAGTAGATGACGTAGATGGTTTGTTTTCTATAGAACGACAACCTAGTTTACATATGAAGAAAGATGGTATTCTACTTGGAGGAAAACAGAATAAATATGATAAAAGAGAAAAATCCGATAAACAACCGTAAGATTAATGAAATCAATATTCTTAAGAGTGACATATAAAAATAGACCGTGCTCAATTGAGTTTAAAAGGAGAAGCAAGTCATCGACCAGTTAAACAAATATGCGTTTGCGGTTCATAAAGAAACAGGGGTCGGTGGCTTGATAATGAGTTTGTACCCCGGCTGGTGGTAAAAGAAAAAATAAGAAAATAACTACCTAAAATAGATCAATGAGAAAAGTAAGTGGTCCTTTCCCTGTCTTTCTTGAGTGGGCTATATAAAGTATGTCCTTTAATGATTCACCACCAAACTAGTTGTTTTTATTAATAAGGAAAGAACTTCTCACTAAACCAATCCATGGCTATAGGCCGCAAATTTAAAAATCGCAAAATCATATTCTAGTATACAAGAGCAAGTTGCGGCTCTCTTAAATCTTGTCTGCGGTATCACTATTGTGATCTAAGTGAAAATGTATGTTAACCATAAAATAGTCTAGGTGAAGGCATATTTTAGCCTTAAAATAATCTAGGTGAAGGCATATGTTAGCCTTCAAATGGTCTAGGTGAAGACGGTGGTTTGCTTTAAAATGATCTAGGTGAAGACGTGTGTTAGCCTTAAAATAATCTAGGTGAAGATGTATGTTAACCTTGAAACGATCTAGGTGAAGACATATGTTATCCTTAAAATGATCTAGGTGAAGGCATATGTTAGCCTTAAAATGGTCTGATTGAAGACTTATGTTAGGCTTAAAACAGTCGTAAGTGAAGACGTATGTTAACCTTGAAACGATCTAGGTGAAGACATATGTTATCCTTAAAATGATCTAGGTGAAGGCATATGTTAGCCTTAAAATGGTCTGATTGAAGACTTATGTTAGGCTTAAAACAGTCTAAGTGAAGACGTATGTTGGACTTAAAAGGATCTAGGTGAAGACGTTAAACTCCAAAACATTTCCATTTTTGTTTTGTGTTTCAGAAATTTAATTGGTTGTTTAAGAAATCTAAGAATAAATAATGGTGTTATAGATATTTTTGAAATGGTGTCGTATGAGAATATTCATATAGGACCTTGTTTTACCCATAATGTAAGTATAATAATTACAATTACCACTGGTTATTTGTTATAGATAGTTAATAGGAAGTTAAAATATGGGGTTTTTTTACATTAAGAAGGATCGATTTTAAGATGGTTCCATGCAAAACAAAATAATAACAAACTAATCATATAAACAATATTCGTCCCAGTAGCTTTTGGAGGTCTTGTTCGGGTCATAAAATTACAATTCAGTAGGACGTGATTTGCCTAAATAATCACATTGTGGATGTTCAAATTTGAGACATCAATACTCTTATTGTACTTGTCAAACGTAAGCCGTAGATTATTTGAAGATTCATCTCTGTCTATTTATTACTCATATATTTTGAATCAACGCCATGTAAATGACACCAAAATAAAATCTAAATTGAATGTATTAATTTTAGATATGGGATAATTGTGTAAAGTTCAATGCTGAGAGTAATGCAGTAGAGTTCATAGATCAAAAGATGGTATATCTAATAGACTTAACAATAAGTCGAGATTCATCGGGTCAATTACTTCATTATACTAAAGGTTCAGTAAGTATTGTTTACCCGAACGTTCGATAATACTTCTTAATATTTTTTGTATTTAAACAATAAATCTAGAATACTCCATTATACTAAAGGTTCGGTACGTGTTGTTTACCTGAAATTATTATGGTCAACAAATGTTGTTGTTTTTTTTTTACTTTTATGTTTAAACAATAGGGCCGATATATTATTAAATGTAAGATTAAAATGTCATTCCTGTGAACACGGAAGTTTATTTCATGTCTGACCATATTAAAAGTATATGAGAAACAAAAATTAAAATATAAATTCAAAGAGATTTCAGATTGTCTATAAACTACAACCACGTACGTCTACAGTCTCTTCCTAAAATAACACAATACATTTACCATAATCTGCTTAAAATTAAAATATTCGGATTCGTGAGAATAAGCTTACGAAAAAATCAAATTCAGATATTACCATTCCTCACTTTGTAGAATTTTCTATTGTTATTTAAATTATTCTGATCGCACAAAATCTAGATTAGCAAGTAGCGGACACAACTAGATGATCAGTACGTCTGGCTAATATATAGTGAAACTAAAAGTTTTGTTACAAAGAGTTCGAGATGTTTAATTGAACCGCTGCTTCGTGGAACTTTGTCAGGCAACACTCGAACGTGTGCCATATACACTGAGCCACCGTGGCAATCTGTTTCACAGAGGCATAGCGAAAACCTTCTTTTAACTCTGTAGCGAATGACTGGCCTTTAATTTGAAGAGCATTATAGATCTACGTGTGACATCACAAATTACGGCCTCGGTGACACGTACGTTGTTTACATAGGACATATAACACACTGATCCGGACAGAAATGTCGCCTTTTACTCATTTTAACTACCCATTTTATCCAAATATGCTTCCAAGACATTTATTTGTTTTCTTAATAATTTGAAAAGTTGTTTTAGAATTTAATTTGCAGAAGAAAAAAGCTTAATATTGATAGCTAATTAAATCGCTGCGATGGCCTCCCTTTCAGTGATTGTAGCGGCCAAGGGAATATTCACCACTGATCAGTTTGCTACCGTGGCGCTAATACGAATATATTAAATACCCAATACCCAGTACTATATCATCAATCTGATTAAAACACATCCGATTTCTGGAAGTGTTGTTATATAACTTCTTGGCATGCGATGCACGACACTGTGGGTAAACCACTAGAAACGTCAACGCTGATTGATAAATCAATGTCTGACGTCATAGGGTTAAAAGTTGCTGACGACCTCTGACGCGACCTTTTACTACAACCGGTCAGATCTTCATGTAGCGTAGGCCATCAAAAGTCTATAAAAAAAAACCCAACGAAATATAGATCTGTATTTTAACCAGATTGACTATATCATATGATATGGTCCAAAACTTTATATCATAGTCGTTGTGGTAATGTCTTTCAGGATTTCAACTTGTTATTATCAGTTAAAGATGGTATTTTACTTATAACAGAAACAGTTAAAAGTCTTACAGCAGAGATTAATTTTCCACCTAATAGGACTTTTATACCTTTAGTAGTGCGTGACGATAATGGGAAGTAAGTACGTTTTCAGAGCACAAATTCAACGATTTGGTATAGCTTTATAAAAGAAAAAGGTGACATGCGCTGCAGTCAGTGCTGGATGAACCATTTAGCGAAATAAGCACGTGCTTAGGGCATCATGGGAAGAGGGCACCATAGAATTTCTGCTTTGTTAGATGACGAATTCTAAATATTTAATTTAAAAATTAAGAACTTTTAATTAGTTTTACATTTTTTTATTGTCTTTTTTTAATGTTACCTTATTTGTTTCAAGTTGTGCTAATAATTTTGGATATATATATATAATGATGTGCATAAAACCACAGAAAACTCTATTATTATTGTTTGCATTTTAAATTGTATACTAATGGGGGCACCAGAATCTTCTAAGTGCTTAGCTTAAAGTCTTTTCGTGACTTAATGCTGCCCTGTTTTGAGGCATATAGCTGTAAGGTGTGGAAGGTAGGTCAAGAACTGGTCCCGAAGCCCTACCGGTACCCATCTTGTTGTTTTTCAACTACAATCGAAATGAAACTGCATATGTTTGCTCCTTGGACAACTGCGATTTTTGATATGACGCCACGCTCGGTTCCCGGCCTAGTATAACATAGTTAATGCAAGTGTATTTTGATGCCCTGTCAATTAATGAACCGCATAAATCATTTCATTTTTTCTCTCTTTAGGATAGAGATAGTTGTATTAGGAGAAGAGCGATCCTTTAGTTACGGTGGGTGGTTTTACAGTAATGATCCCGACACCCTGTATACTATTATATTAGGGGATGCAAGTGAAGACAAATTTATTGGAGACATTGCTGAATTATCGATCAATTCTGAGTAAGTATGATGAAACCATGTCGCGGTTTGGCTTGGTATCTAACTTCTTCGTTATAAAAAAAAATGGTAGGCCAAATGAAGAAAAGGAGTAAAATATAGAACTCAATGCAGAATATTCCCAATGGTTTGCGCGTGCGCGTTGTATCATAAAGTCTGTCATTGAGTCAGCTGGCATGATTTCGAATCCTAGGTTGTACCTGACAAGGAGTAGGGTCGCCTCTCCAAAGAGCTTCATGTCACTTAGTTTCCAAAGTATGGTTTTTAAGATAAAGCTACAACAATCATCCAACTTTTTGATTTTTATTTACATTAATGAAACGACGAAATGACAATCTTTACGTATTTTTCTCTTCAGGTTACATGATCTATCATCCAGGAGCAATGAGAATTTATTATTATCATGTGTTAGAGAAGATACTCAACCTATTGTTAATAATCTAATATTACAACCATGTCGTTAGATTACTATATTTACTTACACATTTTACCTATACTGTATTATTATATTTACATATTTAATTTCATACAAACATTTTACTTTCTAAACACTAATAACAGAAGATATTATATATTGTTCTAGAGTTTTATATATTTTACACTTGGTCCAAAGGATTAATGTTCATGTGACATAACTACAATATTCCTTTGTCACCCCCTTCACTTCTAACTTTCCCGCTAATCACTTGATGTGAGTAATTTTAAAATTGGTATAAGCACGATTTTGAATTTGTGTTCAGATTTATTCAAATTAAGATGATCACAGGATCCCTTATAGAAATCTTTTTCTTCAGAAAAGCCAAATGCTCCACACCCAAAATCAATTAAACCTATTACGTTCACAAGGTTTTTGGCAACGGGGTTAATGATGAATAATGATAATGTTCGTCCTGTCATGGAGTCAATGCTTCATACCCAAACTGAAACAAGATCCGTTGGGTTTTAAATCCGGAACCCTGTAAAAGATTAGCTACAAATTGAAGCCTTGATCGCGTTAACAGGGTTTTCGGAAAATTTGAGAGGGATGGGGGTAACTCTGGAACGAAAAGTCACGGAGCTCTAAAAGGAAATCGATAGGGTTCGTCATTTCATCATCCTTAAAACTTATTCAACTTATTAAAACTCGACCATTAAAACTAATTCAGCACAAAGCAGCAAGAATTGTTTCCAGATCAAAACCGTTCACTAGTATTACACCTGTACTCAAAAAACTGCATTTGGTGCACTTAGAATATCGCATTAAATTCAAAATCTTATGTTTCACATACTCTTCCCTATACTCTACTGAATTCCATGAATACATATCCACACTGCTACAACAATACCAAACAACCGGAATCCTTCGTTCAGAGAACCAGAACCTATTAGTTGTACCAAAAGTAAAAAGTAATCTTGGTCACCGACACTATGGAATGAGCTTTCACTTGAACTGAAAAGTGCAGACAACATAAATATTTTCAAAAAGAAACTAAAAAATTATTTTATTAACGAAGCTTTCGTGATTCCCCAGGGTGATCTTTAAACTTTATTCCAACGTGACATTATTTAATTTTCTTTGTTTTTCCCGGCTATTATTGATATTGTAACAGCGCATCAGAGAAGCTAATCTAGGTGGTAGTTGGCGCTCTATAAATGTCCATTATTATTATTATTATTAGCCCAATGCTTCACACCAAATTTGTACAAGAAAATCCATTAAAAATCCTGGTGGATTCGATATTTTATTCATGCATTTGTTGGAACTGCAAGTAACGTATGGTATAGGCTTTTACCGTAAAACGTCTCGTATTAAGGTATAATCTGTCTGAAATTAGGGTACACGTATATAGACTTATCTCTCCCCAAGGTACATATAAATATTATACAAAGATTTTACCACAATGTCGATTAAAGAAGCAGTATTGGGCTAGATCTTCGCCGGTTTGAAAAAGAAACAATGTCAATTTGAATCGGTTTGACTATAGAACTAGATCGGGCGTCTTCAAACTAGATTGAATGCAACATTTAACAGAAGTATACCTAGCCAAACTATTTCTAAGGTATACACGATTCATCTTTCAACAACAACTTCCACTACAATGTAATGGTTTTCAAGGAGTATAACGACCTTTCAGGAAAAATTCTTTATTTTAGGAAGCAGAACAGGTGAGTTTTATATATATTCAAATTAAATTAAATTTATTTTCTTGAAGGGATTGTTAAGGCCCCTTTAAAAGAAAATTTCGAACAAAGGTACTTGGACCATTTCGCATATTTTGGCGTGTAATTTACAAACTTAAACCTATATACTCTCAGTTACGTTGCCCAGCCCCCCCCCCCTTCCACCCTTTAAGCCAACCTATTATATGACCCCAGAATTAAACGTGGGAATCCTATGTTGATTTTTTCTCAAAATGGCATGCATAAACCCTAATTTTGAAATATAAATAATGGGTTTAATTGAATTGTTAACAGTTATATTCCAACATTTGTATGTCATCTCAGTGTTTTTGATAAAGAATTGATATGGGTCAGAAGGATTTTAATTAATTATTCTAAAATTACGAGAAAAGTGTTAACCAGCAGCTGCCAGACAGGATACGCCCACATTTTGCAAGAGACGGATAGAGAACATTGTACAATTTAAAGGCATAACGAATAGGGTATAAAAACAGGCCGAGTAGGCATATATTAGTTTGTTATTAAACTGTAGTATATTGAATTAAAGATGCAGTATATCAAATTTAGATAAAGAGCTGGCAGTTCTTGCTATAATATTTCAAAAAGATTTTGACAAGATCCAGCGTAAAAGTCTCGACAATATACAAAGTCTTGATTATCCATTTTAACGTTAAATTATTAAATGGCGACAGGGATCAAATCCATTCAATATCTCCGCCAACCGAGGATCTAGAGAGATTGTTATAGGCTTGTCATAATCATTTAAAGTACATTTGAAACCAAAATAGACTTGCAATAGGCAGATTTTGCTCTTACATGATGCATTTTTAAGTGTGTTTAATGTTTGCACCTCTTCATTGAGGAGCGAGTTACTTGTGACATTTGGAACCTGAAACTAAAAGATTATATATGCTTGTGTTGAAAATTATGAAGACTATAGACAGGCTCGGAGTAAAGAAATAAGGAAATGTTGACTCCAGTGCTCATATTACTACTTAAAGCCACTTAAAAATGTTTACTTTGCGGACGTCAGCAGCATAAAAAAATTCGTATATCAACAATGATGTCAAATGTTAGTTTTATATCTAATATTACAAGATAAAAAAAAACATCTACTAGTAATTATTTTAAATACATAGAGGATATAAAATTGATCTCATAAGAGAAATGATAAACATTCATATAGATAATTTTATTCAATCCATCCAGTTTCGTCTCTTCTTCAGATTTCAATAAAGATAATCTATCACGATTGAGATCAGTCGCATTGTGTTGGCTAAAACCTATGTGCATAAAAAGCTTTTAAGTAAGTTCATTTTAATGTTAGTTCTATATCTGAAAAATAACTAATAATTTCATGTGATTTGATTACATAAAGGGTTGATCAAACAAGAGATACGATAAATATTCATACATTATTCAAACCGCTCGGATTATGATAAAACAGTTTTGTTTTCTGAAATCGTCTATTCTTTAATGGTTTCATTCAAATATAATCATTAAAATCAATCGATATTTAGAATTGTGTGGGCTAAAACCTACGAGCATATAACATAATAGATTTAAGTCAGTTGTCATATTTATTAGATATTTCTCAAGCTTGAGTATTAAATCTTGCTGGAGTTTTCGGACAAACCAGGAATTACGTACGGTGGTTGTTATTTTGTTGGATTGGGAGTTTGTGCAATAGTTTGGACCGGGATTTAATGCCATACAAAGCAGCAACAGCATCCTAACCTATATTGCAATACTATATACGTGTAATAGGAAAATTCGTGTACGAACATTAACTGTATTCTAGTTAAAGTCCTTTAAAAGGGTAAAATTGGAAGATGAACACCAACTGTTCAGATTGTGATCCGTATTTATTACGGTCTAAAATAAGTGAGTCTTATTCCAGAATTTGTTCATTTCATTACTTCTTTTTGGCTTTGGTAGGTGTGGTTGGATCTGTCGGGAACATTTTGGTTCTCATAATAACACTGACCAATAAGTTTAAACAAAAGAAGAATCCTGATTTGATATCTATCATCTTCCTGGCATTTGTAGATTTATTTGTTTGTATGTTTTTGGTGCCATATGAAATTTATAAACTCAGGCACTACTATTCCCAGACAAATTCCGTCATGTGTAAATCTTTCGAATGGGTGCGATCATCGTCATTAACTATATCATGTTTCATACTGTTAGTGGTGGCCGTAGATCGATGTAAGGTTATAAGCAGTATGCAAACGCAAACATTCGGATACGCCAAACGACTACGAACTATACTGATCGCAGTTGTTTTCGTTTCAGTTGTGCTTATGAGTCCGATCGTTGTATTTAAAGGAATTGAAACTAATCCCGTAGATGTGCCTCTGCTACAAAGACTGGGCATTTTGGGGTATAATGAAACTAGTGTTCTTGTGAACATCTCCTCAGTAACTATTTGCGAATATTTAGATGTATTTAACAGCTCTTGGTCGTTATTACTGTATGCTATGAGCTGTATGGTTATATTTGTGATTCTTATAATAATAACTGTTGTTTGTTACGGAAGAATCTACCTTGTAATCAGTAGTGGGCCTAATCTTTCAAAGTTAGCACGGAACAGGATATGGCCGAAGTCAACGAATCACCCACGACCAACAAAAGATATTCAAAACAAAGTAACACAACCTCAAAAAGGTCTGTACAAAGTAAACGTCATACAGACAGATGGGAGCCCTTCTAAAAAGGAACCCGGGGACGTGGAATTGTTTTATTCTACGAAGTCCAAAGTCAGTGCCGCTAACGTTTTCGTCATATTTAAACAGAACATGCAAGAAGACAACAATAAAGCAGCAACACATAAAAGGAAAACTGCATTCGAGTCACCAACCAGACGAAAACAGATATTTGTGGCAAAGCTTTTGTTTCTGATTACTGGATTTTTCATTCTGTCGTGGACGCCATTTTGGGTGATAACTTGCTGGTACATCATTGTACCTGATTTGGACAACCGACTAAATAAAACACAGACGGCCATTATATATAGTTTATACAATTTATATTTTCTAAATAATGCAGCCAATCCCGTATTATATGGTATTTATAGTGAAAAATTTAGATTACAGTGTAAAGACATATTTTATTCATTCGGGTATCGCCTCAAACGCATTTTTCTGATGGACTCACCAGTAGAACATTAAAATGTAATATTTTTATTCAGGAATTCTGATGGGATTGTGGAACAGGCTTAGCTTATGTAAAACCCTTCTCCGTATAGAACTTTAGGCATGTTCTGTTGTGTTCACCAAATAATTAGTGATTGTAAAAGCGTGCAACAATCAAACTGTGGAATTAAATTTTGTTGATTCGTATACTAGCTTATGTATTGACACGAACTTCTTGTTATCCGCGCTTTTCAATATTTTGTGTTAACGTCTCCAAAAAGTTCGGTAAATGCTACATATTCTATTGTTACGCTTTGATTGATTCACCAGAATTGTCAGTGGTTTTCTATCTGTTCTCAACCCTTTTCTAATTGCATAAATTTACAAATCTCGGAGAAACTAACACGTCTGCCTTTCCTTTCTTCAGCCAGATTGGCCATATACGGGGTCATTGAACATCTGGCTTGCCATCAATATTCACATAGTCTTTGCTAAACCCTAAAATTGGCCATCTTAATTGGAGAAAAGTGAGTTTTGTTGAGGTGATGAATTTGATTATCTGAAGTGTTCATTTCTGTCACACTTCAAATTTTCAATGAAATAAAGAAAGCAGAAGTGATATGGACGTGATGATGAAGTCATATCAAATATGCAAATTAGGCTACCCCCTAATAATTTCACTTCTTAGAATCAGGCCCATAGCTAAGGGGGAGAGGGGGTCAAGGGGGGGGGGGGGGTCCCGTAAAAAATTGTCAACCATAAAAACATTAGATATCCATTGTCCGTCAATTTTACAGCACCCCTGAGAACACTTCCAGTCCCCCTCGTTGCCCTGGGCTAGTTACGACCCTTTGTACAATAAAACTGATCTACATGGTAGCAACCTATTACACTGTTAGTCTCGGTCACCCAGAACCTCCTAGTCTTCAACATACATGAACTCGCATGCAATCAAATGGATTTTTTGAAATGACATTCTTAAATTAATTTCATGGGCGTAAACATCTTGTTTTAAGAGGAGTTACCTCCCTTAGACATTGTTTATGATAATGTGAAAGACCGGATTATCTAGCCAATTTTTCTCAAATGTTGACAACCTGTCCAGACTAATATTCGTAGAATATTTTTCTGGATGATAGAGACTATTACACTGTTTGCGTCTACTGGTTGTATTTCCTGTAGAACATTAAGTGTAGATGGTCTCAGACTAGCAATTATTTGCCCATTGACTTCAATGTTAAATGACTGTAACATCACAGGCTGTAGCTTTTTGCTCAAAATTCCGCTGGTTCCAATCTTTATTGGCACAATGGGGACAACATTGGCAATCTCCTCATCATAATTTTGTAGGGGGTTGACCGTCTAGATTTTTTGCTACACGGATTTGAAGTTGACAGGGGTGAAAATCTCACTTCCGACACAATGATTGCTCTGCAGAAAGACACTTTACACCCCCTATCCCTCCGCTGTAATATCATCAGTATTACCCAAAACTGCTATGAAATTGCAAATTTGATCCCTTTTCTCCAATTCTAGACCAAAAAGTCAACCCAAAAATGCAGGAAGAGGGGAGAAAAAAATTAAGGGAAAAATTGTCTATTTATAACTCGCACAGATGAAGTACAATGACGTCTCCCTCGTTTCAAATACTTCAAAAGTACAACAGGGTCTCGGATTTCAGTCATTGGTGGGGTTTTTTTTAGTGTAAAATGTTGTCACAGTTAGGCCAATTAATTGGTGTTGAGATTCTCTTTATGGCTAAAAACTATCGTTGACAGTTAGAAGTTAAAGTAAAGTAGGCAGAATTGTTGCTGTCGGGGCTATACCCATATACTTCCTCTCCATCGATGTGCACACGAACATATAAAAATAAAACATATCGCGAAGTGTTGGCTTAACATTAACCCCTATTCCATATTTGGATCTTATTACTGCTCTCACGTCATGTCACTCAATAAATATGGTAGAATAATGTTCAATTATCACCAGCAAATTGTCATGGAGTATTGTTCTCGCATGTTATTTGTCCATATAAACCAAAAAAAACCTCGTCTTGTGTCTCATTATCTAAATGTTTGTTTGTGTGTGTGTGGGGGGGGGGGTGTTACGGAGGGTGTGGGTTAGGGTGACCACCCGTCCCGCATTTCGCGGAACAGTCCCGCAAAATGTTTCCAAGTCCCGCGTCCCGAAAACCAGCCAAAATGTCCCGCAATTGCTCACATGGAAGATTTCTATACAGTAATATGCGTGAATCTAGTCTCGTTATAGTCTATTTAAGAGTATTAGTCTAGTCAAAATACTGAAAGATCCACCACAAATTCCTTTAGAAGGTTTTTGGTACCAACATATATAAATGACCTTTCCCTGTACATCATTCTGAAAATCCACCGAAATCTACCGGCGTGGTTCCCCCTTGTCACTGGTGCAGGACAGAGGGTCTTGGTCAACGTATACTCATTCGGATGAGACGCAAAAGAATCCTTGGCAGTTGGAATTATATATAAGAGTAGGCTGTAACACCAGTCCCGGGCACAATTTCCCTCATAGGACACAATATGGCGTATGCCCGTCTTCATTAGCCCAGTCGGGCGTTAAATCCCATTTCAATTACGTTTAACTCAAAGAAATATATATTTTAATGTAATAAACATAAGAAATGGAAAATATTGACAAAAATCAACGAATAAAATTTATATAACATTGACACCCCACCCCATCTCTTGCACTACACATACAACCACTATCAGCAGCGCAACCGACAACACCACGACCGTCACCATACTAAAATTAAATTAAACGAATATAATTAATTCACATTTTATATTTAAAAAATATTGTAAAGACCTGCCCTACCAGTAGTAATCAAAGTTCTCATACAGTACATCTTTGTAAATCTCCAAATATTAACTTACAACTTGGAAAAGTGCTTTGTCCTATGCCAGACCTCTTCTATGTCAGAACAGTCGAGGGAGAGAGAGAAGAGAGGAGAGAGAGAAAAAGATAAATGGGATTTTACGCCCACTCGAAACAAACTATAATTCGCTTGCACATAAGGTCTTTAGCTTTGGGAGGAAACCAGTGGACGAGGTTAGATGGCGACCTCATTCCTTGTCACGTACAAGCGGAGAATCGAAACCACGCCACTTGACTCAATGACAGAAGTTATGATCTAAAATGCATGCGTTAACCAATGGGCCACCCAACCCCCCTCTTACACAAAGAATATTAATAAAATTAAATAAATACTAGTATTACAATTTGTTACATGGTGAATCACATAAACAAAAAACATGCCTCGTTATGTACAGTTTTCAAAGGTCACTCGACGATTCAAGTCGGGGATTTGTTTTTTGTTATGAAGGACGGGGTATGATATAGAGGATGGTGACTGATGTAAGGGGACGAAAGTTCATTTACGACAAGGGTTCTAGTTGTGATGAAGGACGGTGCTCTTTTATGGAAGAAGTGGGTGTTTGGAGGGGTGCGATGCTTTATGGATGATAATTTTATGAAGATCCTGGGATGTGTTATGATTGACTCGACACTTTGATGTGGAATACTTTAGGTTACAGGATAGACAAACCGAATTTTAGATTTAGAACACGGAATTTTCGGTTCCGGTTCCTCTTTAAACCCACAGGAAAGTGCTCTAAATTTCATCCACGGCGATGTAATTTTTAAAAATGTCCAGTTGACGATCCTGAACCCCCCGTCGTTGCATAAAATACTCACACTGATTCACGCACAGGCTGACTAATCGAAAACGTAATCAGAGAAATACAAACAACATTCCGTGATCACCAGAAGCGTTGACTGAAGCTGCAAGGAGTGGTCGATAGGGCATTATTTCAGAAGAGAGGTATCTTTTTCAAAATGGAAGGCACTTTTTCAAAAGGAAGGGCACTTTATCGGAAGCGAGGGCACACAGCCACCCCAGTCTCTATACTCCGGTTTCAAACATTTTCGGTTACTTTTGTTTCTTGCATTTATGAGGCCAGGGTATTCTGCTTACCCACCCAACACGCCTCTGCTTACGGAAAACTGTTTACTTCAATTCTCATAGAAATTTAATAATAATCACCATTCAAAAGGGGAACGGGAACGAAAGACTATAAACAGAGGTCATTGCATTCATGAGATGAGGAGAATGTTTGGTGGCCTGATTGCTATAACCGGATAAATGCATCTCGATTGCTGCTAGATTATATTTGTGTTACATTCTTTACATTCTAATTTATCGAGCTGCATTCTGTTTGAATTATAGGACGTTCGAACCATATTCGGCGGCCATTTCAGGGGCGTTCTGACTGCATTCGAGGTGAATTTGTACAGCATTCGAGCCAACGTCCAACAGACTTCTGACGGTATTTGGGAAGCGATCGACCCGCACCCGTACGGCATTCTGTATTCTAAATATTCTGACTGCATTACTGTGGCCCAAATGCAATCGAGCTGCTTTCGAGCGTTAATAGTATACAACCGGAATGTGCAAGAATCATTCGAAGCACATTCTAGGCGGGCGGGGGGGGGGGGGGTCTAGTGGATTAACGCGTGCGCGCAAAATAATAAGGTCTGTCATTGAGTACGTGACGTTGTGCCGTCTGTCATCTCGTGCCCCCCCCCCCCACACACACACTGCTTAAGACCCCTACGCGCAAGCAATTTATTGAAATAAAATTGAACCATATGTTAGTCCCGATGCCGATATATCATCTACCTTGATTTACACTATTTTATATAACAATATAGTTAATACGGATAGTATGCTACTTCAAGATGTCCATATGGAGAACACCATACATTTCGAGCAAGAAATTTTCACCATACCTGGCCGATTCTCCACTGCAGTCTTTATTTCATTTATTACCCATTTTTCTCAGATGTGTGTATAGTATGGGAAACATTTGAGTAATATAGTTTTATACAGAAATACACGCCATGCATATGTATTCTCCAGATATAATGTACGTTGTTTTGTTTGTTTGTTTGGGGTTGTTTGTTTGTTTTTTTGGGGGGGGGTAACAAAAAGACATCGCCACATGTTGCTCGATCTACTCCTTCTGTGGTAAAAATGATTCCACTCACGAAAGATTTGGGGAAACGGTTTGTAATCATAGAAGTGGTCTGCATCCTGTATGTATATCGGAAATGATATTTTGGAAACTAGGAACTCGAGTCTAGTTGTTGTTTAATTTTCTCGGCATTTGGCATAACAGTAATAGGTTTAACCTTAAAAACTACCAGTTTTAAAAATTATTCTCTCTGAGGATTTATAAATCATGAGATGAAGTTACTGAGATGATACTGAGTTTTGATCTCTGGAGATGTTGCGTAACATAGTAATGATGGCGGCCAATATCAGTCAAGCTCAAGTGAGCGCAGTTTCTCGAGAGAAAATCCAGTCGTCGCTGAAGACGGTATTGGAGAAGATTTCGGCTGTGTCGTTGAAACGGCCAGATGTATGTAGATGTCTAATTTTTTAAAAACAATACGCTAATATTATGCCAGGACGTCCAAGGTTGCTTTTTACACAGCCTGTTATTGTTATGTAACCTGATTTGTATGTTACCCAAGGGAGGTAACTCTATATAAACTATACAGGAAGCAGACCACCAATTATTCTATCATTGAATTTAATTTATTTTTTTTCTCTCATAAACTCAAAATTCTGTTTGACCGAACATTCTCCACCACAGATAACCCCTTTTCTGATGACATTGATTTCATTCCACATCATTTCTTGTCTTCTCATACGTCCACACAGTATATTTCAGTTCAACGAAACATATACTATTTGTTAAGAACTGCACAAAAAGTTAGGTCAACGTACTTGTCAAAAGTATAATTTTCCTGCAATTATGTACTATTCCTTGTCAGTGGTACATACAGGCATTGTGTGTGGTAGACAGATTGTAATAGGAAATGGAGCCACGGTGGCTAAGCGGATAAGACGCTGGGTTGCAAGCCTGGATGTCACATGTTCGATCTCTGCATTGGCAGAGAAAGTTCATCAGAATTTTCCGATGTGGTTTCCCCTTGTCAGTCGTTCGATTGGGACAAAAAAACAAGGTTCCGTGTATGCATTGGCGTGCATGTGAAAGATCCCTTGGCAGTTGGAATTCGATATAAGAGTAGGCCATAGTGCCGCTGCCTGGGCAAAATTTTCCACATAGCACAACATATGGCATATGCCCGTCTTCATTAGCTCAGTATAGGAGCAGAATAGTAGGACTTTAAAGTCAATTTTATTGTCCCCTGCCTTTTGTAGAAAGCAGGGGATTATTAAAATTAAAATGGGTTCTGTCTATCTGTCTGTCCGTCCGTCCGTCCGTCTGTCCGTTCATTCGTTTGTCCGTCTGTGACACTTTTTGGGACAGAATAACTCTCTTTCTAATTGAGCTAGAATGGTTAAACTTGGTATAGGTGTTTGTTAGGTCAGTGCCTTCATGGAGATCTAATATGGGCATTTTCTGCTTAGGGTAAGAAGAGATAAGCTATTTGATTGGTTAATCCTTTGGGACACGATAACTTTAGTTGTAATTAAGTGGGGGGTTGGGTGGCCGAATGGTTAGCACGTTTGCGCTGTATCATAAGGCCTGTCATTGAGTCAACTGGTGTGGTTTCGAATCAACGGTTGTACGTGACAAGGAGTAGGGTCGCCTGTCCAACCTGGTGGGTTTTCTTCGGGTCCTCCAGTTTCCTCCAACTGCTAAAGACCACTACGCGCAAGCAAATTATTTAAACAAAATTAAACCATAATTAGTCCCGAAATGACCTAGTTTGTGTCGAGTGGACGTTAAACCCCATTTCGCTTTCTCTCTCTCTCTGTAATTAAGTGAGAGTGATGAAACTTGGTGTATAGTTTCATTACATTAATACCTTGACTAAGTTCGATAATGAGCATTATCTGCTCAGGGTAAGCAGAGCGATAAGCAATTTGATAGGTCGAGACTTTGGAACACAATAACTTTCCTTCTAAGGCTTCTAGTTGAGGTAGAATGTTAAACTTGGTGTAGGTGTTCATTAGGTGAATGTCTTGATGGAGTTCGATGATAACCATTGTCTGCTTACTGTAAGCAGAGATAAGCAATCTAATTGGTTGATGCTTTGGGGCACGATAACTTTAGTTTTAATTAAGTGAGAGTGATGAAACTCTGAGTATAGATTCAATATATCATTACCTTGACTAAGTTTGATGATGAGACTTTTCTGCTTAGGCTAAGGAGCGATAAGTAATTTGATTGGTCAAGACTTTGGAACATAACAACTCTGCTTTTAATTGAGGTAGAAGGTTTAAACTTGATGTAGATGTTCATTAGGTGAATGTCTTGACTGAGTTCAATGATAAACATTTTGAGCTAAAGCTAAGCAAAGCTTATCAATTTTATTGGTCTATGCTTTCAGACAAGATAACTTTGATTCTATCTGATAGAGAGTGATGAAACTTAGTATATAGTTGATAATCAGTTTGATTGCTTGATACTTTTGAAAAAAATTAAATGTGCCATTACATGTAATTAATATGTGTTATCTATTTATTTTGGGATTTCGGCGGGAGACCTCAATCAGCCTCATTTCATTTATAATAGCAAAAAGAAAGCCATGACAATGGGGCAAGGTAAAAGCCCATTATTACAGTAAAACACGTTTGTAAAAGGCAAATCACAAGATGCTGCAAAACTATCATATAAAGAAATGTTGTTGACCAAAATAAAGAGGAATAAACAACTGATAAATAAACAAAAAAGTCTGGTACTGGTACCTGTCATTTTATCTGCCATTGATTTCTTTTTTTGTTGTGTCTTGATATTTTTAATACATGTCCGGGACATTTCAAATGTCAACTGTCATGTCCTACTAGTTGATAGTCAGGTACAACTAAAATCATTATTACAGGCCTACATGTTGGTATTATTAATGTTGATATTTTTTTTTTTTTTTTTTCAGGTACGTTCTACAAGACGACCTCGTCTTGTAGCTGTAAGTAAAACTAAACCACCAGAGGCCGTTTTAGCAGCATATGACTCCGGACAGAAACATTTTGGGGAAAATTATGTAGGTTAAGTTAGCTTCAAAGATTTGTAAAGAGGGATTATGAAGAAAATCTAGTCTTTGATTTTGTAACTGCAATACCATACTATCAAATGAGCCATTATTAGGCTATGAAGTATGAACATGGTCCCCAAGCTTATGTCGCCATATATTCAGAAAATTGATGTAGGCTAATCTGTTAAGATATAAACCTAATAGATTTGTATATAATACATACATTGACATTACAGTATATGTAATTGCGCAGTAATTCATGTGAAGAGTTTTTAAAAATAATATAGCATGTTGTTTCTCCCATATAAATATTCATAATCCTTCACAGTGATACTCAAGTAACATGATCTGTTCCATTAATATGCAGGTCACAGATATTGTTTTTGTGTTGTCTTCAAGATTCATCTAGCCTAACAAATTTAAATGCACACATGTACGTCAGGTTGAACTTCCAAGTTTTAGTTTTATTTAATTAGATTCAGTCATACCACACACATATTCATTTATTAATTACCGATAATTAATTAAATAGGTTGTTTTGAAATATAATTGGAACAGATCAAAAAGTTAATATTGCAACTTAATTAATTTGTTGTTTGTGTCAGTGATCAATTATAATTGATTTTGTAACAGTGCAGTAAAATTTGATAATTCTTGTGACCATATAGAAATAATAGTAATATAATGGATTTGTATAGTGCCTTGTATTCAAAAGTTTTGTCACTGGCGTTGAGTTTGTCTGTCACAGTTGCGCGGGATTCCCGTCATCTGTACTGAATAGGTGTGTTTTTAGCTAGGATTTGAATGTACGCAGTGATTTTGCATCCTTAATATATGATGGTAACCTGTTCCACAGTTTGTCTTTGTGAAGATTTTACTTGAAGTAGATTCTGAAGTTAGGCAGGAGAGGTGGTGTTTGGCTGTAAACATTTGTAAGTTATTAAAAGTATTTTGTAATAATGAGTTGATTGATAGTAAGCCAATGTAAATCTTTATTTTTATTATTTGTAGGTTATGGAATTGATAGAGAAAAGCAATGACGAAGAGGTAAATAAATGAATGAAGTATTTACATGTTTGAAATGTTCTGGATTTGTTTTATCAGTTTTTAATATGATTTGATCAAGAAGACTTTTCATTATGGATACTGTTCAGAATCTGTGCAATGAAAGTAACTAAGATTTGATGCATGTTATTAATGACAATACCGTACCACCAAATGTGACATGTATTGAGCATGAGGTTTGGTTATTCGTTCACCATGAATTGTAATTATATATAAAAAAGATAATTGATTATTGTCAAAATGTATTGAAGCAGGTTTCCATGCTTTATTTTTTCGGCTTACGTAAGACATGGTCAAACTGTACTCTTTGAATACCGTTATTATTATTTTATTAATGAATTTATACGTGCAGATATTTTATTAAACAATTATATGTGGCATTCAACTGATCAAATTAATGTGGTTTAATTAAATATAATTTCAAACTAACGTTATATTCTTTCAATTTATGTTACAGATCTTGGAAAAATGTAAAGATATAAAATGGCATTTCATTGGACATTTACAAAAAAATAAAGTAAATAAGGTCATTAGTGAGTATTATAAACATCTACTATTATATATTAACTTTCACTGCCCAGGCCTTTAAAAAGAATCAGATGTATTCAATGTTCTGTAGATTCACATTCACTCTCATAATCCGACAGATAATAGTTTTTTCCCACTATAAGAATCAGCTAATAAATTGACTATTTCTGTCACAGAGAGAAATAATCCTGTTTGCGTTTCACAGCCGTCTTCACTGAACAATAGATGTTGTCAATGCACGATCCCCAGTGACATTGACGTTATTATAAACAAGCCACATGAATGACGCCACGAGGGAATGACATCTTTCACTTGCAGACGATCCAATGAACTATGACACCGGGGGAGCAGCTACACCATCTACATTGAGCTTGGGGGAATTAGATCGTAAATGTACAACCTTAGCAATTTGCGACTTAAAATTCAGACCATACATGTACAATCTTGGCAGTGAGAGCGTTAAAGGACAGAACCACTCATAACAATTAACTACAAAACAGAACTACAAACACATGGACAAGAGCATGAACAATGTAAGCAATAAAAGAACTGTCAAATCAAATAGATATTCTGGAATAAGTATTTGACATTTTGAATTGTGGGGATTTGTTGCTATGAATGTAGTTATGTGAGGTTTACAAGCTATCAATATTAACTACATAATATATTAAGAGTGTATCCGCGAGAAGACCATGCAAAAATCGCAAAAAGTGCTAAGATGGGGGGTCGGAATTTTTTGATCAAACTTATGGTATGACACCCCCTAGGGGCAAGAGGTAACATGCTGAAGTGGTTACAGTCTGATGTCGCTCTAAAGGACTGTACAGGAATTATTCATTTTATGGGTAAAATTGCGGTTTTCACATGTGTATTTATCACCTTTTTTAAGCAGACTGCATTCTATGGTGGAATAGCAACCTTCTAATTATGACCCTGTCTGATAAAGCGGGTGGTCAACTTCTACCCCAGCACTAATTTGAAAAAAAAAATCAGTACATACTAATTTTGTGCGGACTTGTTTTAGGGTACCATATTCACATTGTCCTTATAGTGCAGAAAAAGATACACTGTAACTTTTTCTTTCATGGTCGCAAGTAGAATTTCTTTGGATGGTTTTGAAGTGCTAAGCACATAGTATCCATAGGTGTAAAAAAAATGACCGGAATGCAACATACTTAAAATATACAGCTTATTGAAAAGTGCTAAAAAAAAGCTTTTGTGATACATTTTTTTGCGAATTTAATTAGAGAAATAAATTTTTTGACTTTTATACGTTTTCATCATATCCATAGCCATTATTTGTACCATGTTGTACTCTATATAAGTGTGTATTTGTATTTATTGTATATTTGGTATTGTCGTATTGTCCCTTTAACATATTTGTTGTATTGTCTCTTTAAGATTTCATTTTCAAACAAGTTACCGAAAATGGCTACAAAATTTTTAATTTCAGAGCATGTTTCCACTATTCATTTAGAGACACATCCACTGATTTCTACAATACAGAAATGTGGAAGCTTAAATATTAACGGCAACGAAGCCTAATTGCGTCGAAGTGGGTGACATTGAACAGTGTAGTATGGTAGCTACAGCTCTCGGGCACCGTCAGCTGCACCTTTAGGGCCGGATTTAGAATAAGAGAGGCCCTAGGCAAAACCCCTGAAAAGGTACCACAATATGGACCTTGGGGCCCTGGGACAAGCAACTCGGTGAGAGGGTGGGTCGGGGGAAGTCATGCGGTTGGTGGTTCAAATCTGACTTTTAGGTGAATTTTTAATTTTCGTTGGATTATTTTATTTAAAATAATGTTTATTTGAGAGTAATGGATATGTTTGTTAAGATTGAGCACGTCGAAACTCCAATGGAAGGTCGTGGACAACTGCAGAAGTCAATTCCCGTTGACGCCAGATGAGCCATGAACGATTACAGGCCTTTGAAAGTATTTTTTTTCAAGATATTTTTATAAAACAGATACTAATGTATTTTAGGGCTGGTAGTAAGCACCATATGAATGAAAAGGAAAATAAATTGTTAGGTTTTTTTTATCTACCACGGTTAATTATCTCCAAAATAGGGAAATTACAGGTTAATTTCATGGGTTATTATTTCCTTTACCTAGTTTTTTTCAAGTCGATTCCGGTCATTTTTATTTTTTGTATCAAATGTTGGGAGGTTGCTTATTCACGTGAGCATAAATTTTTTAAACCCACCCCATGAAAGAAGAAGCTATAGGGCGTCAAACTTTGGGTGACGAAAAATGGGGAATTTAGACAGGCTTTGATATCCAGTCCGTATACAGATCTCGTTCGCCAGAATCGTCTGAAGTTAATATTGTGGTAACAGCACTGAGTCATCGATAAACTGTGTGAGTTTGGTCTTTCTGCTACGTATAGTAAAGGTGTAAGGACTTGCCAAAGTTGGTATTTGAGAAAAGACAGATTTTGGCAATTTCACCATCTGAAAAATGTTTTTTCAATTTTCTCATACAGGAATTGAAAGATTTATCTAATATTGCACATTTATGTGTTTTGGGACTATCCCAACTTATAAACCAAATTTGGTCAAAATCTGTGATTGAAGCCTTAGCACCTTCTGCATGGTTTTCTCGCGGACACGCTCTTAATGACTTGACATTTTTCTATTTTCCAGTGATTCCAAATCTGTATGTTATAGAAACAGTTGAATCAGAGAAAATAGCCCAATCGTTAAACACAACTTGGTCAAAATTTAACAAAGAGAGGCAACTAAAGATCATGGTACAGGTTAATACAAGTGGAGAAGAAAGTAAGATATTAACTGATCATATTAATATAATACAACATGGAGGGGTTGTGTGGACAAATGGTTTAATGTGTGCACGTTAGATCATGCGGTCTGTCATTGAGTCAAGTGGCGTGGTTTTGATGTTCCTTCATGTACGTGACTAGGAGTAGAGTTACCTGTCCGACCTCATGGGTTTTCTCCCTACGTGCTTAAGACCCCTACATGCAAGCAAATTATTGAAATAAAATTGACACATATGTTAGTTCCGAATTGACCTAGTTAGTGTCGAGTGGATGTTAAACATTGATCACGATCCATTGTCTGCTTTTTGGTTAATAATTTTAAATGACAGTCAGGGATTTTATAGGCCTTTGAATTTACATTAAACTAATTTCTTAATCAAATGCCGTGTGTGTTAGTTGTATTTTACGTCCGCTTCCACCGAGGTGATATCGCAGACGTGTCAGAAAATACCTATATAGTATATACCTACATGTATTCTTTTAGAAAAGGTCCCAGTTCCTGTGTGTATTTTATTTAAAGCACAAACTTTAAAAAATACAATACTCACCATTTTAATTCATTGTATGATGTTGTAGGGGTATATAGTCCCTCCCAACTTATATATTTTCTGCATTTTAGATAAACATGGCTGCGATCCCAGTGAGGTCAGTAAAGTTGTTCGTTTTATAAAAGAAAAATGTCCAAGTTTAGAGTTTATTGGTTTGATGACCATTGGTTCATTTGATCATGATTTATCAAACGGTCCAAATCCAGATTTTAAGGTATGTTTCTTATTATCTTAGAACACTTTGAATATGTTATAAAAAGGATGTTGTGTCTTTACTAAAGTAAGGGTTATGTAAATGGACACAGCTGAATCAGGACACAGGCACTGTGATGGTAGGAATTTGTGATGAGAATCTCTGAATGTCAAGATGCCCATAAGCCACTGTCCTATAAATCTATGTGAATTTGTACGGAACTATTTTGATACCAGATAATGACAAAAATTGTTTAAAATTCTTCTATAAAGGTTGGATTTTTCCTTTAAGAAATTAGCATTATCAATTTTATGGGTAGCTATTGTAACTCACCCCGAAATTTTGAAAACTACTATTAAAATTGCTGCTTGAAGGTGTGCTGAAGGCATAATTTTCATATTGTAATTTTCAACCAAATTTTTCTGATATATATTTCCAGTTGTACTAATATAGCTTGTAAACACAATACAGGACAAATTTCTCAATGGAATTGCCAGCCTGGAGGTCAGGTGTTCAATCCCTGCATTGGCCGAGAATGTCCATCCAGATTTTCTGGGGTGGTTTCCCCTTGTCAGTGATGCAGGACGGGGGGCCTGACAAGGACAGCTGTCTAGTCGTTCAGATGGGACGAAAAAACGAGGCCCCGTGTACATATTGGTGTGCACGTAAAAGATCCCTTGGCAGTTGGAATTCGATATAAGAGTAGGCCATAGTGCCGCTGCCCGGGCAAAATTTCCCTCATAGCATACTGTATGGTGTATGCCCGTCTTCATTAGCCCAGTTTAGGAGCAGAACAGTAAAACGTTAAACCCCATTTCATTTCATTTCATTTCTCAATGGAATTTTTTTAAGTCGACATTTAAGGGTAATGCTTATCTGACAAATTAAGGATTGTGGGTATAGTGTTTCACCCAATCATCTAATAGTTATCAAAAATAAACAAACACTAGCTCAAAACCATGCCCTACCATTCTAATTAATAAATTTATTTTGTATTTGTAGAAATTATTAGAATGTAGAGATAAGGTGTGTGAAGATGTTGGTTTATCAAGAGAGGATATAGAAATTAGTATGGGAATGTCCAACGATTTTGAACATGCTGTAAGTAATTATTAAGACAGATCAATCAGTTTTCTTTAGGAGGTTTGGGATGACCAGGTGCTCTAGAGTGTTGTTCTAGCTGTCCGGTCACCTCTGTCTTCCGGTTGTGGTTTTGATTACTGGTGTGAGTGTATGTGGTATGGAGATAGGGGCACCTTCTCAACCTCATGGGTTTACTTTGGGTACTTCATTTTCCCTCCGCACGAAAGATCCCACCGCGTGCTCTGAGCATAGTAAAATAAGACACCTTGTTTGCTATATCACCCTGGTTGGAAGCATACGTTAACACTAATAGATGGACAGTTTTCTTTTTTGAGACGACAAAGGTACATTTTTTTATACAATAGAGAGAGAGAGAAATGGGGTTTAACGTCCACTCGACACAAACCAGGTCATTTCGGGACTAACATATGGTTCAATTTAATTTCCATAATTCGCTTGCGCATAGGGGTCTTTAGCAGTGGGAGGAAACCGGAGGACCCGGAGAAAACCCACGAAGTTTGACAGGCGACCCTACTCTTCAGACCTCACATTTCCTGTTGGATGTTAGTATATTAATTGGATGATAAGTCCTTAGCTTTATGGAATTTGTATATATTAGGACAGAGTATTTAAATGTGCATGTTACAGTCTGAAAAATATTCAGAAATAATCAAAAGATATGTCATATTATCTGGGAGTTATTTTAGTACAACATATAGTCTATTGGAGTATGGGGGTTGGATGGCTGAATGGTTAGCGTGCGCGCACTGTATCATAAAGTCTTGTCATTGAGTCGACTGGCGTGGTTTCGAATCCCCGGTTGTACGTGTAAAGGAGTAGGGTCGCCTGTCCAACTCGTGGGTTTTCTCCGGGTCCTCCGGTTTCCTCCCACTGCTAAAGACCCCTACGCGCAAGCGAATTATGTAAATAAAATTAAACCATATGTTAGTCCCGAAATGACCTAGTTTGTGTCGAGTGGACGTTAAACCCCATTTCTCTCTCTCTCTCTCTCTCTATTGGAGTATTTGTTCTAAAATGTCAATTTGTCAACAACCGTCAAATGATGACTGTTCTATATTCTACAGAGTGATTGTTCGTACAAATTATAGAGATTTTGACAATAAAATAGTGAAATATTTTCATAAACAAACAAAAAATGATCATACATTAAAATGTTGCGATATATTGACTTTATTGGGTAATCCAATTGTGCCCCTTCAATACAAAAAGGTATGGCTAGTATTATTTTAAATTACTTTTTATGCAGATTGAACTAGGCAGCACAAGTGTTCGTGTAGGGAGTACAATATTTGGAGCTCGATATTATCCTAATAAAACTGCTAATGGTCCTGTAAAGACTACAGAAAATGGTCCTGTAAAGACTACAGAAAATGGTCCTGTAAAGACTACAGAAAATGGTCCTGTAAAACTTGCAGATGATGGTACTGTAAAACCTGAAAAGAATCTGAGTATAGGTTTAGAAAATTTATCAGTTAAAGAAAAAGAGAAGTCTGATCAGAGATAAGAACAATACTTGACTAATGTATTTGAATCTATATATATATAGATAAGGGAAAACTGTTCCATGTTGTGTATTGACTTCTAAAGCAATTGCTGAACCTACTCCTAATTCACCTCAAAGATATGAGTAATCCTATTATTCTTAAAAATACTCATTCAAAAATGTGGATTGATTTTATAGTAAATATTAATTAGTTTGTTTGAAAGTCTTCAAGTACTTATTTCAAATATTTTTCATATTTTTTTTTCTTGGGATTGATTGATCATGTTTCAATCTCAGATTAAGATAAAATAACTCAGTGATTAATATTGATGAGAATTTTAAATTATTGTTTTTTGTATGATTGTTAAGAAATGAAATTATTCAATGATGATGTATAATAATATATTTTCTATCTCAGATCATTTTGTTTACTTCAATTTATTAAGATTAAGACTGATCATTTTCTAAAGAATTTTAAAACTTAGAACTATATTAGTTCATTATTTCTCTAGAAAATTGTGTTTGGATACATTCAAGATATTTGTTCCCCAAAACAGTATATCTTATATTTTTTGATCTACCAATTAAGCTGCCATTGTGATCTTTAGTGTCTTCCTTCACACATGCAAGATGATGAATGGATGAACACTAATTAAAGTTGCCATACAATGTGAAATGTGTGCCCTCAGATAGCAATAGCTAAAATAATGGTTGATGGTCTGTATTTAAGAGATTTAATTCATATTTGGTTTATTATATTTAGATTATAAAAAAGAGACCAAATTACTCACATTAATAAGTACATTATCGTATGACCCTTGACATTCTTTATGGATGAATTATTTAAGGAACATTTATTAATTGCTGACTAAGAATAAAATATTACACAAGCATATAGAGTATAAGTAACTTGTATTCCATATAATTGTGTAATGTATTAATCTTTATGGGTGTTAACTTTGCTACTTTTGGGTGCATTTATTCCATCTTGAAACCTATATTTGTGTGGTGGTGGTTTGTAAGGATCTTGATGTATATTTGAAAAATTAATAGATTGTGCAATTAATGTAAATGTGTACAATAGACCTGTAAGTGTATCTATTGTACATGTTTAACTCTTTAACTATAAATGGCTGCGGCTTCACATGTTATGAAACCCAATCCCCTATTGGCTGACAAATATGTAAATGATAAAAACTAGCCAACCAGGCAGGCTATTATAATCAAACACAAACATCTGTTGATAGCATAATATGAAGAGATTTCCGAAATTACATACTTTATGAGGAGTTTGTGACTGAATTATAAAATGATGGTGCGACTTGTACTTGTTCAGAACAGATTGTCTGTGCATGTAATTAGTTTTTATGTGTCATGGTTGTTTTTTTTATATACCTGAGGCACGATATGCAATATACAGAGTATTTTTTAGCATTAACTGTGGGGACCTGCAGAGACCCTATCAATTTTTAAGTAATTTATAATAATTGAAATGTGAACGTTACAGATCCACAGTATAATAATAATTATCAGGTAGTTGTTTCCAATAAAGGTATGGCAATTTGGGTATATATGGAAAGAGACTTAGACAAGCTTATACACTCACCCGACTTCACCTGCTGCCTTGACAGAGGAGTGGAATGGTTGACTTAATATAGTGATCCGCCGAGTGAATGTTATTGTTTATGTTCCTGATGTCTTTAAGTAGCTGTTTGATTTATGTTCCTGTTCCCGATGTAAATAAATCCTATATTCTGTTACAGGACTTGTGAAGGTGGAAGTAGGAGATGTTATTTACCATTAAGATTTAGGTCTGCTCTAGGATAAATCCCTCAACAAAATATACCAGTTGTATTACAGAGCACAAATCAAGCTATTCTTGAGACTGCTCAAATTTTTCAACACACCTTTTTATTACCATGGTCACCCAAATCAGGAAATTGTAGCCTTTGGACACTAAAGGCAACACAGCTACAAGTTGTGATGGGTTTTGTGTATATTACAGACTATTTCTACCCTATCCAGAACACTTGATTCCTCTTGCCTCATCAATTGGAAGGATGTTATGCTGTTTCCTTCAGTCTATCTCACCGTTTGATGACGAATCACGAATTCTGGATTTATTTACATTATGGATAGTACAATATTTATTACATACCTCAAAGTAAAATTAACATATATATTATCATGAAAGACTTTTTAATTCTTTAAATAATCTAATATATTACATATCATTCCTTATAAATATATATTGTATACATGTGCATGAAAATATGTTAAAAGCAAAATATTCTGAGCAATCATCAATCCTAGCATTTTTAAATATATTCTTAAAAATCTATCTACAATAAATAAAAACTTAAAATTATCAACCATCAAACCGATTTAGGAATTATTTATCAAATAAGTAGATCAACAATAAATTGTATTATTGTAAATGGTTTAGTACATTATCTGTATCAGATTTCATTTCTAACAGAACAGTGAATGACAAATAAAATAAAGTTTTTATCACTAATCTATAACAAACAGATAAAGTTCTTATACAGTATGGGACTTATCAGGCTCCCTATATAATAAACCCACCAGCAGCAAAATCATCTATGTTCAATTGAAATTCAATTGTAATTTACGATCATAGAATTTTGAAATCCATTAATGTTCTTCATAATGCCCCAGTGAACAATGTCAACATTATTTGTCCTATACCACCTTCACAAGATTTAAATGTCGAAATGTGAACAAAAAGATATTTTCACAACACATTTAAGATTTATGATTCCAAATTTTGGAATTTGATTGTGTTTTTTCTGATGCCTCAATGAACAATCCTTGCAACCTTTTTCCTGTATCATTTTCACAAGTATTAACAATCAAAATGGTAAATGAGCAATCTCACCAAGTTTTTAAAAGACTGATATAACTGCAAAATACAACATCTTAATATTTGGAATTACAAAAGGGTTTCCACTTATGTCTTTTGTTGGTATATTAGATTCAAAATTCTTAATTTGTTAATTTCATGCTTTCATCTGGTTGAACAGTTGGACGGAGTGCTAGAATTGGAAAAACATCGAACGTGATGTAGTTTTCAAAATAGGCTATAAATAATTTGTTCATTTTTTTTTTTTTTTTTTTGTTAGCACAACATTTACAAATTTTTAGAATTTTGAATATAATATACCGCCATAATGTCTGACTAAACAATTCTGCCAATTTTTAAAAACTTATTTTATTCAGTTCTAAAAATCATTCAAAAGGTTTGTAAATTTGATAAGAGTTGCTTCGTCCTTATGCAGAAAGTTTTAAAAAATTCTTTCAGTAGCTATGTGTTATGTAGCATGTTCACAGGTTTATTGGATTGATTGATTGACCTTTCAACTGGGGGCAATGGCACATTTCATTGTGGGTATATACAACTGTAGTGTACTGAATGGAGTTTGCAAGAAACTTGGATGGAATGACGACACATTTAACGTGAGCGTAAATAAAATATTCATTTGAAAGGGGATATATAATTAACAAAATTATTTAAACATCACAGAATGACGACACATTTAACGTGAGCGTAAATAAAATATTCATTTGAAAGGGGATATATAATTAACAAAATTATTTAAACATCACAGACAACAGAGAAAAAATATTTATATAAACTTCTTAATTCTCATCTTCAGAATCAATGTCAGAATTATTCCCCGATGCTTCCAGGAAACTGCAGCGCAAATGATCATCACTGATTTCTTTGACATAGAATGGGATGTTTTTCCACTTTTTGATGGTTGTTTTTTTACCATCAGAATCCTCAATGACAAAACTTTCTATTTTGATCAAAGGATATTCAGCATTCTGATACAGAGCTTCAATTCCCCAATCATAATTGCAATATTTACAAAAGATTTTACTCTTCTTTAGAAACCCGTGAAACTCTATGGGAGCTTTATGATCTTTCGTTACATACCTTGTTTTGAAACTTTTATCTACCACAGTATATTGTGAATGTCTAATTGTACAAATATCAGTAGAAATACATGCAAACTTTGTGCATCCAAAACATCTTAATTCGAATTCGTCATCTTTTAAAATACGACCTTTTCTTTTAAGTTTGTCCATATCTCGCACAGATTTTGCTTTTTTCTGACATTCAAGAATGGATTCTTTGAATGCCTTTTCAGGTTTGCCCTCTAGATCTATTAAAGCTTGTTTCATCATCATTTCCCTTGATAAATTCATTTCTTCTTTTCTAGCCGTATTAGCATCATCACTGGCCACAAGTTTAAATTTACTAGCGTCTGCTCTGGCCCGACCTGAAATCAAGTTATTTAAAGTAAAGAATGCAGCACTGTAAGAAATTACATTGTGACATTGGTCAAAGGACTGGGATATTCCAGTTTGCTTGAACAGACATTACATGTATACATACAAAAGCTAAATTTGCTTATGGCAGGTCTTTCTGAAATGTTATATAAACTATATTAATTTAACATTAATTAACCTACCAAGACCATAATCAACTCACGATGCCATCAGATGGCTGCGATATAAGTAGATTTAAATACATTTTGTGGTTGATGTTGTTACCATAATAATGGATAATTGAGACTTTGTTTACCATCGTAACAATGGTAATAATGACTTTTTTTTCGGAAAATTAATACCAAGGACAAATGCACATGTCAGCTATCTGACATTAATTTTCCGTAAAAAAGAGATTTGAAATAAATGAAAAAAAATGGGGTTTAATGTTCAAATGTTGAGATTTGAAATAACTCTGATAAGATTTTAACTGTTTTGTCCCCATCAAAATTGTTTAGTTAGTGACTATATCATTTTTGTGTCATGCAGCATGAGAAACAATTGTCAAATACGATACTGATTAAACCAAATCAGTGTTCAGAAATATAACCCTAATATTAAAGCAGCAATATGCAATAACAAAGATAGGTTGCCAGGCAACAAAACATACGCCCACAGCAGCTAAATCGTCCGAGCGGTCAACAAGAGTTGTCGTATATTTATTCTTTTGTAGGTAATTAGGGGGCATTTAATAGACAATTTCATACAGATGACATTATAATTTTCGTCGTTTGAGGGTTTTTTTGTTCACAAGGTTCTAAAAACTAAAACAAGGGCTGTAACTCTGGAAGTAATCTACAGAAATTGTTGAAATTCGACAGGCTTTTTCGTTTTACTAATTCAAATAATGCATATCAATTTCATACAGATCGGATGATAACTTTTGTCGTTCTAACGTTCACAAGGTTCAACAAAGTAAAACAAGGGCCATAACTCTAGAAGTAATTGAGAGAAATTGCTGACATTCAACAGGCTTCTTCATTTCACTAATTTAAATGATGCATATGAATGTCATACAGATTGGATGATAACTTTTGTCGTTTAAGCGTTCACAAGATTCAACAATGTGAAACAAGGGCCATAAGTCTAGATGTAATTAACGGAAATTTGCTGAAACTCAATAGGCTTGTTCGTTTTACTAATTCAAACGATACATATAAATTTCATACATATCGGATAATAACCTTTGTCGTTAGAGCATTCACAAGGTACAACAAAGTGAAACAAGGGCCATAACTCCAGAAGAAATTAACGGAAGTTATTGAATTTAAATAGGCTTCTTCATCTCACTAATGCAAACAACATATATCAATTTCAAAACAATCAGATGATAAATGTAGTCTGTAGAGTGTTCACAAGATATTGTGGACGACAGACTGACAGACGGACGAGGGCGACGGCAATATACGACCACATTTCCATGTGGGCGTATAAAAATTATTATATAAATAACAACCAGCGGTTGCCATGCAAGATACGCCCTCATTTGTAAGTGATAGATAGAGAACAAGCTAAAAAAAAAAGTGATTTTTCAAATAATCAGGGGTCTTAATTCAGGAAGTTATGATCTGATATGCGCGAATATCGAAAGGAACCGAGATTTTTGAGATATAAACATATTTGTTAAGTTTTATTAAAATCGGATAAAAATTGTAACAACCTTGGTATTACATACTTTTACACTGTTTGTGTTCAAGGAGCAACCATTTTGTCAGGTAGTTTCAGTCCGAAAATTTACAAAATCCAAACTCAACCATCATCAGGGTGTAAAAATGGTGTATTTAAACAATTTCTAAAATTGGATAAAAATTGTGACCTCCAGAAGGTACACAAGCTAAAATCACGATTTTTTCATACAAATAGGGGCCATAATCCAGGAAGTTACGGTCCGATATCCAAAAATATTGCAAGGAACCGAGGTCTTTGGGATATAAACTCGTTTAATCAAACTCAGATCAAAATTGTGACCTCTAGAGTCTCCATAAACTTAAAAGTAAACGTACAATCAGGGGCCATAATCCATGACGTGCTCAAATTCAATGAAATAACACGGCCATTTAACCATCCTCGGTATCCCCAGTGTTTTCATTCGTTCTACTCCACTATACCCTGGGTTAATCCATAGGATTTCAATGATTTCAAATTATCTGCCCTGGCCTTGATTGAAGATAAGGTCTACAAACCAATCAAGAAACAGTTTACAAACCAGTCGTTTCGCCTTCGATTTTATAAGGGTAATTAACCAAATTCATGTCCATTTACTAAATGATTTATGTAAATAATGTATATATTTCTAATTCATTTATTATTACCGGTAATTGTATTATCAAAATATGTAGTATGTTTCGCCGATTTCAAATATGTATAACTGTATAACATCTATATGTTTGACTTTTGTTATTATTATTACTATTCGTTCTTTATCTGAAATGTTTCATTCTGTTTATTATTATTGAACTTATACTTGGCTATTTGATCCGGTCCTCATTAATTTCATATTATATAATTTGTTGTTAGTAAGTACGCATTAGAATAATTTGAACTTCTCACATTTTCAAATTAATCGCCCTTGATGATTGTGCTTTTTTTTATCGACCAATCCCATGCATCATTAATTGAAAAGGAAGTCGACAAAGGGATGTAACTCTCATTGGACAAGTTGGGGTGGGCTTGGGTCGCTTTAGTTTCTATATTTTACGCGGACATTTTACTGATTTAAATCATCCTAGCACAAAAGCGGAAGATTTGACCCTTTGACCTTGGGGGTCAAAGGTGAACTTATCAAGTTTATATTTTTATTCAAAGGGTGATTACTTTCGATCATTTTTAGCATATTTTCATGATACCAGAATGGCTGCACATTCACTTTCAGTGCACTTGACCTCATTTGACCTTTGACCCCGAATATCTCGAAAATGCCCCAACGGCGGACTGATTACTACTCTAGGCAAACTTTTACTATAGAAAAGTTGGGTTTAGTTTTGTGTCCATTGGATAGGACACCCCCTGGCACTGAGCCTCCAGACTAAATTTGAATGGACTAATTTCAATAAATCTTTGGACCAGTGTTCAACATGCTTTTAGTCAGTTACTTTTTACTGTGAACTGTGTAGCCTATGGTCTAATAAATTATTGATGTAACTAGATATATATATATACCTCTAGATTGAACCATGGCAATTTCATTTGTCACATGATCATATCTGATGACCAGATTACACCTTCTTATATCCAGACCTTCTTCAGCAACAGATGTGGCTATAATTATCTTTGCATCACCATCTTTAAAATAATCTAACACTTCTACTTGCCTGCTTCTAGTCATACCTATATTAAATAAAATGATAAAGTCCAAAGTAAAAGCATTGCAGAAAAACCAATAGTGTAACAGAACGCGGCTATAAAAAACAGCAGCAAACTTAAACATTGTTATCCTGCACCATCAGCTGCCCGTCTCGATTTCATTTCCGGAACATATCTCATAAACCCTTCAAGATATCTTTATGAAACTTTGTACACACATCAACCTGTGATAGTAGTTGTGCCTTTTGCTAATTAGAAATTTCTTGGATTTAATAATTTTTGTGTTTCCATGGAAACAAAATTTCTGTTTGATGATTTTTGAATTTTTACTGCACATCTAACTTAGTTTTTGGTATATATACTATTCAAAAAAAGTAGGGGATATTTGATTTTGGGGGCATAATACTAAAATATGCAAATGACTACGAAAAATACACTATAGAACCTAACAGAAGAAACATTTCCAGTTATATGTGACGCCCAAACGCACCAATAGCTACCGCATGGAATGCAGGTGATGCTTGGGATCATCATGGGGGTCCAACCCAAGATTTGCACGACTCTGACTTTGAATGTTACAGTCATTGTGGCATTGAATTCCAGGGTGGAAACATCAGTTTAATTGTTTTAGTGACCAGAAAACAAATTTTGATATGCGTCGGCTTACCCAAAATGAAAGGTTACGTGCCCTTGGCATGCTACAGATCGGCACAACACAGGCGGTTGTGCCAGGCAGGATACTCCCACATTTTGCAAGAGATGGATAGAGAACAGGCTAAAAACAAACAGGATTTTTTGTACAATCAGGAGCCATAATCCAGAAAGTTATGGTCTGAAATGCGCAGAGTCGGATATAAATTTTGACCTCTAGAGGGTCGACAACCTTCGTATTGCATACTTTTACACAATTTGCTTACAAAGAGCGGCCATTTTGTTGGGCAGTTTCATTTTGATTTTCCCGAAATTCAAATTCAACCTTTATGATGATAGAATGGTGAAATTTTTAAACGGTTTTTAAAATGGAAAAAAAAATTGTGACCTCTAAAGAATCTGCAAGCTAAAAATGCCATTTTTCGAACAATCAGGGGCCATAATCCAGGAAGTTTAGTTCGGGTATCCGTGATTATCAAAAGGATCCAAGATCTTAGTGGGTAATGGTGACATATTCATACATTTTTTTAAATCGGATAAAAAATTATGACCTCTACAGGGATCACAAGCTAAAATCGTGATTTTTTGTTCAATCAATGGCCATAATTCAGGAAGTTACGATCCGATATGCGCGAATATCGAAAGGAACCAAGATTTTTGGGTTATAAACTTACATTTCAAGTTTCATCAAAATCAGAAGAAAATTGTGACCTCCAGAGGGTCCACAACATTGATCTACCATATTTTTACGCTAATTGTGTATGAGGGGTGGCAATTTTGTCAGGCAGTTTTGGTCCGATTTTCACGTAATTGTGACATCTAGAGGGACCACAAGCTAAAATCTTGATTTTTTGTTCAATCAAGGGCCATAATTCAGGAAGTTACAGTTCGATATGCGTGAATATCGAAAGGAACCAAGATCTTTGGGTCATAAAATTACATTTCAAGTTTCATCAAAATCAAAAGAAAATTGTGACCTCTAGAGGGTCCACAACATTGATATACCATATTTTTACGCTATCTGAGTATGAGGGGTGGCCATTTTGTCTGTCCGTTTTGGGCCGATTTATCGAAATTCGAACTCAACCATCCTTAGGGTGTAACGGTGATATATTCAAACGCTTTTTCAAATGGGATTAAAATTATGACTGCTATAGGGTCCACAAGCTAAAAACGCAATTTTTCATACAATCCGGGGCCACAATTCAGGAAGTTTCAGTCCGATATGCACGAATATTAAAATGAACCAAGATCTTTGGGTTATAAACTTACATATCAAGTTTCATCAAAATCAGATGAAAATTGTGATCTCTAGAGGGTCCACAACATAGGGCCTATAGATATACCATATTTTTACGCTATTTGAGAACGAGGGGCGGCCATTTTGTCCGGCAGTTTTGGGCCAATTTTCACGAAATTCGAACTGAATCATCGTTAGGGTGTAACGGTCCACACGCTAAAAACATGATTTTTTGTACAATCAGGGGCCATATAATTCAGGAAGTTACCGAGTGATATGCGCGAATATCGAAAGGAACCGAGATCTTTGGGTTCTAAACTTACATTAAAATTGTGACCTCTATAGAGTCCACAAGCTAAAAATGCGATTTTTCGTACAATCAGGAGCCATAATCCATGAAGTTACGGTCCGATACATGCCAATATCGAAAGGAACGGAGATCATAGTGAGATAAACCTATATTTCAAGTTTCGTTGAAATCGGATAAAAATTGTGACCCGTAACGTGTCCACAAACAATTGTGGACGGACAGGAGCAACGACTATATATACGTCCACACGAAATGTGGGCATGTAAAAATGGTGCCATCTTGGAATTTGGTTACCATATTGGATCTTTAGAACAAATTATAAATTTGTCAAAACCTAGAATTAAGGCTGACCTTAAAAATATCTTTGTTTCACCAAACCCGACCCACAATCGAGGAGAAGGGTCGGTAGGTCGGTAGGTCGGTTTTTTTTTCAGATTTTTTTTTAAAGTCCGAGAAATCAATACAGAAAACTTATTAGCTGTATACTACGGATTCATTAATTTTGTTTAATGAATTTTGGGTCTGACGTAAAAAGTAACGAACTTAAAGTTTTTATTAAACATAAGAGCTAATTTGACAGCTTGATATATTTCCGGGTGGAAACATTCGTCTTCTTTATTGGCAAACAAATCAATGACATCGGGATTTTTCGTGATGCACGACTCGCACACGATTTGCCACGAACTTGAAGTGTGAAACTCCTTCAACACGTTTTTAACGATCGTGCGGGTTGTGCCTTCATTTTTCTCGAAAACGGATATTGAAAATATCGTCGTCATGTTTAAAACCACAGACATAGAGGCAGAATCATTTTGTGGGAATGGACGTGCTTTCGTCTGCAACCATTTTGTTGAGAAGCGACACCTATGATGCTTTCGTCTTGATCAACCAGTTTCAATAATGAATCAAACCATAGCCATAGTAAAGGAAATAACTCTCGTGATATTTTTCAGGTTGATACACAAAATAAAATAAAAAGATCTTGGAAAAGTGCAATAAAATAATTTAAGTCGGGGGTGGTTTTAGTTAGTAGGTCGCGTTAGGCGAAACAAAGATATTTTAAAGGTCAGCCTAATGGTTAATCTTTTTGCCAGTATGTCCGCATGTCAGAATAATAGGTATTATAAAAAATTACAATATATCAAGTAGGCTATAACATCTGTAGCATTTTGCTATGTTAAATGCTAAAATTATTTTCTAATGTCAAAATTTTCTGCCTATTCTTAAATTCTTCAGCAAAGGAAAGTATATGTCTGGATTACAAAATGTTCAAAGTAAGTAATTTTGTCTCTTGAATGTCAATTTTTGTTTTAACAAAGTATTGCATGAAGAATGATTTGAATTGTGTCACTTAAAATCATGACTTACCTCCTTTGTCAGCAGAAGCGCTTGCTCCAGTAACAGTTTCTGGTTTTAGATTCAGCCTCTTTAATTCAGTGGTTTCTTCCATCCATAGTTTTAACTTCTGAACCAAGGCTAATGTCTTTGCAAATACAATGGCTCTTGAATCAAGATTTTCCCTAAAACCATCCATTATCATTTTTTTTAGCTTTTCTAATTTTGGATTTACATTTTTAGGGTCATCACATAATTTTTGTAGTTTCTGTTTTTGAACTGTAAAATAGATCAAATTTTATCAGTATTATAAAAAAGAACATTATCTATCAACGTACAAAGGCATGAAGGAGAGGGATGTACAGCGGAATTACTGTAGTACAGTATGGAAGTTTCCATTCAATGTCTGGTCTGTTGAGTGACAAAATAGCAACCCTTCTGCTAACAAGTACGTATACAATGTCATAAAAAATATTCACCTGTGTAATATTCTATCAATTCTTTATGTGTAGCTTTTGACTGATTCAGTGTTATGGTCTTTGAGAACTCCTCTTCTATATATGTTAAACTATCTATTGAACGGCAGTCATTATTTATAATTAGTGCATTATTATATATCTGAAAAAACAAGCCAACTGTGAGACTGATGTCCCCCGCCAAAATAAAAAAAAAACCGAAAAAGATGACACATATTAATTAGTTGCACATTTATATTTTTCAAAAGTATTAAGTAATCAAACTGATTAGGCCCTATCTATGCTTAGTTTCAAAATAAAATGTTCACTATCAAACTCACGTTTTGAAGTTATCGTGTCCCAAACCATCGACCAAAGAAATTGCTTAGCTCGATTCACCTATCTTTAATGTGAAATATTAATAATTGAACTCAGTCAAGACATTCACCTAATAAACATCTATATCTCAATTAAAAGCAAGAGTTGTTATGTTCCAAAGTCTTGACCAATCAAATTGCTGTTTTCTCCTTAGCCTAAACAGAAAATTTTTATCATCGAACTTAGTCAATGTATTGATATAATGAATCTAAACTCAGAGTTTCATCGCTCTCACCCACTTAGAACCAAAGTTATCTTGTTCCAAAGTCTCAACCAATCAAATTGCTCATCTCTGCTAAGACTTAGTGGAAAATGCGTATGAACGAACTATGTCAAAGCATTCACGTAATAGACACCTACACCAATTTTGAACATTCTACCTCAATTAGAAGGAGAGTTATTGTGTTCCAAAGTATCAACCAAGTTTCACCACTATCACTAAATTTGGATCAAAGTTTTGACCAATTGAATTGCTTATCGCTTTGCTTACCCTGTGCCAAAAATGCTCTCATAATCAAACTTAGTCAAGGTATTGATGTAATGAAACTATACACAAAATTTCATTATTCTCACTTAATTAGAAATAAAGTTATTGTGTCCCAAAGCAGATTGACAAAAAACAGTTAAACCATGCATCCACAATCTCATGTAAGAGTACAGCAGCATTGCCTTTAGTAAATATATAGTCACCAGGTAGCTGTCGAAAGGTGAAGGGCACAGATTTGAATTTTATTACGGTTTCTACCTGTAAGTCTTTATTACATGCACAAGCCTTTTTGGTTTGGCAAATTATTATAGGTAAATATACTGAGCGTCATGGAAAACGCATCACTTTTTTTCCCCAAATATTTTATTACTAGGTGGTTTTGTATGTATAATATTATGCAATACTATGAACTATTGTTTCACACAATGCTCCCAAACGCAAAAAATATCGGCCCGTGTGCCAAAAAAAAATTGCGCGAGATGCACATGAAAAACCCAATATTCCCGTGCAGCATTGTGTGTGAGCCCTTTAAAAGCATGTTTTCAACTTAATGTGCAGTACATGAACTGTGAAACGTCAATCTGTCGTAATTTGTTGTTGGACGTGTGAAGGAATCGAGATAGAGATGCCGAGACTTATTGAAAATCAACGGAATGAAACCATGGGAATGTCCAGGGCTGGCATGTTTAGTTTAAACATATTTTATTGACAAATATCAAAAACTTAGAAAAGCCCTGTCTACATGTGCTATTGCCAGACAATTGTCATCAGTCCACTATCGTAAGGTTGGTGGAATGTGTTCCAGTTACTGGATCAACACGTGACCGTCAACGTCCTGGTCCACAACGCGTTACAACCCAGACTCAAGACCACTACATCCGGGTCACTCATCGACGTGACAGATTCCGCCCAGCAATTCGAACAGGTGCAGCATCCGTCGGAAGACAAGGACCAGTAAGTGCCAACACCGTAAGACGTCGTCTAAGAGAAGTAGGACTCCGTGCACGTCGACGTTATGTTGGAGCTATCCTCAGGGATCATCACCATCAGTGGCGTTTGATATGGGCTCAAGGACACCAGACATGGAGAAGAGTAGACTGGCAAAGTGTGCTCTTCAGTGATGAGAGTCGCTTTCATCTTTATCACGCTGATGGCCGTCAACGTGTGTGGAGACGTCTTGGGGAACGTCTTGCAGACTGCTGCGTCTTCAAAACGAATCGATGGGGTGGGGGAAGTGTAATGGTGTGGGGAGGCTTCACATTTCATCACCAGACTACCCTACACATTTGCAGGGGTCGCGTTAATGCTGTAGCCTACCGTAATGATGTCTTGCAACCAATTGTTGTTCCGATGTTTCGAGCGCACCACAGATGCACACCATTGCTGCTTTAGAAGCTGCTCTTGTCCAAGAATGGAACAATTTGCCCCAGGCCTTCTTTCAGACATTGGTAAATCCCATGCGACGTCGCTGCACAGCGTGCGTAAGAGCCCGTGGAGGACACATGCGCTACTGACATCTGTGTCGTACTTTTGGTTTTGACCCCTCTAACTTTGTACCGTTGATTACAGATTAAACATCCATAAGTGTATAAATGTGTTGTTATTGATGTGTTCCCATTTGAATATAGTTCACAATTAGAAGCAAAATAAATAAGATATGTTTACAGGATCATTTTGTTATACGAAAAACTAAGTGATGCATTTTCCATGGCGCTCAGTATATTTATTCCAGACTTATGATTCAACATATTTAGCATAGTAAGGAAACAAAACCATTTATTTATCATTTATGCTCTCATAAAAGAAATTTAAGCTAGCTCATTTTTTACCATGTGGTGTCAGAACTTGTAGGTGTTATGAGAACTGAAAAACTCTGGGCCAGTAACACTATTCGACCAAAAAACTTATCATCCATGCTTAAATTCACATCTTTAAGTACCTTTGTCTAAAAGCAAGATTTCTTCAATTTACCAATTACAAGTGATCTATACTTCTAGGCAGTAATACTTGTACATATAGCAATGTGATAAAATCTCCATTTATGATATATTAGCGGACTTATTAGGATTAGTTATTATCTTCCATGCCCTTAAAGCATGCAATATGGGATTACATGCAATATTTTTACTTTATTATATTACATTTACCTCTAACATTTTATAGCATGTTACATAGAATTTACGAGCTTTATGGTCATTAACGGTAGCAATGCCTCTCTTTAACTTAACTACCCATTGAGTGTAACTATCATTTCCTTTTCTTCCTGGTGGCTTTAAATATTTTTTAAATTCTTGTAATTCTTCATCCTCGTCCGAGAGATCTGACAAAATAAAAGAAAGAATTATAATCTTTTTAAAGTTGTATCTTGAAACAAATCATTATACTTAAAGTGATCTTAAAGGAGCTAAATCGCTAATATTTGGGACCTATTGACACAAATGGGTCGCAACGCATATAATAATGTAATATGAATGTATATAAACTGATTTACATTCAATCGTTTCTGTTTTTACTGTAATTTCTAATCAGTTATGTTCAGCGAAATACGGCAGAAGTCCCAATCAAATGAAAATCTCTAGCATCTGGTTATTCCATTCTACACCGATAGTATTTATTGCGCATGCTCTCCAGATAAGAATATGTCTAGCCTCGTTCTTCGAGTGCCATGGTACAAATGGCGCTGAAACGCATATGGTACACGATTCGTGTACCAATGATAAAAATTTTATTTTAATTTAAATATTGGATATCAGAAGCCCATCTTTTCCCGGTAAGATCACAACATCAATGTTTATTTAAATTGACAAATAATTCGTGTTTGCAATGTCGAAGAATTTGGATGATATGAGTTAGAGATTCAAATTTTCAAAACTTACATTTCGAATTCTGCATGTCAGTTTCTATTTTTTGCATGATTTCTACTATAGTCTGGTGGTAAACATCGTTCTCTCGTTTGTCACAACGTTCAATATCTATAAATAGGAAATGTTTTTCAGTTAAATATCACCATCATAGTTAATCCTAATGCTTTCACTCATACAACAGGTTTCAAATGGTAATCGACATAAAAATGGCCACAATTTGGGCCAAGATTTTCCCAAACTAGTCTCTCCTTGTAAGTGGTGCAGAAAACCGAGTCTGTCAAAAAAAGAAATGCCTAGTTGTTCATATGGGACAAAAAACAAGGTCCATCCATTTAGCTGTTGGCATACACAATTAAGATCCATTAAGAGTAGGCAGAAACACTCCTCTCCAGAAAAACTTTACATCTTACTTAATAAATGTATATGACGTACCTAAACTAGGGACATTAACATACTTTCTCATATCATCCTCATAGGCTCTTGCTGTACATATCTTTGCTGTATCTAGATTAGCACATAATGTTATAATATGTTCTGATGCATCACTCACTTTCCTTGCCTTCCCTACTCCCACTGATGCTGTCAATCCAATGATCTAAACAAATAAATTTTTACAGCCATTCTTTCACAGAAAATTAAAGATGTTTTTTACACATACCCGGTATTTGTTTTTGTAGGCAATGGTAGGACACTAAAAACTAAAAGCCTTTCTATTGTTAACCATAACATGGGTAAAGGCAATAACTATGGAAGCAATGAATGGAAATTGTCAGAAATTTGACAGGCTTTTCAATATTAATTTTAACAATACACATTGCAGATTTGATAATATTTGTCGCCATGAACATTCACTAGATTCTTAAAATGAGCAAGGACAATAACTTATTTTCATCTCAATAATCTGAATAATGCCTAGTCATGTAGAGAGTTCTTAGTATTTTTCAAAGAGATCCAGGGAACTCACCTGTAGCTTATTGAGTGCTCACAGAAAGTAAACAGGAGGTTTATGAAAATGAAACTGATAAAAAATGATAAAACCTTTTTTTTTTACAATACCTGTGGCAGAACAGGAGCAGGTAACTCATCCACATCAATTTCATTTGTCGCTCCAGGGAGCTGATTTTTTAATTTGATGTCCATATACATATGCATAATCTGGTTATATGGATGTCGAGCCCTCGTGTGATGACATTCATCAAATATAATAAGTGAAAAAGCTGAAACATCCTTGATAACATGTTCTTTTACAGCATCTACCAATATCTGTGCTGTCATCACAATTACTTCATTACTGAAATTAGCAATCGGTCATTTTAATATAAAGAGGTTTGGGGCATAAACTCTTAATGCGGTTAAAACTTTTAAAATTACAAAGCTTAAAGTTCATTTATTTAGTTATTGTATTAAAAGAATATCACGGAAAGCGAAGCATGTTATTATACTTCTTGTATGACAGCTGTCAATGATAATGGGTTGTCAAACAAAAATAAAAACATCAACCTAGCAGATTTACATATCCAATGCGCTATAAAATACAGCATCCACAAGATCTCTTATAAAAATAATTAAATAATTCTTTGAAATTAACAATCTGGCGAATCCCGTCAAGGTTTTAACATATTTTAATGAACCTCTGTGCTGTATCACAATTACAATCTTTCAAGAGTGTAATTCTGCTATATGAACAAGATGAGAATAAATTACCAGTTAAGAAGTTCTCCAAGGGGTATTTTGTCATTGTTTTGTGTGTCTCCAGTCAATCTTTCTGTTCTACAGTTTAGATATTGTTTACATAGATTAAACTGTTGTTCAGCTAATGCCACTTGATTAACCAAAAATGCTACCTTTTTTATTCCAGATTTCTTACTCAAATGTTGCTGTCAATGAAAACAAATATATTCCAAACAATTATTGATATTGGTAATGTAAATTAACAAATCCACTGTCCTGTTACAAATTGTATTTTTTAATGAATAGATAATACCTCCTGTTACAAATTAGAGAACTATTATTGCTCATTTCATATCATTTTTAATCAAAATCGCAGAAATCTAAAATAATGAATTGAAAAACAGTTCTATAAATTGTCAAAAGGAAGTTTTTACCATTATACTTTTAACATTTTTCTTTGAATTTTCTTTTTACAATTTTGGTTTTAGCAACTTTAATAAAATGAAGACATCCATGAAGTTATATTCAATCGGTAGGGTGGCCATCTTTTACCTGCTTTTTTTTGCAGGATAGGCCCCAGTAAAGAACTTGAAGGAATGTGGCTTAAACATACATTATGCAAGAGCTAAATCTGTCTATTGCAGGTCTTCCTTTAGGCCTGAAATATTATCTAAATTATTAGTTAGACATTAATTAACCTATTCAGACCATAATCAACTCTAGATGGCATCGTTAGACTGCGATCTTTAGTGGATTATGAGCCGATTTACTGCATAACTTTCCTTCACGATTTAACGATTAAATGGATAATCGTGACTATGCTGTTCGTTCGTTCGTTCATTCGTTTCTAGAGTGATATCGCAGACAAGACTATGCTGTTTATCGTACTGACTTTTGTAATGATGATGATGCTAGGCGAAAATTTCTATCGCTTAGTTCTTGGTTCATAGTGGATCAATTTGATTGAAATTTTCAGCAAATTGCCTTTACATTATCTAGTTTTTAACTATTATAGTGAGAACTGCCAACTCGTTTTCGAATCTCCCATAATGTATCTTTAATGAATAAAAGAAACGGAGGGCTGTCAAGGTAAATCTTTAAATCTAAGTAATCAATTAAAGATACATTATGGGAGATAAGATAAAGAGATGGCAGTTCTCGCTATAATAGTTAAAAACTAGATAGTGTAATGGTAATTTGCTGAAAATTTCAGTCAAATTGATCCACTATGAGCCGAGAAAGAAGCCGGTGAAATTTTTGCATAGTCTCAGTTATCATTACTAAAATCATTAATATAAACAGCATAGTCTCGATTATCCACTTTTTCTGATTTAATTATCTTTGGCTGTTAGGGGCATATAGAAATCTAATCCAGCCTACATCGAAGGCTAGCCTTGACATCGAGAGTTTATTATGGTCTGGATAAGTTAATTAATGTCTAATTGATAATTTAGATAACATTTCAGGCCTAAAGAAAGACTTGTAATAAGCAGATTTTGCTCTTGCATAATGCATGTTTAAATGTTGTAAATAACTAACAGACAATTTAAAGACAATGGTTTATATTATTACCTTTATTATATTTATAGCCACAATTGTTTTTCCACTACCTGTAGGAGCACATATAATAACATTTTGGCCTTGTAAAGCTTCCTTACACAGATCTTTCTGATAATCTCTTAATTCTATTGTTTTTTTACCCCCATCTTCATCTGTTCTTTGATGTTCTGGCTCATCAATATTCATTTTATCTATAAAATTTATAAAATTAAAACATTCTTGTAAAACAACATGCATTATTCAATTTGTGCCGAAAAGATTATGTTTCTTTCTGTTTTATTCCCCAAATCAAAATTTTCTCCTAATCTCATGGGTTAAATTTCATTTGAGAGAGATGAATTTAATCTGTTATTCGGAGGTTGTAAAGGGGTGAATATAGCAGTTATCTTTTGTGCTGTGGTGTAAATAAACCAATCACCTGTATTGATTATTTTCAATTCCTTTTTGTTGTATGATTTTTCTGGCGATGATGATATGTCCATTAAATTATCACCAATTTCATCTTGTATCTTGGCTTTATCTTCAATAATTCCTAATTTATTCAGTCCAAAGTCTTCAGGGTTATTACTTGCATAATCACCAGAGCTGTATGCTTCACCACTGCCTGATTCAAGAACATTTAAAAAGCATTAAAATTTTGATAAAAATAAAATCAACAAGCGGTTGCCATGCAAGTTAAGCCCACATTTTGCAAGAGATGGACAGAGAACGAGTTAATCCATAATCCAGGAAGATATGGTTTGATATGCACAAATATCGAAAGGAACCGAGATCTTTGGGTTATGAAAATATATTTCAAGTTTCATCAAAATTGGATAAAAATTGTGACCTCTAGAGGGTCCACAACCTTCGTATTACATGCTTTTACACAATTTGCATATAAAGAGCAGCCATTTTGTTGGGCAGTTTCATTTCAATTTAACCGAAACTCGAATTAACCTTCATTAAACGGTTTTTAAAATCAAAAAAAAAATTATGACCTCTAGAGAATCTGCAAGCTAAAAATGTGATTTTTCGAGCAATCAGGGCCATAATCCAGGAAGTTACTTCGGATATGTGCGATTATCAAAAGGAACCAAGATCTTAGTGTGTAACGGTGATGTATATTCACACGTTTTTTTTTAAATTGGATAAAAATTGTGACCTCTAAATTTTGTACAATCAAGGGCCATAATTCAGGAAGTTACGATCCGATATGCGCAAATATCAAAAGGAACTAAGATCTGTGGGTTATAAACAAATTGCGAACGCTAGAGGGTCCACAACCTTGATATACAAGATATTTACACTACATGTATCTGCGTAGAGGGGTGGCCATTTTGTCTGGCAGTTTTCGTTCGATTTTCATAAAATTTTAACTCAATTAACATTACTGTATAACGGTAATATAATCTAACGGTTTATAAAATCAGGTAATAATTGTGACCTCTATATTGGCTTCATATTCGACCGGCTACGCTACTTGGCAGATTCAGCTTAAACATCTAGATTTTTCAGCTATGGGAAGCCATCTTGGGAGCTCTGGTAATGTTGATGATTGCATCATAATATACTTCTTTTAATAAGGATAGCATTTGAGCATGGCTCCTAGATTTGTTGTAAAAGTTGCTTTTGTCATTATTTATATATCTTGGAACAGATGGAACGTCACCCAGTTTGTGCACATGTTCAAAACTTGCTTAACAGGATTTGTTCACATCAAATATTGAACATGCTTGGAAAATTCTTCAGCTGGTGGGCGTGTATCTATGTTTGTTTATAATATATATATATATATGTACATTAGACATACAAACCTTCAAGTATGTTTTCTTCTTCATCATTATCACGGGAGTACCACACACATTTTTTATTATCTTTCTTATTCATGTATTCTTCTATTGCTGAAAAAAGACACAATCTTCTCATAAATATTGTAGCCTATTTAATGAAATTTGCGCAGATAATTCTAAACGAACAACATATTATGTGAGTCATTATCTCCTAAACAATAAACTTACCTATGATAAATTTCTCATCCAAAAATTGAGCCAGTTTCAATTGTTCGGTATGGTAAAGACTTTCCATAAATATTTTATACCAGTCTTTACTTTTTCTATAAATATGACTAAAGAGTTCCATCCATGCATCAGTAATACAGGCACACGAGGATATTTTATTCAAATCATCTTCAGTAATGACCTTATTTTTTAACAAAAATGGAAGAATACCCTCCTTCTCTATTTTAATATGCTTAATAATATGGGCAGAATACAATCTCAAAAACTGAATATCTTCTTCATCATTTTCCTTTAAACTACAAAAGTTGTTCAAAAGGCCATGTAGGGCAGATAATTCTGAAATGAAAAGATAAATAGTTAAATTTGTAGACAATGTTTACATTTTGTTGAGATCTTGAATTCCATATCTTCTAATTTCCAGTGACTTCTTTTTCATTAACAAGAACATAAGAACATAAATAGCAGTATCAGGGGATAAAATATGAAATGAAATGGGGTTTAACATCCTACTTTTTTGCACCGATTCAGCTAATGAAAAGGTGCATGTGCCTATGCCTTACAATGTGCTATGAATTGAAACTTGAAAATTCCAGAGAACTTTCTCGGCCAAAACCTGGATCGAACCCCAGACACCATGGCTTCTCAGATAAAGCTTAAAAAGCGAACCCAAAACAGTTAAAACGTTTACAGTCTGATAGGATTCCTCCTGATGCTCCTATGAATAATCCCACCAAGCTGTAATAAATCCCTGTGAGAAATATGTTTCCAATTAGCAATCAAAATATGAACAGAAAAATGCCTCAGCAAATCCCAATAATTTTTCAATTTAAGGTGGTTCTCTCTTATGCTAAATGGGGGAGATGGGTGGCCGAATGGATTAAGGACTGGTTTTATGTGTGCTTAGACCTCTGTCATTGAGTCAAACAGGGTGATCTCTCTTTCTCTCTCTTGTATCAATCAGGTTCAAATACTTTTGAAACAATTGGGCCAAATGAATAATGCTAAATTCCATGAGAACTCTGTTCACAGACTTTAAAGTTTAATGGTTACCATATGACTGTAAATATGTGGCAAAAGCATAAAATATGTAAATAATCGAGATGATGATGTTAGTCAGAGAGCTAGGTTCAGGTTGTTTCGAAAATAGCGTACAAAATTTCTACTATGCTAGTTGAGTGGACAGTGGTGTCCGATACTCTGAACCGTGATTCTTAAGTTGCGGGTCCCCTTTCCATGGGAGTGGAGGATCAGACAAAACGTCAAATTTTCGAGTTTTATTCGACTTTTGAGTACAACAATCAACTTTCGTGCATAAGTCGACCAACTCTAAATGTCGCCAAAAACACTGCTCAAGAAGACACCCAACCCTTCCTTCCTCCCTTAAGAACACCCCCTTTACCACCCTGAGAGAGGGGTTGATTCGACTTTTGCGTACAACATTAATTTTTTCGTTAAAAGTTTCCTTATTGATCCGCTAAAACATAACACTAACTTAAGAACGCGAAATCCCCTTCCATTCCGGATAAGAACAACAAAAATGTGGACCTATGGGTGAAAAAATCAATATGACGTGTTGGTTTTATGTACACTGAGGTGGTGACATTGGAGTTTTCTCTTTTTACCATTACATTAAGAAATGGGAGACTGCTGTTGGTTTCATCTCCACTGTGAACTTCATTCTTGGATGTTGGTTGTTTAAATGATTTGGGGAGGACGACAGTACCATCTTCTTTTTGTAACATGACGAAGGTGTTATCCATCTTTCTGAACCAGAAAACAGGTTGAAAAGGAACGATTCGGGTGCCTTCTTCTGGTAACATCATACAAATTTTGAAAATCAGCGGGGTTAAGGACTTCCCATCGGTAAACCATGGATCTGTCCATAATAGTTTTTTCCCCATGTGAAATATGTGGATTCCAGGCATTGCTTGATCAACGGAATACTGGTATGAACTTGTAGTGGTGTATCCAGTGGTGTAGAAAGTTGTCGAGTACAGGTTTCAAGAACTCTGAAATCAAGGCTTCTTCTTTTGGCATATTAGTAAGTAGGTTGACAACACTGTACGGAAGCAATTCATTGGAGTCCTTAATGAAAATATCAATTCGTCTGGAATTTCTAGGAATATCATGAGTATGACGAATCCTACAGATTGTATTTAATTGAAACAGAATGGACGTCAGGAGCTTTTAGAGTAATCAACCGAATCCGCTCTCTTCTCCGAGAGCCGAGCTATATAAAACCCGTACTAACCCGTGGACTAATATTGTAGTACACGGAAGTTGAATTAACTTATTCTGATGAGGGTAAAGGGGACATTCCTAAGGGGAAATGAAATGAAATGAAATGGGGTTTAACGTCCTACTCTTCTGCACCTAACCTGGGCTAATTGAAGACGGGCATACGCCATACAGTGTGCTATGAGGGAAATTTTGCCCGGGCAGCGGCGCTACGGCCTACTCTTATATTGAATTCCAACTGCCAAGGGATCTTTTACGTGCACGCCAATGTGTACACAGGACCTTGGTTTTTCGTCCCATCCGAACGACTAGGCAGATGTCCTTGTCAGGCCCTCCTTTCTGCATCACTGACAAGGGGAAACCACGCCGGAAAATCGAGATGAACTTTCTCGGCCAATGCAGGGATCAAACACCCGACCTCCAGGCTAGCGAGCCAACGCCTTACCCACTTAGCCACGTGATCCCCATTCCTCAGGGGTGAAGAATGGATCTGGCATCTACTTTAGCAGAGTTTTTAAATGTAATCTGAGGTAATTTTACATAGGCAGGAAGGATGATATTTGTAGGCTGAAATTGACTTAAATCATCTGTTTTGGCCATTTCATCCTTGCCACGCCCCTCGTTTTCTCGCCCTTATCCGAGATAGAAGGGGATTTTGCGTCCTTAAGTTAGTGCTATGTTCTAGTGTACCAATAGTGAAATTATTAACGAAAAAAATTAATGCTGTATGGGGAATTCAAATTAACTCATCTCTAAGGGTGGTGGGGGGGTATAAATGGGGTGTTCTTAAGGGAGGAAGGAAGGGTCGTGGGTCTTCTTAAGCAGTGTTTTTGATGACATCTGAGGTTGGTCGTCGTATGCACGAAAGTTGATCGTTGTACGCAAAAGTCGAATTAAATCGTCATTTTGGTCATTTCACTCATGGGTCCCCCGTTTTGTCGTTCTTATCTGGGATAGAAGGGGATTTCGCGTTCTTAAGTTAGTGTTCTGTTCTAGCGGACCAATAGTGAAACTTTTAACAAAAAAATTAATGTTGTACGCTTAAGTCGAATTGACCCCTCTCTCAGGGTGGTAAAGGGGGTGTTCTTAAGGGAGGAAGGAAGGGTCGGGGGTCTTCTTAAGCAGTGTTTTTGGCGACATCTGAAGTTGGTAGACTTATGCACGAAAGTTGATTGTTGTACGCAAAAGTCGAATTAAACTCGAAAATTCGAAGTTTTGACGGATCCCCCACCCCCATGGGAAGGGGCGCCGCAACTTAAGAATCAAGGTCTCTCTGGGGGGTAAGTGGGTGTTCTTAAGGGAGGAAGGAAGGGTCGTGGGTCTTCTTAAGCAGTGTTTTTGATGATATCTGATTTTGGTCGACGTATGCACAAAAGTTGATCGTTGTACGCAAAAGTCGAATTAAATCGTCATTTTGTTTATTTAAAACATACGCCCCCTTTTTGTCGTTCTTATCCGGAATAGAAGGGGATATCGCGTTCTTAAGTTAGTGTTCTGTTCTAGCGGACCAATAGTGAAACTTTTAACAAAAAAATTAATGTTGTACGCTTAAGTCGAATTGACCCCTCTCTCAGGGTGGTAAAGGGGGTGTTCTTAAGGGAGGAAGGAAGGGTCGGGGGTCTTCTTAAGCAGTGTTTTTGGCGACATCTGAAGTTGGTAGACTTATGCACGAAAGTTGATTGTTGTACGCAAAAGTCGAATTAAACTCGAAAATTCGAAGTTTTGACGGATCCCCCACCCCCATGGGAAGGGGCGCCGCAACTTAAGAATCAAGGTTCAGAGTATGGGACATCACTGCCCACTCATTTAACATAGTAGACATTTTGTACACGATTTTCAAAACAACCTGAACCTAGCTCCCTAACTACATATGTGATTTTCAACTGGTTTCATCCTTACACTGACTGATATGATTAAAAGATGCCAATCTCCAATAAATTTATCTATAGTTAATGCATTAACAAGACTCTTCTCTTAACTCATTTGAAGGTTTTGAGGCATGGGTAACAACCTGCATAAATAGCTATATACTCGCAGTGATCTTCAATTTAAGCCTTATTACCTGCTTGTTCCAGTGAGCTCATAAAGATTGCCCATTTTCCTTTTTCTTTGCAAGTATGTTGAATATAGTTTATAAGTTCTGTAGCTCCTGCTTGGTGATCTCCGTTTTTATCTAACGCTCTTATCTTGGATTCCACATTTCCTGAAATTAGAAGCATTTGAATTGATGATAATAAATGCATGTGACATATTTAACATGCACTCCTGTTTGAAATAGAATCCATATTACCTTAAGTAAGAAATCAATCTACCTATATATGTAAGACAATTAAGTGTATTATGCACACCACTTCAGTAGAAATTATATTTTAGACCCACATCTCCCTATTCCCTCTCCTTGAGCCTTGTTAATTTAGTCAGTGAGACTTAACTAACCATGAAGTCCCAAGTTTGATTTCAGTGTTGGCCAAGAAAGTTCCTCAGGTTTTTCCAGCTTGTTTTCCTCTTAAAAAATCAGTGGTGCAGAGTATCCTGGCAGAGAACAATACCTAGTCATTCAGATGGGATGCAAAACTTAGCTCACATGTAAAAGATCAAGTTTTGTAAACAGATTGTACAGTATACCACTTCTTCAGTTTCTTTTTAATATTAACTTCTCTATTCTCTATACATGTACTGATCAATCCTATACAATACTATAGTAAATTATTTAAGATCTGTAGTCACTGAAAAACCTACAGAATTCGCGCCAAAAAGCCTCTCTCCCTCTCCCTTTCTCTCTCTCCAACACTCAACACGTCAACGCTGTTACCGGGAAAAAACGAAAGTGAAAGTGAAAGTAACAGTAAATTGAAAACTTGTTCAATACTATAGTAACATACCTAAAGGGTGAGATATTACCTAGTATCGAATTTGTAAAATTCTAAAATTTGGATTCAACTAAGTACTAGCTAATGCCCATACAATTGAAACATGGAACGGCACGCACCTTTAGGAATTATTCCCGTGAGATACGGCAATAGCTCACTGCTGTGAATTCTTTCCAGTAATAAAGTTTTAAAAACGTCAGTGATGAGAAATTCCTTGCTTTCTTCATATGTCCCTGCAAGTTCTGCAATATTGCCTGAATCCCCATCTGTTCCTATCTGTGTGGTGGCCATGGTTTGTTAGGCCTAGCTGACTAGCTGGCAATAACTCATCTGATGGCAGCCGAGCCCTAAACAGTGAATCTAATATTATACGAATACTTTAAATTAGCTGAACTTGGTTTTAAAAATACAGCCAATTGTTGAAATAAAATCACACGATACACTATGTGATTGTGCTATCCGACAAGACCTCTTAAACAATACAGATCTGCATCTGACATCAACACCACCAGTGATACTCTAAAGGACTCAAGTGTGATTCTTATATTTAGTTCTTGGAAAACCCCATTCGTCACGTGTCTATATCGACCGTAACTTTTATAAATAAATTCTTGGAAATTTCATTACGTAATATATGTTCACTGTAGGCTACAATTGAGACCACCCACCCACTCACCACCATGGATTTAGGGGGGGGGGGGCGGGGGGACGCGTCCCCCCTTAGAATCGGAAGAGGGGACGAATAGGTCTCTGCCCCCCCCCCCCATGATTTTGATCGCCAGGACAAATTTTCAGGTTTATATCCAAATGATCTGGAGCTCCAGTTTTCGGCCAAATCTATACTATTTAAAAAAAGTAGGGGATATTTGATTTGTAAGTGTTATTAAAGTCACCTAATGAAACTGACGAAGAAACAAATGACAAAATGAAATGAAGTTCACATTCATCGATTTATTCCAAATGATCGTTAGACTAAGTAAGGCACAGACTGACCATTATAAGGGTAAAATGATACCCGGGGTCAAACAGCAAAGTTACCACAGCATCACAACCAAGTCAGTAACGGGTAAATCCTCCTCTGTTTGCCAAACAAGCATTGATTCGACGTGACATACTCCTAATGAGACGTCTAAGGTCATTTTGGTCCAGATTGTCCCATTCCTGTTGCAACGCAGCAGCAAGTTCTTGGACATTGGCAGGACGTTGTTGACGTTGACGTAACCTCTGTCCAAGCATGTCCCAGACATGCTCGATGGGGGAGAGGTCGGGACTGGCCAAGGTAATGTGGTGATGTTCTGTTGTTGGAGGTAACCTGTAACGATCCTGGCCCTGTGACATCTTGCGTTGTCATCCTGGAAGATGAAACGGCGGCCATGGCGTCGTGCGAACGGCACAACATGGACTGCCAAGATGTTGTCCCGGTAGTACTGGCCTGTAACACGCCCTGCAACAACATGTAAAGCCGTTCTTCCAGCAACAGTGATGCCTCCCCACACCATAAAAGAACCACCCCCAAATCGATCATGTCTGATGACGTTAACGTCTTGGAAGCGCTCGTTTCGACGACGCCACACCCTCCTACGTCTGTCCAAAAAATCAACAGTGAACCTTGACTCATCTGAAAACATCACATTGCTCCAACGTCGATTATCCCAGTGTTGACGATCCCTACACCAACGACGTCTTGCCTAAATGTGATGATCTCTCAAACAAGGGATCACGCGAGGACGTCGGGCGCGAAGGTGACCCCTATGCAGTCGATTCCGAATCGTCTGGCCACTCACTCTCACACCAGTGTCTGTTTGAAGACGAGCGCTGATCTGATTTGCTGTGATGACACGATTTCTCAAGGCCAAGGTACGGATAAATCGATCCTGGGCTTGAGTTGTCGCCCTTGGTCGACCTGAGCGTGGACTGTCCTGTACAGATTGTGTATCACGGTATCTGGACCATAGCCTGCTTATGACAGACTGAGAAACATTCATCGTCCGCGCCACAACCGCCTGTGTTGTGCCGATCTGTAGCATGCCAAGGGCACGTAATCTTTCATTTTGGGTAAGCCGACGCATATCAAAATTTGTTTTCTGGTCACTAAAACAATTAAACTGATGTTTCCACCCTGGAATTCAATGCCACAATGACTGTAACATTCAAAGTCAGAGTCGTGCAAATCTTGGGTTGGACCCCCATGATGATCCCAAGCATCACCTGCATTCCATGCGGTAGCTATTGGTGCGTTTGGGCGTCACATGTAACTGGAAATGTTTCGTAGTCATTTGCATATTTTAGTATTATGCCCCCAAAATCAAATATCCCCTACTTTTTTTGAATAGTATATTTCACTTGTGCACGAATCGTTCCTCATGTCACCTTAAGTAAGGCAGACGTTCCCTTCTGTCGAAGCTCTTCTCATCTCACACTGCTGTACCCTGCTAATTCCTGCTCAGCCGAGCGATCCTTCAGCACTCGGCGCAACTCCATGACGCAAAACCGACTGAGCCACACTTGTGGTGCATAATCTTCATGTCGCCACGATATTCAAAGAGAACAGTCCTGATCGTAGAACGATCCGAACGTCTTTGGACGATTCACTTAACTTCATGAACAATTAATATTTATGCAGCTTTGATGTAGGTCAATTTTTCCATATTGTCATCATATTACCCCTAGTTTTTACAGCCTTCATCGAAATAAAACTGGTAGTGGTCAGAGGCGTAACCGTGAAATATATGGGGGGGGGGGGCGCAACCCTAACCCCTAACCCTAACCCATTTTTTATAACCCCTAAAAAATATAAACAAACACCATGTGGCCATGCTGTCTACCAAGACACCGCGTGCAAAAGCATTATGGTTACGTTGCTGGCTGAGCGGGCGATAATGTTTTTTGGGTACCTACATGCGATTCACTCTAATAAGTGGCAGAAAAAAATTAACAAAATATTACTGACAGGCTAACTAGACACAATTTTATGGAACACAGGTACTTTTCACTTCACACATGTTTCCAGGATGATTATCTCTGTGTTTTATTTAAGCAGTATAAACCATATTGGGATATGTACAGGTTTTATACAGATATGATCTTAACTAATCCTAATAATTGTTGTAAATAAATAGGAGTTTGGGTCTACTATGTAATTTTTTTTTATTTTTTTTTTTTGGGGGGGGGGGGCAAGTATATTCAGGCCCCTCCCCCCCCCGAAAAACAATTGGGGGGTCGGACCCCCCGGACCCCCCATGTGTGACGCCCATGGTAGTGGTAGGCTACTTTAAACTGTTCGTAATTATTTATTTCGTTTGGTAATGAAATGTTCCAGATTCCAGGGTTCGTCCGCCCCCTCCCCCCAAACATTATGACAAATGCCCTTGACCACCACAACCTCAGATTGGTTTGAAATATTATAATTACCGTACTATGTGTCAGGTTATGTTTATTTGCTTATTTATTTCAATGCTGTGAGACACTCTTCGACACTCTTCGTGGTTTTTATATCTTTTTTCTGAACAGCTATCTACTAGGTAACATTCTCATAGCTACGAGAACGTAGCTGAGATGTTGAGAGATGAGGTTTGTTATCTAACATTCTCAGAGTAGCAATTATTCGCCCATTGACTTCAATGTTAAATGGCAGTAGGACTAATTACATCCATCACAGGCCGTAGCTTTTTGCTCAACATTCCGTTGGTTCCAATCTTTAAAGGCACAAAGGCGCTAGGGGACCGCATTTGGCAATCCCCTCATCCTCATCATAATTTTGATTTTTTGCTACGGGGATCAGTTGACTGGGGTCAAAATCTCACTTCCGACACAATGATTGCAGAAAGACACTTTACACCCTCTATCCCTGCGCTGTAATATCATCAGTATTACCGGTACCCAAAAATGCTATAAAATTGCAAATTTGATCCCTTTTCTCCAATTCTAGACCAAATTGTCAATCACAAAAAACGTAGGAAGAGGGGAGAAAAAAAATTAAGAGAAAAATTGTCTATTAATAACTCGCACTACATTTGTATACTTGCTTTTACATAAAACTTATTTATGAATTGCTGTTTCTTGTAGATTTTTTGTATCTTAAAATTCTAAATGATGTTCTATAAGGTGGGTTTACAAGACAATGCTGAAGTAATTAATGGCTGATAAAGTAGTAACTTTAGTCTGATCCGACTATATATAGCTTATATAATTAATGTTCTTGTCTGTCGACATAAGTAATCTGAAAATAACGCTTTATACCACCTCGGTTTTAAGGCTATTTTGGAATTCTTACCATCTATTTTTCACCATGATTCTTCTTTGTTCGCCAAAAGGAATCATTTCTCAACACATCTGACACAAATTTATAATAATTCAATACTATTTTCAAATAGAATTCCGCGATGACCATTAAAGATCCACAGTATAATGATAATAATACTGTATATTTGAAAGAAAAATCTCTTTAGAATAATGCCAATATATATACTTTTTTGGTTTATGCCGACTTTCCTGAAAAATAATCAAAAACTGAATTTTTCTAAATATTGAACTTCCCTCAAGAGTATAAAAATATTTCTTTAAAGATCCATTCCCACAAAAGTATTTATCAGGTAGTTATTTCCAATAAAATTATGGTAATTTTGGTATATACAATACTAGAAAAACAACAATGGCGCAGGCAACAGACAAATACGTGAGGGTATCCGCCTTTAGTGGTGTAAGGAGTGCTCATGTGTTGATCTAATGGCTAACAGTTCTCAGAACACTTGTGAGAAATAAACATCCAGTAGACAAAGAAGCTGACAGAGAACCATACAAGAATTTACAGACTTTGATATGGTAAATGGATAGCGACTAACAACAAACACAATCTAAAAATGGATTCTCCAACGAAAGGGTTAATCCAGAAAGTAGATGTTATTTACTATTAAAATTTAGGTTTGCTCTAGGACAAATCCCTCCAGAACACTGGATTCCACTTGCCTCATCAATAGGAAGGATGCTGTAGCAAGTCAAAGTACATGTAGCTACCAATTTGGGATTTGTCTTCACATGCAAATTAATATTCGGATGGTAAAATAATTTAAGGGATTAGAAACTCTTTGAATAGCATTTACATGTTTGTGGAGCTAGTATAGGTGGGGCAGTCGGTTCCAGACGGCCCAAATGTTAATGGGTTCGCTTTAATTTTTAAAATTCTGTGAAAGAATCATATAATTTATGATTTTTTTTCCAATAAAATGTAAGATTTTTGTGACAATAATTAAATGATTGAAATAATTTATTTAGTCACAGATCCATTTACCCTACAATTTATTTCTGTTCTGTTATGTCAAGTATACCATGTCCGTAATATGATAATAAATTTTTTTTTTTAAGAGGGGATTACCAGTAATCTTTTGAGGATCACAAGATAATTAGAAGGATTATGAAACATTTGTATTTGTATACTTCATTCTATCTTTCCACTTTCTAACCAATCAGAATTTTTGATGCATATACATTATGGATGGTGTGTGTGAGTGAGAGAGAGAGATTTCAATTTTATTTCAATAATTCGCTTGCGCTAAAGGTCTTTAGCAGTGGAAGGAAACTGGAGGACACGGAGAAAACCCACGAGGCTGGACTGGCGACCCTACTCCTCCTTGTCACTACAACCGGGATTATGGATGGTACAATATTTATTACATTCCTAAAAGTAATATTAACATATATATTATCATGGAAATTTTTAATTCTTTAAATAATATAATATATTACATATTATTTCTTATAAATACATATTGTAATACAATAATTGTACGCTTGTGCATTAAACTATATTAGAAGCAAAATATTCTGAGCAATCAATTAATCAACAATCATAACATTCTTAAATATATTTGTAAATATATTCTTAAAAATCTATCTACAATAAATAAAAAATGTTTAATTTATAAACCTCATCACCATCAAATCACTTTAATAAGGAAATTATTTATCAAATAATAAGTAAATTCATAAAAAAATTGTATTTGCTTGAGTACATTATATTATCTGTACCAATAAATTTCTACAACACCAACAGTATTGATTTCTAACAAGTGAAATGACAAAATAAAGTTTTTATCATTAATCTATAGATGCAGTATAATAAGCCCACCAGCAGCAAAATTATCTATGTTTAATCATAAAATTTGAAATGAACAATGTCAACAAGGTTTGTCCAGTATCACTTTCACAAGATTTAACAGTCAGAACATTCAAAATGGGAAAGGAACTATAACTCCACAATAACTGCAAAAAATAACATCTAAATATTCTGTTATTCAGATACAAGATGCATTAAATGCATTCAAAAGGTTTGGAAATTTGAAAGGGTTGGATCTTCCTTATGCCACAATGAGCAATCTCCATAAATTCCAAAAAAACTTCTTCAGGAACAATGTCATGTAGCATTTTCACGGGTTTTAAAGATAGGTTGCCAGGCAACGAAACATACACCCACAGCAGCTAAGTTGTCCAGTCAGTCAACAGGGGTTGCCGCATATTTTTTCTTTTGTCAGTTATGAAAACACACGAAATTATCAGTGATTATCAGAAATTGTTAGAATATATTTCAATCGTTTGTCTCACAACCTTAAACAATTTATATTAACTTTAGCCTCAATGTGATCCAGGACCATAACTCTGGCAGCAATTATCAGAAATTGTTGAAAATGAATAGGATTCTTCGTCTTATGACCTTAAACACTGTGTATCAATTTAAAGTCAATCGGATATAAATGTTAGTCTATAGATTGTCCACAAGCAATGTGAGCATATAAAAATCATTGGATTGATCGATTGACCTTCCAACAGAGGCAATGGCACATTTCAATGTGGGCGTATAAAAAATCTGACAACAACTGCAGTGTACTGAATCAAGTTTGACAGACAAAGATGACAACACATTTAAAGTAAGCTTAAAACTTGAAAAGGTATACATGACAAAATCATTTAAACATCATTACCGACCACATATATATATATAAACCCTCTTAATTCTCATCTTCAGAATCAATGTCAGAAATATTCCCCGATGCTTCCAGGAACCTGCGGCGCAAATCATCATCACTGATTTCTTGGACATAGAATGGGATGTTTTTCCACTTTTTGATGGTTGTTTTTTTACCATCAGAATCCTCAATGACAAAACTTTCAATTTTGATTAAAGGGTATTCAGCATTCTGATACAGAGCTTCAATTCCCCAATCATGATTGCAAGATTTACAAAAGATTTTACTTTTCTTTAGAAACCCGTGAAACTCCATGGGAGCTTTATGATCTTTCGTTATATACCTTGTTTTGAAACTTTTATCTACCACAGTATATTGTGAATGTCTAATTGTACGAATATCAGTAGAAATACATGCAAAATCTGTGCATCCAAAACATCGTAAAATAAATTCATCATCTTTTAAAATACGACCATTCCTTATAAGTTTGTCCATATCTCGCACAGATTTTGCTTTTTTCTGATATTCAAGAATGGATTCTTTGAATTCCTTTTCAGGTTTGCCCTCTAGATCTATTAAAGCTTGTTTCATCATCATTTCCCTTGATAAATTCATTTCTTCTTTTCTAGCCGTATTAGCATCATCACTGGCCACAAGTTTAAATTTACTAGCTTCTGCTCTGGCCCGACCTGAAATCAAGTTATTTAAAGTAAAGAATGCAGCACTGTAAGAAATTATATTGTGACATTGGTCAAGGACTGGGATATTCCAATAAACAAACACTATGCAAGGACTAAATCTGCCTATTGCAGGAATTTCTTTAGGCCTGAAATGTTATATAAATTAATAATTAGACATTATTTAATTTATCAAGACCATAACCAACTCTCGATGCGATATAAGTAGATTTTAATATGCTTTGTTGTCTATGTGGTTACTGTAAAAATCAATAATCAAGACTTTGTTTATTATAGTAACAATGGTAGTAATTACAATCGAGGCTAGACTATAACTGTATCGCCGATATCTAGGCTCAGCGTGAAGTAATTGGACTGAAATTTTTAGCATATTCTCTTTCATTATCTACTTTTTGACTGCCGGTATTATTGCGAGAACTGTCAGCTCTTTATCTAATCTTACCTAATGCTGCTTTAAATGTGGAATCTGTCCTAGATATATTTTAATGAATCAAACCGAAAGATTTCCTTGAAACTATTACCATAATTTTGTTCAACTATCTAAATCTGTGTGGAACTTTTTTTGTAGAAATACAAACTTTCAATTCAATATGTGGTTGATAAAAACTACTCAAATTTTACATTATCTGCCTGAGCCATGTCTACAACTTGTCTAAGTTTTATTGAAAGTGATCATCAGGATTTCTCAAGTGCTCAAAAGCAAATTCTTATCACAGTTTTTTCAATTCTCTCTTTTTCCAAAAAAATAATATCAAGGACAAAAAAAAAGATTTGAATAAATGAAATGAAATGGGGTTTAACATCCTAAATTGTTGAGATTTGAAATAACTCTGAAAAGATTTTAACAGTGTTGTCCCATTCGTTTGTTTATTCAAAATTATTTAGTTTGTGACAGTATAAATTTTGTGCCATGAGAAACAATTGCCAAATACGATCATTAATCCTGATTAACCAAAATCAGTGTTCAGAAATATGACACTAAGAGTGAACTAATAATATTAAAGCAGCAATATGAAATAACAAAAATTGTTACATATTAACAAACATAAAGGCTGACAAGACAGGTAATTCAGCCAATTAAAAGATTTTGTAGTAAACTCATAAAATATATATTGAAAAAAAAATATACTAAAACGTTGCTTTTTTCAGAATTATCTGTTGCTTTGAAAAAGATATGATTCATTCAACAACATTCATTCAGCAGATGCAGAATTTTATGCTGAAAATTTTGAGCCATATTCCAATTTCAATGAAATAACAGCAGCAATTTCGACCACAATATGACATTTAGCAAAGTGACCTGGAAGTCCATGAACCAACAATTCAGAGTTCAGACATCAGGCTAACTGAAAATCATGATTGAATCTCTTCATCAAATTGGTAATGATACTCCAAAATCCACGGTCTTTGCACAGACTACATTTGTATATTTTTCTTTTTATAATCTTCTACGGACCCCTCTTTAATATGCTTTTTAGACAGTTACTTTTTACTGTGTACTGTGTAGCCTATGGTCTGAAAATCTATATTACGAATATTGTGCTAATAAATTATTGATGTAACTAGATATATATACCTCTAGATTGAACCATGGCAATTTCATTTGTCACATGATCATATCTGATGACCAAATTACACTTTGTTATGTCCAGACCTTCTTCAGCAACAGATGTGGCTATAATTATCTTTGCATCACCATCTTTAAAATAATCTAATACTTCTACTTGCCTGTTTCTAGTCATACCTATATAAATTAAGATGATAAGTTTATGATAAGTCCTTACTACTCGCAGTGTATCGTTTGATTAGATCAAATCCCACTCAACACTGATGATTTCCTGTCCCAAATTATGACTGGTTAACAGTCAAGTTAACAACCAATCCATTACAGTGTAACACATTAATCTAGATTAACCAGCTGTCTAAATATGTTAATGTAAATGAAAATTGCATCTACATTATGCCACAACCCATAAAATTTCAGTATAAGTGATTAACCAGAGAAAAAGCAGAATATTGGATAAAAACTAATGGTGTGACACAAGATTGTCAAAAATAGCAGCAAGCCTAAACATGGTTTATCATCTGCTAGACCACAAGTATGGCAGATGAATATTATTTCACCATATTTTTATACTTTTTATCAACTGCCTGAAGTTTTAGGACAGACACCAGATCAAAGAGACGGACTGTGATGATAAGTCATGTAATTATTAACTTTGAATCATTCAATTTATTTATTCAATATATATATACAAAAATGGGGTAATCTTAGAATTTGGGGTTAAAATGATGCCATCTTGGATTTTGAATGCCATATTGGATCATTAGTATAACTCATAAACTTGTCAAAACCTACAAATTAAACATACATTATTCAAGAGCTAAATCTGCCAATTGCAGGTCTTTCTTTAGGCCTAAATTTTTAATTAGACATTAATTAACTTATCCAGACCATAATCAACTCTCGATGTCATCGCTAGCCTGCGATATTTACTGGATTATAATGCGACCTGCTGCTCAACACTCATTGATGATTAAATCAAAAAATGGATAATTGAGACTATGTTTTTTATCGTACCGACTTTAGTAATGATGATCGAGGCTAGGCCCAAAATTCAATCGCTTAATTCTTAGTTCGGAATGGATCAATTTCACTGAAATTTTCAGCAAATTCTCTTTATATTATCTAGTTTTTAACTATTATAATGAGAACTGCCAGCTCTTTATCTAATCTCTCATAATGCATCTTTAATGGTTAATCTTTCTGCGAGTCTGTATGTCATAATATTAGGTATAACAGAAATTACACTATAAGCATCGTCTATAACATCTGTATTTTTTTTTACTTTAAGAGCTAAAACTTTCTGCCTATTTCTAGATTATTTTTCTTGGCAAAAGAAACTATATGTCTAGATTGCAAAATCTTTGTTTTAATAAAATATTGCATGAAGAATAATTCGAATTGTGATTTGTGTCACTTAAAATCACTTACCTCCTTTGTCGGCAGAAGCTCTTGCTCCAGTAACAGTTTCTGGTTTTAGATTCAGCCTCTTTAATTCAGGGGTTTCTTCCATCCATAGTTTTAACTTCTGAACCAAAGCTAATGTCTTTGCAAATACAATGGCTCTTGAATCAGGATTTTCCCTAAAACCATCCATTATCATTTTTTTTAGCTTTTCTAATTTTGGATTTACATTTTTAGGGTCATCACATAATCTTTGTAGCTTCTGTTTCTTATCTGTAAAACAGATCAAAATTTACCAGTATAAATTAAAACATATGTACGTAAATGAATGAATACTTACTGTAGATTGCTGTTTTCTATATATCAACATACAAAGAAGCCATGAAGGAGAACTGTAACGGAATTACCGTAGTACAGTATGGAAGTTCCCATTCAATGTCTAGTCTGTTAAGTAACAAAATAGCAACCCTTCTGCTAACAAGTACAATGTCATAAAAAATATTCACCTGTGTAATATTCCATCAATTCTTTTTGTGTATTTTTTGACTGATTCAGTGTTATGGTCTTTGAGAACTCCTCTTCTATATATGTTAAACTATCTATTGAACGGCAGTCATTATTTATAATAAGTGCATTATTATATATCTGAAACAAAAAACAGTTTAACCATGCATCCAAAATCTGATGTAAGTGTACAGCAGCACTGCCTTTAATAAATATATAGCCACCAGTAGCTGTTTAAAGGTCAAGGACACAGATTTGAATTTTATTACGGTTTCTACTTCCTCATTATGACTACTACCAGTAAGACATTATTATACGCTAGTTCTATTGCCAGGGTGGTACGTCACATGGCCTTCGATATAGATCCAGCAGGTTCTTCGGTGTCCGATGATCATTTCAAGATGATCACATTCAAGCGTGCATAAGCAAAACAAAAAAAATAGAAAAAAGTTAAAGAAAATTTGTGCATTCCAGAATTGCCCAATCTCAGGATTTTGTGATACTCTTGACACATGTGATGTGATACAACCGTTTTATTTATTTTGTACGAATGCAAAGTTGTGTTGTTTTGCACAGGTCTTTGCAGTATAAAATGTGTTTATTCAATGACGGAGACCAGGATTGAACTATGTTCCAACAAACCCAACAAGCTTTCTAGCTTGGCAAATAGGTATATCCTATTATTAGGTGCGGTGCATATTTATAGGGCTTGTAATTTAACATATTGTGATCTAGGCTTTAGGTGTTATTAGACTCTAGGCCCGCAATCCTAGTTCCGAAAATTCTTCACATAATTATCTCTTTTAACAATTATTTTAATGTTTTATATTTTGTCTGTACACCGTACTGCTATTTATTTGTTTTACCAAATATTTTATTTTTTTATGATTTTCTATCTATATTTTATCTATACCTGTACCCTGCTATTTTATGTTTTTTAAATCCTATTATCTTGTTTTACCAAATAGTTTAATTTTATTTTTTTATGATTTTCTATCTATATTGTTTTACATTGTGTACTCATATATATAGTCATATATATTTTTGTATAAGTGCCAGAGAGCAGCGTTACAAGCTGGAATTTGGTGCTATACAAGTCCAATAAATTATTATTATAATTATAACCCTACTTGAACCAAAAAACTTATCATCCATGCTTAAATATATTGTTTGTATAAACAGTGGTAAGTTTATTCACATCCTTAAGTACCTTTGTCTAAAAGCGAGATTTCTTCAATTTACCAATTACAAGTGATCTATAGCCAGTAGTACTTGTACATATAGCGATGTGATAAAGCCTCCTTTTATGATATATTAGCTGTGTTTAAATCAAAACTCATTTGTTTGGGACTTACTATATTACTCAAAAATCATTACCATATTATATTTACCTCTAACATTTTATAGCATGTTACATAGAATTTACGAGCATTATGTTCATTAACGGCAGCAATGCCTCTCTTTAACTTAGCTACCCATTGAGTGTAACTATCATGTCCTTTTCTTCCTGGTGGCTTTAAATATTTTTTGAATTCTTCTAATTCTTCATCCTTCTTCAACAGAACTGACAAAGCAAAATAAAAGAAAGAATTATAATTTATTTAAAGCAGTATCTTGTAACAAATCATTAATCTAATACTCTTGTCCAGGGATCTTAAAGTCAGTGGGATCCATGGTGAGTAAGACTTTGGCTCGTTAACTGGGTGGTTTCGTGTTCAATCCCTGCTTTGACCAAGATAGTTCATCAGGGTTTTCCAGCGTGGTTCCCCTCTTGTCAGTGGTGCAGAACAACATATAGTCATGCAAATGGTATGAAAAACAGAGGTCCTGTGTACACATTGGCATGTATGTAAAAGATCCCTTGGCAGTTGGAATTCGATATAAGAGTAGGTTGTAGCGCTACTGTCCGGGCAAAATTTCCTTCATGCACACTGTATGGCGTATGCCCATCTTCATCAGCCCAGTCGGAGCAGAACAGTAGGACGTTACACCCCAATTTCATTTCAACATAGGTTGTTGCATATTTATTCTTTTGTAGGGAGCATTTACAAGACACTGTAAACTGATCAAGAGTAATAACCAATGAAGTAATTATCAGAAATAATTAAAATTTGATTGGCTTCTTGTTCTTCCTAGTTCCGGCAATCAGATGAGTAACAGTGGAAATCATTGAAAATTATTAGACTTATCTCATAACCACAAACACTGTGTTTAAATTTCAAATGAATCAGATCATTGATACTAAACCAACCGCAAGATTTAAAAAAGTAATCAAGGGCAATAACTCTTAAAAGTAATTAAAAGCTTCTGATGCTCATGAACACAAACAAAGTATATCACCTGAAGGACAATCAGATGACAACTTTAGCCTCCAATTGATTCATAAGTTTTTTCTAACTGATCAATAGCCATAGCTCTGACAGCAATGATCAGAAATCATAATGGATCCCTGATTATAATATTACGCAATATTTAATAATAATTGAACAGTTTAAAAGATCAACTGTGCAAAACTTACATTTCGAATTCTGCATGTCAGTTTCTATTTTTTGCATGATTTCTACTATAGTCTGGTGGTAAACATCGTTCTCTCGTTTGTCACAACGTTCAATATCTATAAATAGGAAATGTTTTTCAGTTAAATATCACCATCATAGTTAATCCTAATGCTTTCACTCATACAACAGGTTTCAAATGGTAATCGACATAAAATTGACAGCAATTTATACAACTTTGTTCTTTGTTTCATCCAACTGACATGTCTTTGTTAGCTCAAACAAGACTAACAAGAATGTCCTGGCTTCAATCCCAAAATTGGCCGAGATTTGTCAAACTAGTTTCCCTTTGCAAGTGGTGCATAAAACAGAGTCTGGCAAAACAAAGTGCCTAGTGTTTCATATGGGATAAAAAACAAGGTTCCCCCATTTAGCTGTTGGGATACACAATAAAAGAACCCTTGGCAATTCAAATTCCACTAAGGGTAGGCAGAAACATTCCTGTCCAGACAAAATTGCTCTCGTAGCCCACTTCATGCTCCTCTTCATTAGCCCAATCGTTGAAGAGAATAATACACCCCCACCCCCTCCACCATTTTATTTTTGAAAAATTATGAGTCGCTTGTTCTATTCACACCACGGCAGACTTTAAAATTCAAAGTGCTGAGAAAAGTTACATCTTACTTAAACATACAATATGCAAGAGCTAAATCTGCCTAATGGTTATACGGTCTGTCATTGAGTCAACTGGCAGGGTTTCGATTCCCCTGTTGTACGTGACAAGGAGTAGGGTCGCCTGTCCAACCTCGTGGGTTTTCTCCGGGTCCTCTGGTTTCCTCCCACTGCTAAAGATGCCTACGCGCAAGCGATTTATTGAAATAAAATTCCCGAAATGACCTAGTTTGTGTCGAGTGGACATTAAACCCCATTTCTCTCTCTCTCTCGCCAATTGCAAGTCTTTCTTTAGGCCTGAAATGTTATCTAAATTATTAATTAGACATTAATTAACTTATCCAGACCATTATCAACTCTTGAAGGCATCACTAATCTGCGATGTTTATTGGATTAGGTTCCGGTTTTTTGTTCTACTTCCATTTATAATTTAATCATGAAATGGATAATTGAGACTATATTTTTTATTGTACCGAATTCAGAAATGATGATCGAGGCTAGACCGAAAATTAAATCGCTAAAATCTCGGTTCAGGGCCCTGTTTCACGAAATTTTAACTAAAGATAAAATCCAAATTTTAGTAGATACTTCAATTTTGATTGGCTTAGCACTAAAATCAATCTAATATTATCCAATTAAATTACTAAAATTTGGATTTTATCTTAGTTAAAATTTTGTGAAACAGGCCCCAGAGTGGATCAATTTGACTGAAATTTTAAGCAAATTACCTTTACCATATCTAGTTTTTAGCTAATATAGTGAGAGCTGTCAGCTCTTGATCTAATCTCCCATAATGTATCTTTAATAAATGTATATGACATACCTAAACTAGGGACATTAACAAACTTTCTCATATCATCTTCATAGGCTCTTGCTGTACATATCTTTGCTGTATCTAGATTAGCACATAACGTCAAAATATGTTCTGACGCCTCACTCACTTTCCTTGCCTTCCCTACTCCCACTGATGCTGTCAACCCAATGATCTAAACAAATAAATTATTACAGCCATTACTTCACATAATGTGTATTTTACAGGTTTTTTGTAGGCAATGGGAGGATACTAAAAACTAAAAGCCTTTCTATTGTTAACCATCACAAGGACAAGGGCAATAACTATAGAGAGAGAGAGAGAATAGGGGTTTAACATCCACTCCAGACAAACTAGGTCATTTCAGGACTAACAAATGGTTCAACTTTATTTCAATAATTGGCTTGCGTGTACAGGTCTTTAGCAGTGCTTTGTGGGAGGAAACCGGAGTACACGGGGGAAAACCCACGAGGGTGGACAGGGAACCCTACTCCTTGTCACGTACAACCGGGGAATCGAAATTAGGCCAGTTGACTCAATGACAGGCCTTATTGATACAGTGTGCATGTGCTAACCATTCAGCCATCCAACGTGACAAGGAATAGGGTCGCCTGTCCAAGCTCATGGGTTTCTCTTGGTTCTCCTGTTTCCTCCCACTGCTAAAGACCCCTACATGCATGCGAATTATTGAAATAATATTGAACCGTATGTTAGTCCTGAAATGACTCAGTTTGTGTTGAGTGGACGTTACACCCCATATCCCTCTGTCTCTCAGAATACTGCCTAGTTCTGTAGAGCGTTCTCAATATTTTACAGAAAGTAAACATTGGGGTGTTTAAAAAAGAAACTGATAAAACCCTTTTTTCTTACAGTACCTGTGGCAGAACAGGGGGAGGTAACTCATCCACCTCCATTTCGTTTGTCGCTCCAGGTAGCTGATTTTTTAATTTTATGTCCATATACATATGCATAATCTGGTTATATGGATGTCGAGCCTTGGTGTGATGACATTCATCAAATATAATAAGTGAAAAAGCTGAAACATCCTTGATAACATGTTCTTTTATAGCATCTACCAATATCTGTGCTGTCAACACAATTACTTCATTACTGAAATTAGCAATCAGTCAGTTCAATATAAAGATGTTTAGGGCATAAACTGTGGTTTCAATTTTCAAAATTACAAAGTTTACAGTTCATTTATTTAGTTATTTAGTCTATTAAAGGAATATCAGAGAGAGGGAAGCATGTTATCATACTACTTCTTGTAGGACAGCTGTCAATGTTAAATGGATTGTTAACAAAAATAAAAACATCAACCTAGCAGATTTACATATCCAATGCGATATAAAATACAGCATCCACAAGATCTCTTACAAAATAATTAAATAATTCTTTAACATGAACAATTCGACAAATCCTGTCAAGGTTTTAACATATTTTAATGAACCTCTGTGCTGTATCACAATCACAAGCATTCATGAGTGTGAATGTGAACATTGAGGGTAATTGTACCATATGAATATAAGATGGGAATATTTACCAATCAAGAAGTTCTCCAAGGGGTATTTTATCATTGTTTTGTGTGTCTCCAGTTAATCTTTCAGTTCTACAGTTTAGATATTGTTTACATAGATTAAACTGTTGTTCAGCTAATGCCACTTGATTAACCAAAAATGCTACCTTTTTTATTCCAAATTTCTTACTCAAATGTTCCTGTCAATGAAAACAAATATATTCCAAACAATTATTGATATTGGTAATGTAAATTAACAAATCCACTGTCTTGATGCAAACTGTATTTTTTAATAAATAGATAATACCTCTGTTACAAAGAAGAGAACTATTATTGCTCATTTCACATCATTTTTAATCATTAGAAGTCAAAATCTAAAATAATGAACAGAAAAACAGTTCTATAAATTGTAAAAAGGAAGTTTTTACCATTATACTTTTAACATTTTTCTTTGAATTTTCTTTTTACAATTTTTGGTTTTAGCAACTTTGATGAAATGAAGACATCCATGAAGTTATATTCCATCGGTAGAGTGGTCATATTTCAACGTTTTTTTTATTGCAGGATAGACCCCAGTGCAGAACTTGAAGAAATGCGGCTTAATGAATAAAAAAAACGGACGGCTAGCAAGGTAAATCTTTAAATCTAGCTAATCAAATGTTGTAAATAACTAAAAGACAACTTAAAGACAATGGTGTATTATTACCTTAATGATATTTATTGCGACAATTGTTTTTCCACTACCTGTAGGTGCACATATAATAACATTTTGGCCTTGTAAAGCTTCCTTACACAGATCTTTCTGATAATCTCTTAATTCTATTGTTTTTTTATCCCCATCTTCATCTGCTCTTTTATGTTCTGGCTCATCAATATTCATTTTATCTATAAAATTTATAAAATTAAAACATTCTTGTAAAACATGGATTATTCAGTTTGTGCAGAAAAGATTATGTTTCTTTCTGTTTTTTTCGCCGAATCAAAATCTTTCTCCTAATCTCATGGGTTAAATTTCATTTGAGACAGTTGAATTTACTCTTTTATTTGGAGGCTGTCAGGGGGTGAAATATAGCACAGTTATCTTTTTTTGCTGTGATGTAAATAAAACAATCACCTGTATTGATTTCTTTCAATTCCTTATCATCGTATGATTTTTCTGGCAATGATGATGTGTCCATTAAATTATCACCAATTTTATCTTGTATCTTGGCTTGATCTTCAACACTTCCGAATAAATTAGGTTCGATGTTCTCAGGATTATTACTTGCATAATCACCCGAGCTGTATGCTTCACCACTGTCTGATTCAAGAACATTTAAAGAGCATTAAAATTAAAATTTTGATAAAAATAAAATTAAAAAGATGCTTCTCTCTATCATTGACAGTAAGTAAATATGTATTTTATGGTTGCACACTTACTTTTTTTTTATTGGTTGGACTTATATTTTTCAAGATCAAAATACAAACATAGGTTGCAGCTTTTGCTAACTAGAGATTTCTTAAGATTTACAATCAAAATGTACTAAGCAGAAGATCAATAAGCTGCAACAACCAGTTAACACTTTAGTTAAATATATCTAGTGGTAGGTTACCTATCATTATCAATTGTCTGTGTCTTGTTGTACAGTTAACGTGTATTTTGTATTAGTTAAAATTAAATCATAAAATATAAAACATGACAATCGATTAGAACCTACTGTACGTATTACTTATTGCTTTGTATCAATACATTTATTACAATTTGTACAATTCAAATCTAACCACTGGATCTTATCTAATCTGTGTACTGTCATATTCTAGGGGATTCTCTCTCAATAACAGTGAAGAGTAAATTAGACTATAAGATACCGGTAGGTAATATTTCATAGCTATAAAGTTATTGATAGAATGTTCATAAAAGTTTACTCCTGTCTTCAGATTACTGTCTAATGTATTCTCTCAAAGTTGTAAAATGGTAGACAATTTTAACCTGAATAATATTTAAGCTGAAAATATCCAGATCACACTAGTGTGCCAAAGTCCAATATTTAAGTTCATAATTTAAACCAGTGGTTGCCAGGAAAGATACGCCCACATTTTGCAAGAGATCGGTAGAGAACAAGCTATAAAATAAAAGATAGGTTGCCAGGCAACGAAACATACGCCCACAACATCTAAATCGTCCGGGCAGTCAACAAGAGTTGTTGCATATTTTTACTTTTTTCATTAATGTAACATTTATAATACACTAAAATCTAATTAAGAGTAACAACTCATTAAGTAATTATCAGAAAATCATTTATCTCTAAACCTTAAACTCTGTGTATCAATCTGAAGTCAATCAGATGATAACTTTGAAATCGCTGAAAATCAATAGGTTTCTTTATCTCATGACCTTAAACACTGTGTCTAAATTTAAAGTCAATCGGATATTAACTTTAGCCTCTAGAGCCTCCACAAGATTTTTCAAAGTGATCAAGGGCCATAACTCTGGCAGTAATTATCGGAAATCGCTGAAAATCAATAGGCTTCTTTGTCTCATGACCTTAAACACCGTGTATAAATTTAAAGTCAATCAGATATTAACTTTAGCCTTTTTGTGGACGCCGGCCGGACAGCATACGGAGGCGACGACAATATATGACCACATTTCAATGTGGGTGTATAAAAACGATTTTTCATACAATCAGGAGCCATGATCCAAGAAGTTATGGTCTGAAATGCGCGAATATCGAAAGGGACTGAGATCTTTGGCATATAAAGATATATTTTAAGTTTCATCAAAATCAGACAAAAATTATAACCACTAGAGGGTCCACAACCTGTGTTTTACATACTTGTACACAATATGCATACAATGAGCGGCCATTTTGTCAGTCAGTTTCTTTTCAATTTTCCAGAAATTCAAACTCAACCTTCATTATGATGGAACGGGCATATATTTTAACGGATCTATGAGCTAAAAATGTGATTTTTTGTACAATCAGGGGCCATAATACATGAAGTTAAAAAACCATCTGATACATGCTAATATGGAAAGGAAACAAGATCTTAAGGAGATTATTGTCATCTGTAGCAGGGAGTGTTTGGTAAGCTTGTGGCTTGGCTTAAAGGACAATATTGGTGCCAGTCATAATCCCTCTATATAACTGACTGATGTGACGAGTGATAACAGATACACGGCCGAATTTCTGCTCACTAATAATTCCTTCTAAGACCAAAAGTTGCTATATGGGACTGTAAGAGGATACCTGACAAAGTAATTGAATGTCAATAGATAAGAGAACAAAAGAAAAAATGAAAAAGTCCGTACATTCCCTTGTTTATATTCATTCTATACCTTATAAAAACATGGTAATGCACAGACTTTTTCTGTTTTTCTTTCGTGTTCTCTTATCTAGTACATAGTGGCAGTCAATTCTTTTTATGAATTGTCAGATATCCTCTCACAGTCTCACACAACAACTTTTGGTCTTCGAAGAAATTATTAGTGAGCAGAAATTCGGCCGTGTATCTGTTATCACTCGTCACATCAGTCAGTTATATAGAGGTATGACTCGTGTTTTCCTTTGGCGTTCGTCACTTCCGATTCAGGAAACCTGTATTACTCAGCTATTGTAGCAATGATCTTAGTGTTAAAATTATATTTGGAATGTGTTTAACCAACTCTATCACATAATATGTGATAATGACTGGCACCAATATTGTCCTTTAATGTTACATAACACGTTTGGCAGCTGCAGCTTGAACATCATTTTTCAGCTAAGGAAAGCCATCTTGGGAGCTCTGGTAATGTTGATGATGGCGTCACAAAATATTTCTTTTAATAAGGATAGCATTTGAGCATGGCTCCTAGATTTGTTGTAAAAGTTGCTTTTATCATTATTTATGTAAAACAGATGGAATTCACCCAGTTTGTGCACATGTTCAAAACTTGCTTAACAGGATTTGTTCACATCAAATATTGAACATGCTTGGAAAATTCTTCTGCTGGTGGGCGTGTATCATGAGGTCTGAGAATTCCTCATCTGTTCCTTTATAATATATATGTACAGTAAACATACAAACCTTCAAGTATATTTTCTTGTATGTCATTATCACGGGGATGCCACACATATTTTTTATTAGCTTCCAAATTTTTCTTTTTTTCTGAAAAAAGACAAATTCTTTGCATACATATATTGTAGCCTATTTAATGAAATATATATAGATAATTTCAAACGAATGACATATGGGAGTCATTATGTCGCGAACAATAAACTTACCTAGAAATTTCGGATCCAACAATTCTACCAGTTGCAGTTGCTTGTCTTTGTAAAGACTTTCCAGAAATATTTTATACCAATCTTTACTTTTTCTATAAATATGACTGAAGAGTTCCATGAATGCATCTCTATTACAGTCACACGAGGATATTTTCTCCATATCATCTCTAGTAATGACCTTATTACTGTGCAAATATATAAGAATACCACTGTCTGTTAGTTTAATATGATCAATAATTTGGGCAGAATACAAGCCCAGAAGTTCAATGTCTTCTTCATCATTCTCATTTAAACTACTTAAGTCATTCAAAAGACCATGTAGGGAAACTAATTCTGAAATGAAAAGATAAATAATTAAATTTGTAGGCAATGTTTACTTTTTATTGAGATTTTGAATGTCATATCTTCTAATTACCAGCAACTTTTATTTCATTACACAAATAGCAGTTAATCAGGGGATAAAATATGAAATGAAACCAACTGGGATAATGAAGACGGTCATTCGCGATACAGTGATACAGGGGGATCTTTCTCGGGCGACACCTGGCTGGGTCGAATCCCAGACTCCTGGTTAATGAGCCAGGAGTGTCTTACTTACTGAGACACCATGGCTTCTGGGATAAAACATAAAAAGCTAACCGAAAAATGTCAAAATACTTACACAGTGAATTTTTGTCCACCTACTTAGCAATCAAAATGTGAACAGAAAGATGCCCCAGCAAATCCGATTAATTTTTCAATTGAAGGTGGTTCTCTCTTATGCCAAATGGGGGAGATGGGTTGCCGAATGGTTTAAGGAATGGTTTTATGTGTGCGCTTAGATCTCTGTCATTGAGTCAAACGGGGTGCTCTCTCACTCTCTCTTGTAGATCAGGTTGGGCCACATGAACAATGCTAAATTTCATCGAGAACTTTGTCCTGTATTGTGTGTTCACGGGCTTTAAAGGTTACCACATGACTAGAAATATATGGCAAAAAGCATTAAAAATGCTGGAAGAACCAACAGAAGCAGGTGACAACAACAGACGTCCACATTTAATGCAGGGCCCGGTTCCTAGAAAATTCTTAAAGTAAGCACAAAGTCATGCTTCACTTTTTCTTACGTAAGAAACTTATAAAAATACCGTCCCTAGAAAATTCTCAAGACCATTCTTACGTAAGCACAAGTCAAGTATAAGTCTAAGCACATTGTGACTGGTAAAGTTTACCATAAACTGAGACTAAGATGCTCTTTAACATCATAAAAACAACTTTGGTATGCAAATTACGTCATAAAGTTGTCGTCTGCTTCATTGACGTCATATATAATGGTTGATTTAGATGCATTTGACATGTCCCCTATACACATATAAAATGTGACACAAGATAAAAAAAACGCAGATACATACAAACTAACTGAATAAATGTGAGAGTGCCTGATCTTAAAGTAGCCTGTGTGTTTGTAGCCTATTGTTCATTAATTGCCAAATAAATAAAATAGTTTCAGGGTAGGCCTAGAAGCGCAATTTTCTATAGCATTCTTAATTTCTTCTGGAGAAGGATTTTCTCTGTCTTGTAATTTTCTCTTTGGTATGAAAAGGTGTCGGAAATGCCGTCGAATACCTCTACGGCCAGCCATCTTTTTGAAGCAGAAACAGACTTAAGGTTGGTAAGCAAGCTGTATACCTTGCTTGGGACTTGTGCTTGGATTGACTATGTTTAAGAACGAAGTTGTGCTTAAGTTTTTTCTTGGAACGCATAATAACGTTCTTGTGATTACAATGAAGTCTACTTAAAAGCTAAGCACAAGAACGTTCTTAAGAATTTTCTGGGAACACAAAATTAGGTAAGGTTACTTAAATGCAAAGTCTACTTAAATCTAAGCACAAGAACGTGCTTAAGAATTTTCTAGGAATCGGGCCCAGGTGTATAAAACTATGTAAATAATAAAGATGATGATCTGATTTTCAACTAGTTTCATCCTTACACTGACTGATATGATTAAAATATGCCAATCTCCAATAAATTTATCTATAGCTTTTCTATTTAATGCATTAATAAGACTCTTAACACATTTGCAGGTTTTGAGGCATTTGCAACAACCGCCATAAATAGCCATATACCGGTACATGCACTGATCTTCAATTTAAGCCTTATTACCTGCTTGTTCCAGTGAGCTCATAAAGATTGCCCATTTTCCTTCTACTTTGCAATCAAGGTGAATATAGTTTATAAGTTCTTTAGCCCCTTCTTGGTAATGTCCTTTTCTATCTAACTTTCTTATCTTGGATTGTATATCTCCTGAAATCAAAAGCATATTAATCAGGGCCGGCGGAAGCAATTCTTGATTGGGGGGGGCTTCCAACCTAGGTCCTTATAGGCAAGGGTTCAGGGGCCGCAATAACCTGGAGAAAAGAGTACTTGCGGCCAAATTAATGGGGGGGCTAAAGCCCCCCCTAGCCCACCCACTCCGCCGGCCCTGTTAATGGATGAAATATTAAAAGGATGATACAAAATACATGTGACATACCACTCCTGTTTTGAATAGGATTAATAACCTCAAGTATGAAATCAATAGACTTATATATCGTATAAGAAAGGTAATTAGGCATAACCACTTCAGTATTTAAGTACATTTAGCCTCCACATCCTCCTAGACACTAGATAACTAACCGAGGTCCAGAGTTTGATTTGGGTGTTGGCCAAGAAAGTTCCTCAGGTTCGTTTTCCCTTGTCAATGTGGTGTAGGGTGTGTGGCCTCTGGCCTGACAGAGAATAAAATCTAGTCGTTCAAATAGGGTGAAAAACTGAGGTCACATGTACACGTTTTGATAGCCTTGTTTGTCACGCAATTAGTTTTCGGCAATATTTTGCTATGCACTGGTTAATTGGGCGTGAATCATGACGTAACGTTATGTAAACATTATTTGGTATTTGGTCCAACTTTGAGCTCTGTTTAAAGCTTAATGATACTGTTACGCAGTTAGCTATTGTTGTTAATCGGACTGTTGACCAGTCATAATTTGGAACAGAAATTTGCTTCCATTACAACAGTGTTAAGTGGGATTTGCTCTAATTAAACGAAACACTGGGAGGAGTATGGAAAAGATGGGCTTCTGAAACACAATATTTAAAAATGCTTTTGATACTACAGGTGTATATTGGAATAACCAGATGCCAAAGAATGCTACTCAATTGGAACTCTTCGAGTATTTCGCCAAACATAATTGAATAGAAATTACAGTAAAAACAGGAACGATTGAATGTAAATCGGTTTATATACATTTATATTACATTATTATGTATTGCGACCCATTTGTGTCCATTTCTAGGTGCCAAAGATTAAACATATATTATGCAAGAACTAAATCTGCATATTGCAGATCTTTCTTTATTTTTGAAATTTTATCTAAATTATTAATAGACATTAATAAACTTATCCATGTCATCACTAGCCTGCGATATTTAGCAGATTGAAATACATTTTGTGAATAATAATTAAACGTAAACATGGATAATCAAGACTATTTTTTATCGTACCGACTTTAGTAATGATGATCATGGCTAACTTACAATTCAATAGCAAATATCAAAGTTCAGAGTGGAGCAATTTGTCTGAAATTTTCAGTATTCTATTTACGTTATCTATTTTTTAACCATTATAGCCAGAACTGTCAACTCTTATCTAATCACCCATAATGCCCCTTTAATATTAACTTCTCTATTAAATTGCAAAACATGTAGGCCCTGATCAAACCTGTACAAAAATACAGTAGGGCCTACCATAAATTATGATCTGTAGTCACCTGAAAAAAAAAACCCATACAGAACTCTCTCTCTCACCCACCCCCACACAATCTCTCCTGGATATCTTACTATGGACATAGGCTAAGGTCCATGGTTTTACCATCTCTATGTCGTTACCCGGCTAAAATGAAAGTGAAAGTACATGTAGGCCTACACATAATTAATAAATTGAAAACTTGTTTAATACTAGTAATATACGTACAGGTTGAGATATGAGGAGGGTATCAAACTTATAAAATTGTACAATTTGAATTCAACTATATAGCTTATATGTCTAAAAATGTAACGGTATGTATGTATTATGTATATAGCCCGATACTTTACAAATTGATAAGAAGTGGCCCCACACACCTTTAGGAATAATTGCCGAGAGAAATGGTAATAGTTCAGCGCTGTGAATTGTTTCCAGTACTATTTTCTTAAAAACATCAGTGATGAGAAATTCCCTGCTTTGTTCAAATGTGCCTTTAAGTACTTCAATATTGTCTAAATCTTCATCTTTTTCTATCTGTGTCTCCATGGTCTGTATAATTAATATTCAAGTAGCGGAATGGCAGTATTCCAGGTGGGAACAGAGCACTAAACAGCGAAACTAGTACTACTAAGTATGCCTTAGTGCTCAGTTTTAAAATACTGCCAATTGTTCACCGGCGCTATTGCACTTTCGTACCTCTACCAGTTCCCGTGGTCGTAGGAACTTGAAATTATTAGAGGATGTTAAGGGGGACTAGCAATGACCACACACCAAATTTCAGCCGAATCGATCAATAACTTTTTATTTTACCGACCTTTTAATTTCTAACGAGAGAGAACTTCATCTGTTTGACGCCATTTGCTTTGTTTACTATTTAGACTCGAATAACAAGACACTAAGACGGAAACCGACACACTGCACTAGCTGCCTATCTCTGCATTCATAAAAATTAATATAATTTTCGTATACTTTAATTTTTGCGCGAAGCCACCATGTTCTATAAAATACTATTTGGTGTTGATCAGTGGATAGGCCTTTAGGTGTGAATATTGCCGTGACCTTGATTTTGACCTTGAGTCTTAACTTCCCATCCATATCAGGGCCTTTGCGTTTATGATTGCCGTGGCCTTATTTCTTACTGTATTTTCAAAGTTAATGTTCGAGGTGAAAGCAGAGACAACGTCCTTCAGAAAAGATAATTGGGTCAAAGTCGTAGGTCAAGGTCATGTTACAGAAAACTAAACTCAAACTTTTCAAAGTCATTTTTTGGACATTTGACCTTGACTTACGACCTTGACCCCGTAACCGTTTTCGAAGGCTATCACCTTGGCTTGAATCATGGATGTTTACCTTGGTTCTGTCACACACTGCTCGGTCAGAAAAGGGTCAAACGGAGAGGGGTCCGTGTCCGAAAGGAAGTCAATGGGCGTGGTCAATGTGAAAGGTCGTGGTGACCTCCACTAGTCACCGTTAACCATCCGTGACCTTGACCCTGACCTAGTGTCCGAACTTCCCATCCATCTCGGGCCCTTTTCGTTTATGCGTGCCGTGACCTTATTTCTTACTGTATTATCAAAGTTAATGTTCGAGGTGAAAGCAGAGACGGCGTCATTCAGAAAAGATAATTGGGTCAAAGTCGTAGGTCAAGGTCATGTTACAGAAAACTAAACTCAAACTTTTCAAAGTCATTTTTGGGACAGGGCCAGGGTAAACGTCGATGGTTCAAGCCAAGATGATGGGCTTTGAAAATGGTTACGGGTCAAGCTCGTAAGTCAAGGTCAAATGTCCAAAAACTGACCTTGAAAAGTTTGAGTTCAGTTTTCTATAACATGACCTTGACCTACGACTTTGACCCAATTATCTTTTCTGAGGGACGTTGTCTTTGCTTTCACCTCAAGCATTAACTTTGATAATACAGTAAGAAATAGGGTCACGGCAAGCATAAACGAAAAGGGCCCGAGATTGATGGGAAGTTTGGACTCAAGGTCGAAGTCAAGGTCACGGATGGTTAAAGGTGACTAGTGGAGGTCACCACGAACTTTCACATTGACCACGCCTATTGACTTCCTTTCGGGCACGGGCCCCTCTGCGTTTGACCGTTTTCTGACCGAGCAGTGTGCGACAGGACCAAGGTAAACGCCCATGATTCAAGCCAAGTTGATAGCCTTCGAAAATGGTTACGGGATCAAGGTTGTAAGTCAAGGTCAAATGTCCCAAAACTGACTTTGAAAAGTTTGAGTTTAGTTTTCTGTAACATGACCTTGACCTACGACTTTGACCTTTTTAACTTTTCTGAAGGACGTTGTCTCTGCTTTCACCTCAAGCATTAACTTTGATAATAGAGTAAGAAATAGGGTCACGGCAAGCATAAACGAAAAGGGCCCGAGATGGATGGGAAGTTTGGACTCAAGGTCAAAGTCAAGGTCACGGATGATTAAAGGTGACTAGTGGAGGTCACCACGAACTTTCACATTGACCACGCCCATTGACTTCCTTTCGGACACGGGCCCTTTGCGTTTGACCCTTTTCTGACCGAACAGTGTGCGACAGGACCAAAGTAAACGTCGATGGTTCAAGCCAAGGTGATAGCCTTCGAAAATGGTTACGAGGTCAAGGTCGTAAGTCAAGGTCAAATGTCCCAAAACTGACTTTGAAAAGTCCGAGTTTAGTTTTCTGTAAGATGACCTTGACCTACGACTTTGACCCAATTACCTTTTCTGGAGGACGTCGTCTCTGCTTTCACCTCGAACATTAACTTTGATAATACAGTTAGAAATAAGGCCACGGCAAGCATAAACGCAAAGGGCCCGAGATGGATGGGGCGTTTAGACTCAAGGTTACGGATGGTTAACGGTGACTAGTGGAGGTCACCACGACCTTTCACATTGACCACGCCCATTGACTTCCTTTCGGACACGGACCCTCTGCGTTTGACCGTTTTCTGACCGAGCAGTGTGCGACAGGACCAAGTTAAACGTTCATGATTCAAGCCAATGTGATAGCCTTCGAAAATGGTTACGGGGTCAAGGTCGTAAGTCAAGGTCAAATGTCCCAAAAATGACTTTGAAAAGTTTGAGTTTAGTTTTCTGTAACATGACCTTGACCTACGACTTTGACCCAATGATCTTTTCTGAAGGACGTCATCTCTGCTTTCACCTCGAACATTAACTTTGATAAAACAGTAAGAAATAAGGCCACGGCAAGCATAAACGCAAAGGCCCCGATATGGATGGGAAGTTTGGCCTCAAGGTCAAAATCAAGGTCACGGCAATATTTACACCTAAAGGCCAATCCATATAGAAAATGGTGGCTTCGCGCAAAAATTAAAGTATACGAAAATTATATTAATTTTTATGAATGCAGAGATAGGCAGCTAGTGCAGTGTGTCGGTTTCCGTCTTAGTGTCTTGTTATTCGAGTCTAAATAGTAAACAAAGCAAATGGCGTCAAACAGATGAAGTTCTCTCTCGTTAGAAATTAAAAGGTCGGTAAAAGTTATTGATCGATTCGGCTGAAATTTGGTGTGTGGTCATTGCTAGTCCCCCTTAACATCCTCTAATAATTTCAAGTTCCTACGACCACGGGAACTGGTAGAGGTACGAAAGTGCAATAGCGCCTCACCCCCAACACCAGTGATAGTTGATTCTTTGAATTGTTGGCAAAGTTGGAAAAACCCACACGTCACGTGACTACGGTAACTTTTATGTAAATTTTTAGAAATTCCATTATATGTTCACTATATTATGAATAACAACTTTTAATACAATTCTCCCCAACCCACCCCCTCGGGTTGGTTAGATATTATAATTACTATGTGTCAGTTAGGTTTATTTGTTTATTTATTTCAATGCTGTTTCTTTATTCTACGTGTATTAATAAACAGGGAAGTATTAATTAACGTTCGATAATAACAACGATTGTCTCCCTTATACTACTTTTACATTTATAAAACTTATTAATGACCTGCTGTTATTAAAATAGCTTTGGTGTAGATTTTTTTTATTTTAAAATTCTGAATGATGTTCTGTTATGGGTGGGTCTACTTTTTGTGGGACCTGGTTAAGGGGGTTAAACTCCCGACTCAATATTTTTCATAATATTTGAAAGTAAAAACACGAATTAGAATCCAATATTGGTCCATTTCAATTGATATTAATGTTATCTTGCAGTGAAAATATGGGATCCTAATCAATATACAATGGACATTATATAATCAATGTGTGCTGTTTCGGGTGCCATTTGTAATGAACAAAGAACCAGCGGCTACCAGGCAGGATACGCCCAAACTTTGCAAGAGAACAAGCTATAAAAAAAGCGTGATTATCGTACAATGGGGGCCATAATCCAGTAAGTTAGGGTCTGAAATGCGAAAGGAGCCACGTACGGAGGCTATGGGTAAGACGCTTGCTCGCTAGCCTGGAGGTCGCGTGTTCGATCCCTGCATTGGCCGAGAAAGTTCATCGGGATGTTCCGACGTGGTTCCCCTTGCCAGTGGTGCAGAACGGAGGGCCTGACAAGGACAGCTGTCTAGTCGTTCGGATGGGACGAAAAACCGAGGACCCTTGTATACATTGGCGTGCACGTAAAAGATCCCTTGGCGGTTGGAATTCGATATAAGAATAGGCCCGTCTTCATTAGCCTAGTATAGGAGAAGAACAGTGGGACGTTAAACCCCATTTCATTTCATTTGAAATGCGCGAATATCGAAAGGAACTGGGATCTTTGGGATGTAAACATATATTTTATGTTTCATCCCAATCGGACACAAATTGTGACTTATAGAGGGTTCACAATCTTTTACACTATTTGCGTTAAAGTAGTGGCCATTTTGTCGGACAGTTTCGGTCCGACTTTCCCGAAATTCGAACTCAACCATCATCAGGGTCTAACAGTGATATATTTATATGGTTTTTAAAATTGGATAAAAATTGTGATCTCTTGAGGGTCGACAAGCCAAAAATGTGATTTTTTTGTACAATCAAGGACCATAATCCAAGAGATTATGATCTTTGGGATATAAACAAATATTTTTATTTTCATCAAAATCGGATAAAAATTGTAACCTCTAAAGGGTCCACAACCTTGGTATTACAGACTTGTACATTATCTGCCTTCAAGCATCGGTCATTTTGTCGGAAAGTTGTATCTATGAATTATTTAAATGATTTTTAAAATCGGATAAAAACTGAGACCACAAGCTAAAATCGCGAATTTTTCGTACAATCAGGGGCCATAATCCAGGAAGTTACGGTTCGATATACGCAAATATCGACAGGAACTAAGATTGTTGGGATATAAACACATGTTTTAAGTTTCATCAAAATCGGGTGACAATTGTGACCTCTAGAGGGTCCACAACCTGGGTATTTCATACTTTTTTACACTATTTGCGTACAAGGAGCGGTCATTTTGTCAGGCAGTTTCGGTCCGGTTTTTACGAAATTCGAACTCAACCGTCATTAGGGTGTAACGGTGATACATTTAAAGCGAGAATATCATATTTTCTAAGAAAGTCAAAACATAATTATATCTATGTCTTTTGCCCAATAGGTTGTCAACTCACTATTATACGATAATAGGTATCATTCTCACACTTAGAAATCATTCACCCCCGGAAATAATAACACAATTACCTCCCTTGCTTTTCTACCCCCCCCCCCCCCCATGGATTAGCTATCTT